AGGCAGGCAAGGAAGGTATTGGCCACATGGCGGGTCCGGATACACAAGTCTGACAAACCGGAGAGTAATAAATCGTTTGGCCTAGGTAAAACGGGCATGTTTGTTAGGTAAGGGCAGTCACCCTCTGCCCGGCGCGTACCTGTTTTACACTCTGCCCCAGACCTCAATGCGCAATGGTCTCCAGTCATGGGCTTTCCGGCAGCCGCATGGTCCAGTTGGCGGACTGATGTTGCGGGCAGAAGCCCCCGTCACCCCGTCACCCCGTCACCCCGTTCCGTGGCTCAAACTAGTCGAATTGCAGCACCAGAGACGAGACACTGTGGACGGAACTTGACAGTCTTGACTTGGTCAGAGACCCTCAGGGCTGCGCGTCTTGCATGTCGTTTACGGTTTACCTGATCCCGCCTTTTCCCATCGGTCATGTACGGAAGCGCCGTTCCTGAGGGATCCTCATCGGAAGCCACGTCAAGGATTCCAAAGTCTCGTTGAACCTTGTAGACGGGGTCTTCAAGTCTTGTGCCTCTCGTACCCTAACCTGACCTAACCTTATCTTGGTCTCTTTGTCCATGCCTGATCCACTCATCAGAGACCCCGTTCGATGCAGCTACGTTATTGTTACCGCATCTGTTGCCTGCTTCCCGCTCTGTACGTATCCGCACTGCGCATGGAGGCCGGAGGGTGGCTGCGGTGGATTTCCCACTACAGTGACGGATGGACGGACTTTTTGTTTATTTATTATGTTATGGGGCACAGGGGATGGTGGATGGACTAACACTGGATGCTATAGATGTACCTGTTCCCAGTGTTAGTCCGGGTAAGTAGATGTTTGGTTGCCAGCAACCCATTTCGTGTCTTTGTTTCTTGCCTCGGTACATGTTTGAGCGCTTTCTCTCATTTCAAAGACAGCTTCCGGCTCAACAGCTCTGCCCTGTCCCTGGTCGCTCCCCCAGTCACACCAATCTGGTGGTGTAAGAGGGATCGGGTAGTCTCCGTCGAAACGGGAAACGAATACGCCACACAAAAGAAAAAAAAAGGAAAGAGACGACATAAAATACAACCAGTCTGCAGGTGGGAAAAGTTTTTCTGGTTTGTTCGTGATACTTCTTACTTGATTAGTAGCTCCTCGATCTATCGGAGGCAAGCCCAAATCGTGACAGGAACACTAAAGTGCCTGAGGTGCCGCTCGGAACAAACCTGGGAAGTCTCCACTGTATGTCTAGCTACTTGGGCAGTTGGAGTTTGGGAATATCCGGACCTAAACACCAAAAACAGTGGTCGACTGATTGGATTTGCCGACTACCGCATACAAGCACACTCTGGACGCATCTCCCCACAACGACGTGCAACAACCGCCTTGAAGCCAGAAGCAGTCCGCGCGCCAGCTTTGCAGGAATGTTCCATGACCATGACCACCAACACCAACACCAACACCAGCAGCAGCAGGAGAAGGAGGAGGTCCAGTCCAGTACAGGAGACTACTTTTCTGTGTTAATGACACCTGAGACACGGGGCTGGCTCAGTGCTCTGGACCAAGGCATCTCGAGAGTCGTAGGAGTGCGGACCTTTGCCCTCTCCATCCGCTCTTGGTAATCCGTACCACGAGGGATTTTAGAATTACCAGAAGAGGTGTGCAATTTCGGCCGTCTTCCACCCAGGACCACACCGACCACGTCTGGTACTCAGGTACTGCAATAGCAGAACAGACTTTCCTGCCACCCATCAACCTGGCAGAGCCGGCGAAGAAGGTAATGGGTCAGTCGAGTCGTGGGGACTGCTGACAGATCAAAGTTCCGTTTAGGCGGTGACCAGCAGAACAATAAGCCTTTTCCAGCCCTCCTCCTGGAACACCTTATTGCTCCTGCCCAACTCGTGTTGGGTACTTTGTCGGTTTGTAACGAGTGCGTGCAGCGTGCGGCATGCCCTGGGAACCTGGAAGCTCTCGACCGGCCCGGACACACTTCGCTTACACCGCCCGCCCGCTGCCCGCGGCCTGTTTTTTTTTTTCCCCTCAGCAAAAACGACACCACCCACTCGATGGCGACGGAAAGCAAAGCAGCAAAACAACCTAGCAGTACTTGTTGACCACCCCGATCACCTGCGTGAGGCTAGCCTCAGTGCCAGTACCAAGGTCGGTTCCTGTACCAGTACCAGTACCAGCACCAGCCCAGTGGAGGGAGGGAGGGTCCCAGGTCTCCAGTCCCCCCAAGTCTCCATTCTGCTGCTTCCCGCCCATCTGCTCTGGGGCTGCAGTGTCTACCAAGTACATTCACTCCCCAGGTCCTCGCAAGTCTCAACTGTACCGAGCTGCAGGGCAATTCCAATCTTTGCATCGCTAGGCCCCACCTCGACCCTACTTCACCTCAAAAGACGCTACACATCCTACGCTACTCTACTTACACCAGTCCATCACTATTCACCAAGACCACCACCTGGCCATCGCAACCTGCCTGTCCCGCCGTGGTTTTTTTTTTTTCCCTTTTCCTTTCTTCCCTCCCCCCTTCCCTCTCGTGCCTCGCCCCCTCTCACCTCCGTCCCCTCCCAAATTTCTCTCGTCTTAACTGCCCTCCCGCCTGTGGGTGTTGCCTACCAGAGTAACCAGACCGCTACCCACCGCCGTCGTCGCCTGCTGCTGGGGCCAGACTCCCTCCCTTCCCTCCCCCTCGCCCTCTCGCCCCCGACCGCATCTGCTGCTCCTCGTGGCCTGCAGCCCTCCCTCACCTACATAATACTCTAATCCCTACGCCCATCCCATCTTCTTCGCCTTGTTATCCTTCCTTCCGACTTCGTCTCTCAAAAACTTTGAATATTACCTACACGGTGCACCCCCCTCCCCCATTTCACTTACCACGGGACAAAATTGGAACGAAAAAGGGGGTTGAAACAGGACTGCTATTTTGTCCGCCCTGCGAGTCACGTCTACTTGGGCCCGAGCCCTCCCACTGCGCCGGGGCGTTCTTGACGCCACAGCGAGCCCATTTTCCTTGTCAGACCCGATCCTCGACACTCGACACTCGGCACTCGACACTCGACGGCACTCCCGAGTCGACTCGACCTTTGACTCGCCAGTCAATCCTGCATAACTTGTCTCTGCTCACCCTCCAGTAACCCTGCTGTGCATAGCTGTCCATTCTTGCTGGCTGCGTACGCTTCTCTTGCGGCTGACACCATCTACGGCCTGCCTGCGTCACCGATTGCCGGAACCAAGAGAGACAACAGCCAACAGGGGGAAGGGGAAAAAGACCCAGAGACAGGCCAAAGGTCACCGGTCGGTTCGCTTTCGCGTATATACCGCCTCCGTCCACCTCTTCAACCCCTCCTAACGACCCTCGCTCACCAAACAAACCTGCTGCACGCTCATGCCTTCCGCATCCCCCGCTATGGCGAGCCCAACAACCGCCTCGGCGGCCAGTTCGAAACCTTCCTCAGTCAGGTCTGACGGCAAGAAATCGCCGCGTTTGACCCCGCAAAATGGCCAGTCCCAGGCCCTCACCAACGGCAATTCGTCCCACGACGCCCTGCCGAAACCTGCCGAGAAGCCCTCCATGAAGGACAAGCTCACGCGCATGTTCTCTACCAAAGACATAAGCCGAAACGCTATTGAAGTCCCCCATCGACCCCGCGGCTCCAGCTTTAATGGCAGCGACAAGCCCCAACCTCCCAGCAGGAAGCCATCCACCACCACCGCAGAGAAAGTCCCCGAGAAACCCGCCAACAAACCCGCAAAACCGCCCGTAAAAGACCTACACCGATTCATGGCGAGCCCCGACTTGCAGGGTGGCCATGAGCACCACCTCAAGTCAAGTCGCAGGCAGGAGAAGCTCTCCGACATGTGGCGTACACTCATCGGCAAGAAGCAAGAACACGCCGAAAACGACCTGTCGCTCGTCTCTAACTGGGTCGACACGCTCAAGGCCGAGAAGGAGGACATGGCTGGCGACAAGAAGAACGGACCAAATGCCACGACCACTCTCGTGGAAAAGTACGGAAAATGCCAGGAGGTTGTAGGCCGCGGTGCCTTTGGAATCGTCAGGATATCCCACAAGAAGGTCGAGAATGGATCAGAAAGACTCTTCGCCGTCAAGGAGTTCCGCCGTCGTCCCGAGGAGACGGAGAAGAAGTACAGCAAACGACTGACTGCCGAGTTTTGCATTTCCTCGTCGCTTCGTCACCCCAACGTTATCCACACTCTGGATCTGCTCAAGGACGCCAAGGGAGACTACTGCGAGGTTATGGAGTTCTGCGCCGGCGGTGACTTGTATACCCTCGTTCTCTCGGCTGGCAAGCTGGAGGTTCAGGAGGCGGATTGCTACTTCAAGCAGATGATGCGCGGTGTGGAGTACCTCCACGAGATGGGTGTTGCCCACCGCGACCTGAAGCCTGAGAATCTGCTGCTTACTACCCGTGGTGGCTTGAAGATCACAGACTTTGGCAACGGAGAGTGCTTCAGAATGGCTTGGGAGACGGATCCCCACATGGTTTCTGGCCTCTGTGGCTCTGCTCCCTACATCGCGCCCGAAGAATACACCGACAAGGAGTTCGACGCTCGCGCCGTCGATGTCTGGGCCTGCGGTGTCATCTACATGGCCATGCGAACTGGTCGACACCTCTGGCGTGTTGCCCGCAAGGACGAGGACGAGTTCTATGCTAGGTACCTGGAAGGTCGTCGCGACGAGGAGGGCTACGGACCGATTGAGTCCTTGCACAGAGTAAGTCTTCTGCATCGTTGGGAACCGTCGTCCAGAAACTGACAACCTCTAGGCGCGCTGTAGAAACGTGATATACTCGATTTTGGATCCTAATCCCACCCGTCGCATTACTGCCTCCCAGGTACTCAAGTCAGAATGGGGACGTGAGATCAAGCTCTGCAAGGCTGGCGAGGAGGGTCTTTGAACACTTCGCCTCCCAAGCCAAACGGACAACTTCTTTCTTGTGAACAAGACTTTCAACTTTTACTTTCAACGGCGGAACAGCAATGGCCGGATTTTTCTCAACCCGGCACAATGATAGATCAATGCGTCTGCACAGACAGCGTGCGTCAACCGGCGGTTTTTTTGACTCCCTCTTTCATCCTGCTTCGATTCACACCCTTTTACACTTGTTTACCTGACGATTTTACGACACCCCCATGCGACCTTGTTATTGCGAGCATCGGCGTTTGGCGTTTTACCCTCCCATGCTGCTTACACCACAACCTACTGTTCAACGTACATATGACACCACCCGTCTTTGGAACGGGCATCTCGGCAGAGCTAAGCTACGCTACAGAGCCAGGTCTACATCTTTGGGTTGACTTGGCCAGGAGTCCCCAACCCCATGGAATGAAGCTATAATGAGCGATGGATTTGAGATGCGCAAGGGCATCCAACGACCTGGAAACGGAAGATGGACTTGGTTGAGCCTCAGGGAAGAGGCTCTCGGTGGGATACGGTGGTTCGAAACCTGGAGGAATCGGTAGGGGCGGATGCACAGGCGATTGCATCAGTTCTTGGGAATCATCTCAGGAGACTGCATGCGTGTGCGGGCTCTGGAATTGGCACGCCCGCGCATTCGTCAGAGCCAAACATCTGGATTGATTGTGTGGTCTCCCCACGACAACGCCCCTAGTCCACTCGCTTTGCTCCTATAGTGAGTGGCTGTATTCTGAGCCAAAGACCTGAAGAAAGAAATTTAATGAACCAGCAAAGAGGAGCGGCATCCTGGGGTGATCATTCTGTGACTGCTCTGCCTGTGTGCTCACAACTCTTTGCCATGGATTTTGCTTAGGTATGACGGCCTTTCATTACCTGGTCATAAGGTACTCTGTGACTTGTACCTTGGACACAGGCTGGGTCTGTGGTAGGGAAATACCAGAGCCAGTGACTGGGCTTTATTGCATCAATGGGTATGCAAAGCCATGACGCCTATATGGTACTCTTTACGGGCGGGCACCAGAGAGCTGGGGGCGCGAGAACTGGGGGGCGCAATGCAGAGCTGTCTACAGCCACACTGTAGGGATTTACTTGCTGAACTCTACTCTGGACCAGCTTGGCAGATGACTTTTGCAGATGACGACAAAAGGGGGCCAAGCCCTGAACCCTCCTTTTGGGAGGAGGGGGGGCAGCACCCGACGCCAGAGCCGTGTTGGAAATTCCCTCGCGGTCTCAAGATCTGGGAATGGGGGCCCGGGCCAGATCTGAATGCCGGGAGAGTGGACCCCACCCTCTCTCATCCCCCCTCCTCCTTCCCCCCTCGAATTCGGGTTCCGGGGAACTCTGTCCGACGCGCGGTCCGTGGGCGTGGAGCCAACGGTCCCGGAACTGGGGGCGACGTACCGACGTACTTGCTTTTTTTCTATAACCTTGTACCAACGGGATCGGCCGGGGGTCGACGGAGGCCCACGGGGACTTTACGCCGTTCTGCAGGTCCGTCTGCAGGTCCGTCTGCTGCACCGAGACATTTGGAGATTTGAGAGGGAGTGGCTGCCGCCGCCAACTTCTGCGATTTGAGGGGGAGGGAAGGTTACAGTGAGGCAATCAATTCTTGGATGCCATTTTTTTCCTGCTTTTCCAACTCAGGTCTCGTCTTCGTTTTGCCAACGGACAATGGCATCTGGCCTTGTCTACCGCCTTTCCCCCTTGGCCGCCTTTACAACACTGGAATTTTTTTTTTTTGGTCTGATTGCCCCTGTTGGGAGCGGTCAGGTACAAGATAGACTAGAATTGCACTGGGAATGGGCTGGCCTGGTTCGCCTGGGCATGCGGCATAGAGCACGAGACACTAGGTAAGGTAGGCTCATGAGCCTACTTCTCAAGCGCCCTCTCCCCCCCGACATCGTCCAGTCTCTCAGTAAGACGGAGGGGCCAACGCAGCAACCCCCCCTTTCGATCTCTCCCTGGGTCCCGTGGGACTGATAGACTGACAAGCAGACTGGAACGACTGACTGACTAGCTGAACGTACACCGCCTCTTCTCGAGGCCAGCCAGCTCATCAAAGGAACCCCCCCCCCCCACGAAAGAGCCTCTTCGTCGGAAGTTGACTCACCCCCCATCCAGGACCACATGGTGGTGTCATCTTGACCCCCATGGACTGGATTACTGCACTAGATCTATCCAGGATCTTACAGTAAACAGCGTGTCTACTCTTTCTGCAGTGGAGGGGAGGAGGGGGGTGGTTGGTTTCTGGAGACTAGTGGGTAGGCAGTTGGGTAGGTAAGGTAGGTCAGTAGGTAGAATGCACTGCCCTCCCCCGCCGGTTGACTCGAAAATCTCGATAGACTCACCGGCGTCATCGACTGAGCCCCCCCCCTCTCTCCTTCCATAGCGACCCGGGATCCCAGTAAACCATCCCAACCCGCCGCGTGGCGCAGGTCAAACCTCCGTGACCACTGCCAGATCCGGCGGTCATCAAAGGAGCTCTCCTCCTTCTTCTTCTCCTTCTTCTTCATTCTTCCCGAAAAGGGGGGGCCTTTCGTCTTCGAAAGAACTAGAACCTCGAGGGCGGCTTACCCCCCCCTCCCCCCCCCAGAACTGGCGCCGGCGCTACCTGGAAAACCCGCTCCCTTCCTTCCTCCGCACCTGGACTCTTGTTGGATACGCTACGTGGCCTACGCTACGCTACGCTACATACAAACAGCCCCCCTCCCAGAAACAAAAGAAGGAACGAAAAGAGTTCAAAGACCCACGGCGCCGGATCCGGATCCGGATCGCGGGTACCGCCGATATGATCCTAAGCCCCACCGCCACAAAACACCGGGCGGGGATGGTTCTTAGCGGGGTACCGTTCTGGTCCCGCCTTGTACCGCACCCGGGAAGGCCAGGAGGTCCCCCCCTCCCCTTCCCCCAATGGAAGCCTTCCAGAATTCTTCCATGTGTGTGGGGGGGCCCGGGGGGTCCGAGACAACAGTGCGATTGCGGGGCTGTGCCTGGGCCGATACTCCGGTGCACACCCTGTTCCCGATGCCGGGGCCCCCATCTGTAGGATCCCCCCCCCTTGGGTTTCCCTTGCCCATGGCGAACCGCTCCGGCGCGGGCCCGACGATGGACGGAGACCAGTCAACCCGGCCAGGCTGCTACAGATTTCCGACGTCTGGTATCCGGCATCTTTACAAGGACGATTGAATGTCCTCCGCCGACTCTTAGACACCGTCGTCACCGTCTCGGTTCCCCAACGTTGCCGTGATCGCCTTTCCTGGCAAACCGTGCGTGGTGTTGCTCAACTAGACGGCGGAGCTCCTTCGTCGTGTCCTTGAAGCTATCCCAGGAAGCTAGTCTCTTTTGACTTTCGTCTTAAAAGGTTCCTGCCCCTCACGGTCATCTGCCTCTTGATATGCAGTTTGTCTGTATTCACAATGCATGCATTAATTCACACGGAGAGTTGCTCTGATCTTGGAAATGAAAGCCGCCAGGCCTCTTGTATATGCGTGCCGAATCCTCAGTACCTCTTGCTCCGATATACGTAACCCCAAGGCGACAAGATGCTCGCACAGGTTGGCAGCTCCCGAGCGAGAAGCAGGAAGCATAAAACACAAAAGAGATACGCGCCGAGGGTATATCCCTCGACCACCATCCTTTCCCCGTAGCAGACGACCCCAAGATAATACATACAGAGAGAACCGCACCCTCTTCTCTGCTCGTGAATCTCGTGCCCAACCGTCATTTTCCCGTAAACACCGGTAAGAACCACATAAAAATGACAAAGCAAATAAACGCCCCGTGGCGCACATCTTTAACTTCCAGTGCAAGAATCGAACATAAGTTCCTTCCCCAAAACATGACTACCCCGTGTAGAATATAAGCAAGCCAGAGCCGGTAGCGCCAACCGCCTTGTGCTCGCCTAGCCGCGTGCGTATAGGCGCAACTCATCCATTGCGCTTCCTCAGCTGAGGAAGGTGCAGTTCGTAATGATCGGTTTCGTTCGTTGGTGTGCCGAGAAGGTAGCTCTCCGAGTTGCAGACATTAATACTTGGCTTGAACCCTCTCCTGCCCCAGAACTTTTATCTCCTCTGTCACCGGCTGGAGGGGGATAGCAAAGAGTAAGAGTAGACGTAAGACACACTGCTCCAAACCAATACATGGTAGCTGAGATCGAATCGACAAAAGGGCGGGACCGCATCCCGCACTAAATTGAAACCCATCAGCGAGACACAGGTGGCCTCCTCCTCGGGGTGGAAGAATCGGATAAAGAGAATAAAGGACTCTCTAGGAGTGGAAAAGGTCCCAGGCTCTTGCGCAGAGCTGCATAAACTCCTCGCGTTTTTGCCTTTGGCTCTCGGGGCTGTCCCGACCAGCACCGAATGGTCCTCTTCGCTGAGGAGCAGGACCGTGGCCCAAAGGTGGGCTGCCGTCCTCGTACTCGGCGCGGGTGCGGCGCCGGCTAGCGCTACGGCTGGGATCAGCGGCCCTGCTTCCCGGTGCCGGAGAAGGCGGCGTAGGAGGCTGATGGGCATTGTTATAGTGAACGATCTTAGGGAGCAACTCGGGCCTGCCACCGGCAATCTCGTGCTGCGCCTCTTCTGCCGACTTGTACTCTCTCGCGCGTCCCGAAGTGGGAGGGCCATGCTGCATCTGGGGAGGGTGACCAGGTGATGCCATAGGGGGCCGAGAGCTGGCCTGGGGGTACAGAGAGTTGGGAGCGTTGTCGGGGTGGCCAGAGACTTGACCAAAGACGTCGCTGATGGGTGGGAGCCGGTTATTCGTCTGGTTGGCGGGGACGTGGTGGATGTGAGAAGTGTTGGAGAGGGTGTTGGGCTGATTCGTGATGTGGCGAGACAGAGGTGCAGGGTGTTGACGACCGGTGAAGGAGTGTCCCAAGGGGGCGGACTGAATGACGCGCTCGTTGGCAAAAGACTCGGCGGAGGGCGGCAGGATGGAAAGCTGAGCCTTGTTCCTGCGAGACAAGCCGGGGGTCTTGGCTGCAAACTGAGAAACAGGGTCCTTTCCGGCGGTTTCAGGACCATCGCCCTTTGCCGATTGCTGCTGCATTCTCTGCTCAATGATCATGCGTTGCTGGTCTCTCACGCTCATGCTGCGCTGAAGCTGCTCCTTCATGACGGGGTCTTGGGTGACGAAGCCGGGTGAAAGACAGGCAAGTCCAACCTCCTGAATGCCCAGGTTGTCCCGAGCGGTCATGGGTCTTGCAGTGCCAGGAGTGTTGGAGCCTGGGTGAGCACCCTTGTTGGACAGGTCGAGTTTGCGTGGCCTGTGGCGGGTCGTCGGCAAGTCTGGGGAATTAGGCTCCTTCTTCACAACAATCTTGGGAGCACCGTTGGCGTGTCTCGCGCTGGATTGAATGGTGGAGTTAGTTGACTGCGATTGTGAGATGCAGAGATGCGTGGATATGCAACTTACGCGCTGGGAGATGACTTGGGAGCTTGGGCGGCACCCCTGGGGCTGCCGCTGCCTGAACGATGCGCCGTCGCATTTGGGGTTCCAGTCGGGGCAAGGGTTCTTTGTTGTGCGGGCGAGGAAGCGCCGTGCTGCACGGAAGAAGAGGGGGCGAGGTCAGAAGAGAACGACGGTCTGTCGTGGGGGGCCGGAGAGGGAGCCATTGCGATCGCTGTGCTCATAGTTGCTGTGCCGTCGGCAGGTTGGGAAGAGTAAGCAGAAAAAAGGAGATCGGTCGGGGCGGGTTGTTGCTGCTGCTGCTGCACCCGACACGTTTGTTTGCCGCTTGGATTTGCAAAAAAAAAAAAGTTGCCTCACTTGGCCCGGCAGTTGCGAAGGTGAAGGACAGGAAATTGTAACCGGACGATTGTTTTCGAGATGCAACGAGTCGTCGGCGGATTAGTAAAAGGTCGACTTGACGATGTCGTCAAACGTTGGGTGATTGAGATGCGCGATTCTCCCTTGCTCGATGGTCCAGTTTTAAATGGGTCGAGGTGGATGGAAATGTCGACGCCTGAGAGGAGGTGCGTGACTCTTTCTGTCAGAGGGCTTGGTGCCAAGGCCGAGAGGACTCGACTTTAAGTGATTTGTTTGTCGGCTAGACTTGGACTGGACTCTTTGTCCTTGTTTTTTTTCCCTTCCCTTTCTTGCGAAGCGCGGAGTCGCAGCAATTGACGCTTCAAGCTTGCGCTTTGAGCTTTACGAGAATGGCCGAGAGCGGGCTTGGGGGAGGAATTAGCCTGTGGGATGTGGGTGCGCTGGGCGGCGATGGAGGTAGTGGTGTGGTGCGGTGCCTGCTAGCTGATTGCTGCTGGGCCGTAAAAAGTAGGAGCGCGGGCAGACAGAAAGTGGTTGGTCTGCTGGAATCGCGGGCGGAACAAGCCGAATGTTGTAGAAATAAGAAAGGTGCAAAAGACACAGCTGCTATTGCTTGCCACCGCCACTACTACTGCTTTTTGCTGCTGGCGCCTTTGAATCGTGGCGGGTTCGACGGGACTGGAATGCGCAGCCCGATTGTGTGCCAAAATTAGTGGTGCCTGGGGGAGGTTGTCGGCATGGAATGACTGATTGACAAAAGACAATGGGGCCGACCAGGTCGGCTCGTGTGTCAGGTGGTGTCCAGAAAGGGAGCAGATCAGTCTCAAATCGAATCAGGCTCGCGGGGGTGGAAAGAGTTCGAGTTCCTTTGGCGGGAAAGTCTTTTCTCTCTCTCTCTTTCTCTCTTTCTCTCTCTCGTCAACCGGATGAATAGCTTTAGCTTGGTTGGTTGGTTGATTCGCGGAAGGGGGTATATAGTCGTATTAATTAACTGGCGCGAGGCTGCGTAGATTGTCTGCGTAACTGCGTAGAGTGCGAGGGTCAGAAAGTGGTAGTATAAGTAGTAGTAGCTGTAGTAGCTGTAATCCTGGATATCTATCCGTCGGGTCGTCAAGTCAAATCAACGAAAGGAGAAGGTTGTGGTTTGTTTTGTTTGAGGAAAAAGCGAGAGACTTGGTCTGCGACGTCGGGGCGAGAAAAGGTCAGGCGCAGGGGGTTTTGAGATACCTGGAAAGGGGGGTATCGGGGGAAGGAGAAGAATGCTTGAGAAGGGGATTTGGGTTGAAGAAGGTTGGGAAGAGAAGCGAGCGCTGGGCGAGACGAAGGTTACAAAACAAGAGCTGAAGAGGATGGAGGGGAGGGGGTGGTGTTTAAAGCGTCGAGACACCTCCAGGCTCAGACTCAAGACTAGGTAGGACGGGAGACGGGGACCCCAAGGCCCAAAGTCGAGGGCAGGTTAAGAAGACAGGGACCAAGGGGGTACGAAGGGCGCGCGACGGGGGTGTGGTGACAATCCAGAGACAAAACGTCTCTACTATGTACAGTGCTGTGTATAAAGTAGAGTATCCGTAAGTACGGGTTGTCCAACGGAGAGGGCCTGAGACTGGATGGAGCAAGACGATCAAGAACTGACCGGGACCCTTGGACAGGCAGCTGGAAGGATGGATCATGGAGATGGAGATGGGAATGGAGATGGGAATGGGGTGGGGGGAGGGGGTTAGTAGAGGGGCAGCTATGGTTGTTTGATTTTCTTATGAAAGGGGAACAGGGAGTGACACAATCATGGCCCCAGCCGGCACACTTGGCCAGTTTTTGCTCTTTGCGTCTCCCATCCCGCATACTGAACGGTGAACCACAACCACCACCACCACCACCACCACCACCACCCTCTCCATATACCGCAGTATTGCCTCAAAAAGCGTCGGAGAGTGCTGTGCTGAAGGCTCCCGGGATCTATGCTGCAGAGAGATGCGATTGACTGGCTGATAGGTATGACCCAGGGGGAGAGGGGGGAGGGGTGGCTTCCCTCGTCGGAAAGAGGTGTGCGTGTACACATCACTTTACGTCTGCAATGTATTATACATGGCACTCATGCCACAAATCCCATTCCACTGTGGTATTTTCCTAGCACATACCTCCGTACACACACGATAAAAGACAGCGGTGGTAACATTTGGTGGTGACATTGGTGGTGCTGGACACAGTCTGGACCCCCCCGACCACCCCAGAACCTAGGCCGTTGGTCTTTTCAATATTGGTTTGTACGGAACTGATTGGACAGCAAGTTCTGACGGTTGCGACGGTCCTTCTCTCGTTCTCTCGTTGCTTCTACGCTCCTCCTCTCGCCTCCGCCTGGTGAAGCACCACTAAGTGTCAGGAGCGACGAAAAGATGCAGAGTGACATCCGCCGTGTCGGGTGTTCTGGATCTGCTCCAGCTGTTGGTTGGTTCGCAGGCGTGTAGCAACGGTGGAGGTGCTACTGTTAGTTTGCTTCAACTCGACTAAACCCAGGTCAAGCAGGACAGGACGGGACGGGAGAGCACAGGGCTGGGGCTGTCATCCACGCTACTGGAAAGGTAGAGACCGAGAGAATCATGAGGAGGACTGTGAGAATCTGGAAGGGACGTGGGGCCACCACTCACTTTGGTGAGCGGGGGCGCCGCTTATTAACCTCCGTACGGAGTAGGCTGTTTGACATTGAGGTCAAGTAGCCCCCGGGTGGGTTCCTGTCTTTTCCCTCTCGCTCGCTCTCACCCTCCCGTCTCTTTCTCCCTGAGCTCTCTCGGGCCTTGGTCCGCGACTCCCACACAGTCCACACTTCCTATTCGGGCATAGACAGAGGCACGCCGCACGACGGGATGACAGGCCTGGAGCTCTGGCTGGTCAATCACCAAGCCCACTTGGAAACGGACACGCCCAACGACCTCCTAATAGCAGATCCGAGAGGGACAACTATCACGGGCTCATGGCATGAAGGGAAATGATGGATAGCAATGCTCACTTTCAGTCTCCTTCTCCTTCTCCACCTGATGCATAGAGGAGGAACTGGCTGCATTGCAAGCGACTAATAGAGCGGGAAGCTACCACAGCACCTCGGGAAGCTAAGGCAAGGCACCTTTGCTCATGTGCCTGAGGTGCGGCGTGCCTGACTTGGCATGGTGCAAGTTACAGTTGGGCTGCTCCCCCGCCGTCTCTCACCTCGCTGCTCCATACTTACGTATCGCCATACACCACCATACCTACCACGTATGGCAAGCCAGGTAAGCCACCTTACAGGCTACCACTGTACGATGCTTGGTGGCCATAGGACGGGTATCTAGGTAGTGCGTGATAGTGTCTCCCACTTTGGCCACCGACAAAGCCTACTGAAAGGAACTCTGTGCCGTACAGAGCACCTCACTCTAATCGACGGTTGGCCCACGGGGACTGCGGCAGGAAGAGCAGACTATTGTTTCTGATTGGGTTCGATGCCAGCGATCCTGCAACACACGAGCCACCGCTCGCCCACTCGCCCGTGCCTCTCACCCTCCTTTACAACTTCTCAACTTCTCCCACTAGATTGTTAGGATTGGCACAGACTGCACTTCATGGACCATGGGTTGGCCTTTGACGACACCGGACGACAATCCTCCTCGTGCGAGACAAGACATCCCCGACCTGCCAGGGTGACTTGGAACATATCACTGCCCTTGCGGGGCTCGCCTTAATCCTCAACCTTACCGAGTAAGAGAGATGCCTGCTCAGCCTGCTCAGTCTGCTCCCGTCGCAGCGTCACAGTTTGCCTCTGTCATCCATGTCCCTACCGTGATTACCGCACTGTATCAAAGACGGGGGGAGTCAATAGACAAGCTATCGGAGCCCTCCTCCTTTGCAGTTAGATACCGATGTCGAGATCGAGCCAGGCAAGGTCCGAGGCGCAACAATAAGGTGACGGATATGCTCTCGAAAAGACCAGACGGAAACGCCAACGGCGGGGCTTCAATACACTAAACTCTGTCTCTCGACGACGCAATCCTTTTTAACCCTGTTTACCACCTCATCCTTTTGATGTCTTGGCTCGGTTCGGTAGGCTTGCCGTGCCGTAGGCTACAGGAAGTTAGGAACCCACGATTCGACGGTCCCGGCCGATGAAATCGTCGCAGCTCAAACCCAACAACGTTAAGTCTTGGTTTGCTTCACGATGTGTGGCTTGGCACTGCTTCGTCACCGGCTTCCGAACCTGAGGCAATTCAGAACCGCTAGTCAGCGCAGCTAGCCCTCCACCACGTAACAACCTTTGTATCGTTTAAACCGAGGACGACCTAAACTATCATGATCCCATCTCCGAGACCCTCATTGACGTACGTACCACCAGTGCGTACGCAGTAGGGTTGGGGTCTCCGCCTTCAGCTTAACTACCTACACTTCGGAGCCGCCCTGGCGACAGCTAGGATTCAGCCTGCGCGCTCGCCTTTCGCTCACCTTGCAAGATCGTACCCCTGGCACTAAGTTACGGTAATACAGTCACTTGTAAGTACTTCAGCACCTGTCATGACGGGGCCTGCCCTGCCAGTGGAGCATCCAAAACCGGGACTCGGTTGTTTCAACCACAGCATCACAGCAATATGGAAACGTCCATTGCTTCCACCGCCCGGTCGCACGACGCAGTATTCGTACAGATGGCATACTTCGGACCACGTCTACCTCCTACTTGCTAAGGCTGTTGTGGGGCCAAAAGGGACAGAGATGCTCCATGGGTTGCCCGTCAGTCACAATGACGGTGTCATACCGCTGTCGCTGAGGCGTCAAGCCCGCCTTTGGCGAGCCGATGCTCTCGAGATGAGAGCTTTCAACCTGTCACCGGACCCTGAAAGATACTGCCTGGCGGCCTGGCCGGTTGCCCTGTGCCTACGCCATCGCGTCTAGATATCCCGGTAACGCCTGCGCCTGCGCTTGGTGCCTGTGCCTGTGCTTTCCCTCGCACTTTGCCGGTCATATCCAAACTCCTTATAGCTCTCGTGGTACGATTAAATGCTCATCTTCGTCATTGCCGCACGCCGGCGCTGCAGCCCCTTTGCGGGCCACTTCAGACGGAGTGAAGGCTAGGCGGTACAGGCTCGTCCGGGCGTCGGCCCTTCACGACGCTCTCCTATACGGCAGATGTGCAAGCCACTTGCGGCCCCCAAGTGCGAAAACCCGAATGTTGGGGGCGACGACGGCAATTGGAAGGTGAGGGCAATTTCTCAGCGACCTTGGTTCCCATTGGTGGACCCCCCAGAAGGAGGCTAACCTGCGTACGGATACAGCATCTGCATCGCGACAAGCACATTTCCAGCCGAAGCCTGTGCGAATGTCAACAGCCCAATATCTTGGCTCACAGTCGGAAACATGGCCCAAGAAACTTCACAGAAGCATCCAAGAACCACAATTGGAGGGGTATCCGATACTCGACAATCGAGAAGACCTTGTCGTCGTCTGTTTCTTGAATTACTTTTTTCTCTCTTGGCCCCCCATGGTGCCACTGGCCAGACTGCGAACGATCAAATCGATTTATTGCCAACCCAACTACAGAGCCTGAAATTTCCGTCGATAGGTTCGGGATATTTCAACCAAACTTCAAACGAGACTCTCACCGGTGAAATATAGTACCTATCCACCTTTTCTTCCGCCAGTATCACTCCTCCACGTCCGCCACCCCTGATCACACCTGACGGACCCAGAGACTCCACATGGATGAATCTGCACAAGACAGACTGCCCAATCGGCCGTCCGAGTCTCCAGTCTGGTCAGCCAACAGCATGGGTCGTTTCTGGCTCTTGTGTGTCGCGCGCGCGGCGGCGGCTCACGACCAAAGCAAGCTCTGTGCTGGAGATGGCGTTTCCGCTAGTCAGAAAGTTACCTATATCCTCAACTCTGATTGCTTCTCGGTACCGCGTACCGCGTACCTTGTGCAATGGTCTGTGTGGATGTTGGCGGCGGCGAAAGCTGGCTTTCGTATTCACCAAGGCAGCATTTATGTGCTCAATCTTGTCTTGAGTCTCCGCTCGCTGGGTTTCCCGGCCGTGACAGCCACCGCTGGCGATCTGTAGCCACTCGTAGGGCGGCAGGCCATTGCTGAAACCTGCCCCTCCTTCGATTGACCTGACCTGAATCTCCTGAAGGCTGATTTTGGCGAAATTGCCTAGTGCTGGTTCACATTGTCTCTTGCCTTCTCCGCACGGCAATATCATGGGCAGGCAAGCCGCAAGGCCAGGATGGGCAAGGGGGTTGCAAGGGGAACATCCATGTGAAAACGTCCCTGAAGATCCCGGCCACATCCCACGACCGTTAAGCCGCAACCCCATGTGTCAATGTGTCACCAGCCTCTTTTCCTTTCTGTGTCACAGCTCGCAGAGAAGAGGCTGAGTGTGAGTTGGGATGTGGCACGAGACGCACGCACCATCAGCATGAAGTTAATGAGTGAAATGCAGAAAAATACGAGTCGGAGAGTTGCAATATTCTCCACGCCGTCGATGTCACCGACGCCAGAGCCACCTCCTGCGCGCGTCGTCGACCGTCAAATTTCCCAGTATCTAATGCGTCCATGCCGGCTCATAATGTCTAGATGGGATTCATGTGGGATTCATAGATGATGCTAGTATAACCACGACGGCTATGTAACTCGACTAATTCTTTGGTTTCGTCAGATATTGTGTGTCCGCACCAGCAAATGCTCGTCCAGCGCGCGCTCGAAGACAACCTTACGAGTTACCATCAGTCTCCATTCGCACCCCCTTCTCTTCGCGGAATCCTCACCCCCCCTCCCTTGCAACCCCCAAACCCCACCACAGTTCCAGGTTCGTCGTCGACGTTACATCCCCTAAAAATTTCTCTTCATCCTTTTCGGGACGACAACCTCTTTTCTTCCCACTTGCAGCAGGTTTCCTTGGTATCGTGAATGTGTTGCAGGCATCTCATCCTACATTCATGATTCCACAGCGGCACCATGGAGAGGAAACATGGCCATTCTTTTTTTGCTTGTGATTAGCATTCGCTTTGCCTGCACAGACGATTCGCTGAGTTAAGACGTCTGTTCCCTCGGCTTGCACACATTTCCCACATGCACTGGACATCCCCCCTCCATCTTGCCGCGTCCGTCCCATCTCTGGGAAGGGCTCACAGACAACGGCCGTTGCTCTACCTTCGTCATCTGCAAGCCATCCGTCAATCCATGCGGTCGGTGAAGACTGAACGTTTGCTGCTTACTTCTGCTAGGCCCGGCGTGAGATGTACCTGACCAGTCCCCCACCCTCCAGCTCGACACCGTACCAAGCCAAACCCACCAACTGGGTGTCGGTTTGAGGATGACGGAGTCAAGCCAATCAGATGGCTTAAGCCGACCCTGTCTTGAAACGAGAAAGGGCGCTCGGCAGCCAATCAAACCTCGTTTCCGATGTGACAGCGCCGGACGATCACAAATTGGTCAAATTTGGTTTGGCAGCCTACGAACAGAATCCGAACGAAGGTCGTCTGACCGGGAGGGGATGTGAGGGCGAGGTCGAGGATGGGGTGAGAAACCGGACCGGGCTTCTCGGCTTGCCTGGATACGCTTTGGCTTCCTAGGATCTCGATCAGGTTTTATTACTTTCCCCTGGTTGTTTTGTTTTGGTCCCGACCTTGATAGGGATTTAATGGGTGGAGGGAGAAGAAGAGGGGGAACGGGCTGCTCTCGTGATGCCGTATGATGCCCACGCATTCCATGTATGATGTCTTATCCGATCTCCTTCCCTATGCCTCCGCGCGCTTCCGCTCCGGGACGTTATCCACGCGGGAGTTGGATGGTCCGTGGACCACGATTGCGGTGAAAGGGGGCCCTGTCCCCGGTGGAGGGTGAAGGGGCATTTCTTTCTTGTCTCACCGAGAAGGAAGATTCCAACCCGAAATCTGGGCTGTCGGATCGGAGAGACGCCGCGGGGGCCTCTAGTTCTCTTTGACTCTGATTTCGGACCGAGACCTACTGTAGTTCGTTGGCTCTACGAATACGCGTTTGCCTTAATGTGGCTATGTCAACGATATTTGGGTCTGAGTACGCTGCAACGACGTGTACTCAGCATTTCCAGCACTTTCGCTTACTGCGGCGACATTTTCATTCATTAATCTGGAAATGGGTCAAGTCTGCGGGCTTGAGCTTGGATTCAAGCTTATCTGCTGGGATTGGTTACCAAGAAATGCAGGGTGATGGAATGCTCCCTTATTGACTGTTGCAAACTACCCTCGGAAGATCAAGAGGGCGGGGGAGGACACAAAGAAGCGCACCATCGCCCTTCTATCATTCTTCTGGGACCAGTAAGAGAACAATGTGCTAAGCTGCAGGGTGCATCGTGCGTGCGCCAACAATCAAGTTTGGGGGGGGGGTTGCTTACAGATAAAAGACAACAGAGAGGGAGAGAAGTGTGTGGATTGCATCTTGCCGCGCGCCTGTTTGTTCTTCATTGTTGATTTCCCCATGCGGAAAGCGTCAGTCACAACTGGGCTGCCATTGGCTCTGGGCGGGGTTGTTTTTGTTGGTTGGTACGTCGGCTTGCAAACAGTGAGTCGGAATCGAGTCCAGGAAGCAGGTATTAGCGCCGTTCCTCTTTGATGCCGGTTGGCATGTCACTTTAAGCAGCATCTTTGCAATGCCCATCGAATGCCCTGCGAAAGATGATGGGTATGAGGGTCTAGCTTGAAGCATCTGCTGAGCAATGGACTTTTCTCTAGCATCTTGATATACCCGATGAGGGGGGGCGCAAGGGGCGCAAGGGGCGCAAGGCGAATGTGTGATTCTTTTGGTTTTGGTTCTTTGTCAGTTCGTGGCGCATGGCCCTCGATCCCTTTTTTTTTTCTTTCCGTTTATGGCTTTGGGTTGATGTAACATTCCATGCGGCGAGGCGACGGGGGCCCGTGGTGTATAGCCTCTCCGTCTTCCCAGCTGACACCAGATGTAGCGATTCACTGCCAGTGCCAGCTTATCGGATTGATCCGCAAGCCGTTATCAAAAAATTTCGAGAAACGGCACCCGGCCCTGGCAGTGCAAGCCGATATTTGTAAAGTGAAATTATACCGCCCAGGAAAAGACCAATTCGTCGATATACTGACCAGCGGCAACTGAAAAGTCACGTCATTCAACTCATTGCGACACTTATTCGAGATCACCACATCATTCCTTCCCATCCCACCCTCTCCCCAAAAAAGAACAAAAATGCCCGGCAGAACCGACTCGGAAGACGTCCCCATGGACGAGGCGCCCACCTCTCACCAGCCCGAGGAGCAAGAGGAGGAGGAGGCCCAGGACTCGACCGAGCAGGAGGAGGAAGAGGAGGATGAGCCCCAGCGCGTCAGGATTGTGAGTTTCGGCAATGTTCTCGGGTTTTCCATCACGGGACACGGAGGTGGACTAACCCTGAGTCGTAGCTGCCCGGCTCAACAGACACAGCCGCCTCATTCGAGTTTGTTGATGAGGGTCACACGCTCGGCAATGCGCTGAGATATGTCATTATGAAGAAGTACGTTCAGGAATCTTTCTTGGCTTATTCTCACATAGTATGAGAATGAGCCCAGCTTGTCGGCGCTCTGCTAAAGATGCTCTCCTTTCTCAGCCCTGATGTTGAGTTCTGCGCCTACGCTATCCCTCACCCTTCGGAACCCAAGATGAACATCAGAATCCAGACCTATGGTGAGCTATGAACCCCTCCACCCCTCCCCTGGAGGCGCGCCTCTTCTGGTCTCTTGAATGTGAATAAAGTTCCTAACTGACCATTTTTCCTTCAGACGGTACCGCCGTCGCGGCTCTGCAAAAGGGTCTCAAGGACCTGCAGGCCCTCAGCGACACCGTCGCCGAGGAGTTCATTCGCGCCAAGGAGGAGTTTGGTCGGTCATAGCAGTTGGAGAATCTCCCTCTGGAGTATGAAGAAGGCGTTTTTTGTTTTACATGGGAATGAGACATCAAAATAGAACCAACGGCGTAGACAAAATATGAAAATAGGTCCACGCAATTGGACTATCTCTTCTTCTTCCTCTTCTGTTTTGCGAAAATGTTTTTGAATTGCATATTTATGTACACGAGCTCTACTTCCTCCAGCGCTCTTAGTTGCGGCCCTGCGCGAGTATGTGGTTAGCGTTCTGTCCCAAAAAAGAGTCAAAAGTCGTCTAGTGCTCTTCATCCCCTCATTTCTCTTCTTCTCCAAGGTGCTGATCACCCATCTGCGCCAGACTTACCTCCAAGAATCCGGTCATGAAGCTGTTAGGCAACCGCTTGTCTCCTCTAAAGTTTTCCTCCTTGAAGTAAGACATGACGTGTGTGGTCTGCTTCCAGAAGTTCATCGTCTCCTGCGTAATAGAACCGTACGTCAGTTCTTGGTCCAACATCTTCCCGTCCTCATTCCATGAGACCACCCAAGCTCGGGGAGGAAGTATGCCTCGCTCTCTCGCTCCCTCGCTCCCTCGAAATGCTTCGCTGCGCTCGCGCGTGGGGGTTCGTCGCCGGGGATAGGACGGTCCATACCTGGTATTCGGCGTGGCTCTTGAACAGGAGAACATCGACCACGGGGAGCTTGTTGGCGAACCTGTGGCGCTCAAACTCCTCACGTATCCGGGTGCGGAGGACGGACACGGGCAGGGGGACGTTGTACATCGTCTGGATCTCAGGTGCCTATTCCCAATGTTGCCTCGATTAGCAATGTCCCATGCCAACAAACCGGTCTTCTCGCTCGAATCGTCCTTCGAATCGTTGTGCGCCGTCCTACGGCCCTCCACGTGCGCCGCGCTTCCGGAAGGGGACGAATTGGGGCAACGTACAGCTCGAATCCATTCTCTGTAGGAAGCGAGAACCCGCCTCTTAGCGTCGTTCCAGTTGGCCGCTGCTCGAAGAATCAGTGGGAGTCCGGGGTCAATTGGTCTTTAGGACTCACACTGCCGTGTCGTCTTTGCGAATTGGGTCGGTGTGATGGCCATGGTGGGCGCGGTGGATTCTGGTGAAGAGGGCGGTTTGGCTGCTGCGCTACGTGATTCCCGACGGCCGTCGTCGCTCGCTGTCTGTCTGGGTCGAACGGGAATCTTGGGAAGCTCCAAGGTTCCGATGGCCCAATCACGTGTGGCTCCTTAGTCAGCCCGGACCCAGCGCCCAGCTGCCTGGTTTACCTCTGGGGACCTTAAAACGGCGTTGGTGAGCGGTTTTCCTACGCCGATAAGATATCGGAGCTTTTTGCCCACTACCTATGTACCTACCTGACTGACCTTTCGAACTTCAACTCCTTCGTCATTCAGCCAGCCCACAACCGCGACGCGAAACGACTTTGACGAGACTGCGAGAACCCGCCGAATCCCAACGCCGGCTTCAGCTCAAGTATCTACGAGGACCCAATCATCCACGATAACTCACGCGATACCGTAGCCCAGCATGCCTCCTATGCGGTCTTCCAAACGCAAGCCGCCTCCAGAAGGCTTCAACGACATCGAGGACCAGCTCCTCATCTTCCAGAACAAGATGAAAGACGCGCAGAACAAGCCGCCGCCGACAGGACCGAAGCACCAGGCTCAGTGGGAGATCTTCCAGATCGCGCATGCGAGGAGCCGCTACATTTACGACCTGTACTACGAGAAGGAAGCCATCAGCAAGCAGCTGTACGAGTGGCTGCTCAAGAACGGCTACGCGGACGCAATGCTGATTGCGAAGTGGAAGAAGCAGGGTTACGAAAAGGTTAGATGCCACACCAATGAAGATCCCCCAAATCATGCGACTAACATTTTTCGACAGCTTTGCTGCTTGCGCTGCGTCCAGACCAAGGAGACCAACTTCAACTCGACGTGCATATGTAGAGTTCCCAAGGCCCAGCTAAAGGGAGATCAAGAGGTTCAATGCGTCGCCTGTGGGTGCCACGGCTGTGCATCCAGTGACTAGACGAGCGCAGCCTTCGTTCGTATTTTCTGGGAAATTTCCTTCACGAGGTTGCCTCTCAGCATGGCTTCCAGTCGACAGAGGGCCCCGTGGAGGGGAGGCGTTTGGCGCTTGGCATAGCAGGGATGCTTCCGGCTCTGGGTACGATGACTCGGTTCGTGACACACGGCACAGAGGTAGTGATCCTTTCAATTGACCGTTTTGGTATCATCATGGCCTGAACGCTAATCGAAGTAGTGGTATGATATCATGACGACTTCATCGTTTGACAGGTCGTGCCTCATCGTTTTGCAAAGCCTGCTCGTCCCCCGCCCCTTCCAAACCGGACGCTGTTTGGCACAAAGTTCAGCGCCGACATTGCGCCAGCGAGATCCTCCATTTCCGTGTCTGAACGTTCCATCGTCGCTAGTTGCGCGGGCACTGGGCCAGCCTCGGACTTGGCCACCGCATCCCCCGACATTTGTGATTCTCCGCCCTGTGACGTGGACGAGTCTAGAATGCTTGATCTGCGCTTCGAACCCTTGGTTATGCTGAAGGCGTTTGACGACTTTCGCCGGTGGTGACCTGCTTCTACCAGCAGTGACCGTCGACCGTCGACACCCTCCTTGGTCACGGCAAAAAAGTAGTTTTTAGGGAACCCATGTTTGTCAATGAGGTGCATTCGACGTTTCTGCGGCGTCATGCATTTCCTCTCACAGCCCTCCACGAAGCAGGAATACTGTGGCCAGCGTCAGTGTCAGTTCGACCTAGGGGCTGACGAGGGGTAAGGGTCTCTTACCGTGTGCTCTCCTCTTTCCCGCTTGACAGCGGCGAAGGAATCATGGCATTCCTCATGATGCACATTCAGCAGATGCCCCGACGGCAGGTTCCTCCCGCATTCCAGACACCTGTTAGTGTGCGTCGCTATGTAATGCGCCTCATAGTCGTCGTATGTCTTGAAAGTTAGGGCCTCCTTGTGAGGCGGAAGGGAACATTTCATGGCAAAATCCTCAGATGCTCCCTCGGCGTCCGGCTCTACTCCAGTGAATTTGGCGGCGCGGTCATCTGAAGTCGAAATCTCTGAACTGCTACGCTCGTCTGCAGAAATGCCAGAGGCTGGGTGTTCCTCTTCGGCCTCTCGTGAGCGTTTCATCTTGAGTGAGGCCAAGTGACGGGGGTTGAATACTTGCAGATCAGGCACCCAATCCCCCACGTCGCAGCTGCTGCTAAGTTATGTGCTGAAATGAAATTTGGCAGGATCTGTGGAGAAGTTCGGACGACTGGCCAACCTGCTGCAGGCCGTAGCAGGAATCCAAATATGCTTCGCCGCGCCTTGGGCCGATCAATTCAGCAATGCCGGCGACAATAGGTCCGACGATGATGAATGGACTCGAATGTTTTGGGCGAAGGCAGATCAATGGCCGGAGCCATGGTGGGGCATTGACGGTCAAAGACCACATAACTCATGGCAGTGACGGGGCGGACAAGTCATCATCGAAATCATTGTCAACTGCAAACAAGGGTCCAGGCTCCTAACAAAGCAACAAAGCTCACCAATGATGTGCCTGTAAGGGCTATGCTGATGCTACAAGTATCCTCCGTTAGGGGAGTGAGGAACTGAAGAGGGACCAATCTCAAAATGTGCACGGTCCATGTGTGCCCGCTGTTGAGGGGCTCCATCCAAAATAACTGATCCCCCAAGCTGGAGGTGCACACATTAATTGCCTACTGTCCCATGAGCTATCCGGAAGTTCGTGTCCGTCATGGAGACCCAACATCGCCATCCTCTTCCTCCTCCTTCGCTGCCTGTCTCCGCCTGCCACTCTCGCCCTGCACCGTCTGAGTGTTCCCTTTCTTGAATGTCTGCTCTGGGTGGTGCATCGACTGTCGCTCCTTCCCTCCGACTCTCCACCCAATGTTCTTCTTCCCGACTCCCTCATCACCCCGACTACGTGCCACCACAAGCCTTCGATCCGACGACGCCGCTGCCCCGATCCCACCACCATTGTCGCCTTCTTCACCCTCATACCGACGACCCTCACGACCCAGCGCCTCTCACCTACCGAGTTATGGATCGCGAGCACATCCAGGGATTGGTCTTGAGAGCGTGTGAGCACAGCACGTAGCTTCGGGCTCTTAATTTTTTTGTCCCATTCCTGAATTTTTGGAGTCCCGCACCTTCCACAACAACAAACCACCCCATCGCGAAAATAATCGCAACACCACCAACGCCAAAATTCTCCCAATCGCCAACTCCAGCGCCCAGCTCCGCCATTCTCCAACATGGCGGAACACGTTGAGGCCGCAAAGCAGGCATGGCAGTAAGTAATGGTTTTTCTTTATCCGCTTTCCTTGGAATTTGGGTTGCGCCAAGTCTCGCCCTTTGCGGACAAACCCACCCAGGCATTTCAGGGTCCATGCGATCCCGGGCACCTACCTTCCGATGCTGACTTTAGACCACAGCCAAGCCCAGAAGCTTCGCAAGCATCTGCAGAAGGAGGTTGACAAGCTCAAGACTGATACCGACGGCAATGAGCTCAAGCATTTCGAGGTCTTGGAAAGCGTCATTTCTTCGTATGTATTGAATCCGACCCAATTACTGGGTCGCGACACCCTGCTGACTTGTGTTCAGCCTCCGATTAGCCTGCCTCCACGTCATATTCCATGACTTCGAATATTCTGCGGCCGAGAAGGTCGAAGCCAACCTCTGGCAAGCCCACGGTCTTGTCAACACCGAATATCGAAAGGTTCTGGGCAAGCTGAGAACATCGCAACTCGCCGTCCAGAAGCGCAAGTTGGACAGGATGTACAGCGGCTTTCTTAAGACGGCGCAAAAATTCTACGTGGCGTTCGTCCAGCGCATGTCAGCCGTCTACCCGATCCCTGAGCTTCAGCGCATTGCCGAGGGGATCAAAGCCGAAAAGTTGGCAGAGGAGAACCCCATGGCCAACACCACGCCTGCCGTTCGCCAGATAATCCTGAAATACGTCCATCTGGTACTCATCCACCTCGGCGACCTTTCTCGATACCGGATGCAAGCGCGCCACAAGGTCCCGAGCTACGAAGCAGCCTTGACATACTACTCTCTCGCCCACGACATCCTTCCCAATTCCGGCTTCGCTCACCACCAGATGGGCATCATCTACTTGGATGAGAGAAAGCACCTGGATATCATCTATCACTTTTACCGCGCCATGGCAATTCAAGATCCTCATCCAATGGCGGCGCACAACCTTGAAGCAGAGCTCAAGAGCGCATCGGCGCCAAGTGCGCCGGCCCGTCGTACAGGCCCTCCTGATCCTCAAGAGGCCTTTGTGACCTGGTTCGTAAAGCTGCATTCTCACTTCAGCAAAGGAGAGCCATTCCCTCAACATGAGGGGCTTGAGAAAGAAGTCATCAACCATCTTGAGATGGCCATCAAGGCTCCCAATACCCAGGGAATCCTTTTGAAAATGGTTTTGCTCAACATGTCCGCATTCTACGTCTATAACAACAAGGCGAAGGGTAGGTGGTATTATGTGGGAAGTTTGAGACTCATTCACTGACTCACAGCAGGTGACTGGGCCACCACTGCTTTCCGAACGTCTCAGTTTCTTCTTCGCCTGAACGCTCGTTTCTTTCTGACGTTTTGCAAGTTCCTTAAGAAGGAAATGGAAAAGCTTCTCGATCAACAAGCAAGTGGCGAACAAGAGAGCGTTGACGATAAAGCCACAACCTCGACAGAGAACACTCTCCCGTTTGTGCGCTTGTATGCAGCTTGGCTGGTGGCGTGCCGTGCCGAGATTGTGAACGCCCAAGAGACCCCTGAGCTGTTCATCAAGGACATGTACAGAGGGTTCGCCAAGGCACTGACTTCTCTCTGTGAGATGTACGGAAACGAAGATCTTAAGCTCACCCCGTACTTGCTTCCCGAGGACCAGGAAGCTATAGGAATGCTCCCTCTTTGCGACCCAAGATTGCCGGATAATTGCCGTCTCAACTACGACGAGGATACTGGAAATCTGAAGCCTCAAATCCAGCACTATAGTGGCCAGCCGTTCGGCACTCTTCAAGAGATCTTCTCTAGGGTGCTGCACACGATCAAATGTGGTTTCTTCCTCGCCAACGACGATCCCAAGTTTCCATTCTCCTACACTTCTTCGCCAAGGGGGCTCACATTCAAGTACGAGGATAACTACACGCCGAAGCCTTTGGCGGCTGCAACAGCTTCCCAGCCTACGGCGGAGCAAAGCTCTGCCGCGAACGTTCCTACGACGCACCACAACGATTCCCAACGGACAGGCCTTGTCAGAAACGCGACCCCGACTGCTGTATTACCTGTACCGCCTCAAGCGGCAGCTCCGCCACTGGTGCAGTCGCACCCTACTCCCGGCCGCGGCAAAGCGCAGGGCCAGTCAGATTACGACTTCAGTTCTGACGCCGACATGCTTCACATGGTTAATGACTTCCTGATGCCTCCTCAGGCCCACGTCTCTCCTGCAGAGAGCCATGAGGACACCACGTACGGAATGAACTCAGCCATGGCCAACGAGGTATTCGGTGTGCCCCCGACCAACAGCCCGCCCGCCCTCGGATCCGCCACAGCAAAAACGTTCCCGAGTCTTCCGTGGAACATGATCTACACCCCGACACCCCAGAGCAAGAACCCAGAGCTGACGCCTCCAGACCGTGCCGCCAGGGATGCCGCTAGGAGGTCATTCGATGGCAGTGCTGGCGTCAAGAGGACTGTCCAGCCCTCGGGCACTCCAATGCTTGATGATCCCTTGGGAGAGGGACGAGAGAACCCGTACATGGCTCGGCAACAACAGCGTCCGTATGCTAGTACACCCGATATCAGTGCCCATCAGGACCGCCTTCTGCAGGCCTTTGGCAAGCAACCTACCGACTCGAGATCCATGAGCCGTGACTTCTCTGGATCAGGTGGTTATGGACTGTGGCCGATCCCGTACGGGGAAGTCAACCCCAATGCTTTGCAGCCCAGAGCGGCAGCCACCCACAGCCGTTCGTTGAGTGGATCCCGTCCTCAATTCCCCCAGAGCCCCAACATGGTTCAGAGGGGAGAGACCTTCTCGCCGGCTTCGGGGACTCAATTCTCCAATATCAGCAGCATCTACCAGAGCACGCCATGCAACGGGATAGCGTACACCGCGACCACTGCTTTTGGACGAGGCCCGATCGCGGACATGCGTGAGGACCCCACGCATTACAAGAACTTGGTCAGACAGAACGGAGGTGCCGCTACTGACGGATACACGGCCGGATACAACGACATGATTCTCCAGTCCGCGATGGCTGACGAAGGCAAGCGCACTTCGGGCCAGAACATGCGTCGTTGAGTTTTTGGACCAAACCAGGAACAATTTTCTGGTCAGACATGATTACAAAAGGCCTGCCCGGCCCGCCCGGCGGCTTGATTGGAAGTTGAACACATCACATTTGCTACTGCGATGTAAGTCGACTGGGTCCTTTCCTCTAGTTTGCACCACTGACTGGAATTACAGCGATAATGACCGCCTGATTGATTATACTGGCTCATACAATTGTTTTGAACGGATTTCACTGGACAAGATGCGATGGAAGGGACTCTGGTCTAGGATTGTCATCTGGCTGGTTCTTGTCCAGCCAAATCGTCTCCTCACATTGTTTCTACCAAATTTCTCATGACCCATGGGCACAAGGTCGTAAAAGGTGTCGAGCCCAGATTGCAAGTTGATGCAAAGTGCGATTGCCACTCATTTGAAGCTCCTCAGGAGCCAACGCCGTTGTTGAAACCGTTTTCCCTTTGACCCCCTCAACGCCAGACTATTTCTGAACAAAAAGAAACTGAAATGCTCAATGCATTAGGTGGGAGGCTACGTGCTTAACTAAGAGGAATAGGCCTGCTTGGGGAAGGGGTAGCTAGGTTGCAGTTAGCGAATGAAACAAGAAAGTTTACCATTAAGCCTCCGATTTTGCAACAAATTTGCGATGGCCAAGTACGTGATATGACTGGGGATGAACTTACGAAGGACCAAGCTCCTGGATGCTGAGCTTAGCGAGCCACTGGCCCATGTCGATGGACTGGTCGAGGGACTTGCCATCGACGATACCAGCCATCAGACCGCCGGCAAAGGCATCACCAGCACCGTTGGTGTCGTTGATCTGCTCCTTGGAGATGGGCTTGACAGGGTACTCCTTGACGCTGTCCTCGCCCTGGACGGCAACCAGAGTGGGCTCGGTACCCTGGGTAATGATGGCAACACGCTTGCGCTGCTTGTTCTCCTTGGGCAGGTTGGCGAGCGCCTTGGCAATCTCCTTGAGGTCGGTGGTGCCGAGGCTGTGAGCTTCGGCGTAGGCGGCAGCCTCGGTCTCGTTGCCGATGACGTAGTCCCAGTACGGGGCGCTGGCGTCGAGGGGGTCCTTGAAGAACTGGCAGATGAAGGGGGCGGACAAGCTGACGGCGAAGACCTTGTTGTTCTTGGCGGCCTCCTCGGCGAGCTTCTGGATGGCGGCGGGGGAGACGGTGAAGTGGTAGCCTCCGATGTAGTAGGCCTGGGCGCCTTCGACGAGCTTCCAGACGTCGGGCCGAGTCAGGTGCTCGAGGTCGTAGTGGTTAGCGGCGCCGAGGTCGGTGACCATGGAGCGGTTGTGGCCGGTGATGACAACGCCGCAGCGGCCGGTGGCAATCTTGGGGTCCACGCGGTACTCGACACGGAGACCGGCGGTCTTGACGGCATCCTGGAGGATAGAGGCGTACTTGTCGTCGCCGACACCGCCGAGGTAGACGACGGAGTTGGGAGAGAGGATGTACTGGGCACCGCGGGCGGTGTTCTGGGCGGCGCCGCCAGCAATGAGCTTGGCGTCGTAGTTGTTGAGAAGGTCCTCGTAGATACCGAGGTGCTTCTCCTCGGCAAGGATGGCATCGTTGGCCTTGATGCCGTACTTTTCAAGGAGGGCCTCGTCACCGACTGCTTGAATGTCTACCTTGCAGTGTTAGTTGCCGATATTTTGCTTCAGCTCGGTGTTAAGGAAGAGGGTTGAAGCGACGATGGCGGGGTTGCGCAATGGCGTTCCCCATCTCATTAAGCTTAAATAATTACAAAAAGGGGGAAAATAGCACTCACCAAGCAGGGGGTTCTCAAGGCAGAGAAGACGGAAATCCTGGGATGCCATTTTGTTCAATTGGGGTGTTCTGGGGTGTATGGATGAGGTGTGAAAGTGGCGAAGATTGTGGGAGCTTTCAAAGATTTTGATTTTGGTGCTCTTTCGGCCAGTTTTGGATGAGGGGATGCCGATGGTGGGGTCGCTGGACCTGTCGGAGGAGGTGGGGTGGTAGGACAAGAAACGTGCTGGAGCAGTAGGGCGAGAACTCTGAGCCTGCAGAGGGCCGTGGGCAAGAGCTCGGACTGAAGGTGCTGCTGCTGCCGATGATGATGAGAGGGTAGGGGCAGCAGGGATGGTGGGGCGAGGGCGAGGAGCAAAGGTTCTCGTTATTGTTGCATTGAGTGAATTGGTGGACGTGCAGCGTTGAGTGAGACACCTCGAGGCGGTGACTCTCTGGCAAGCGAACATTGTTGCGAGGGAGCGAATGAAGTGGAGTATGGTAGTTGATGGCCGCGAAGCAAGGGGAATCTGGAATCGATATGAAATCACCTAGTGCAAATTCCCATGGTTTCGGAGGAGTGAGTTATCAAGGCTAGGTCTCCTGAGACCGAGTTGGGGCGGGAGAGTGCTGTTTTTGTGGTTTACGCTGTCATATCATCAGACCACTCGCAGAAGGAAGGGTGGTCACAAGATAACAGCAGTTCCTCATTGTAAATTTTGAATCGATCAATTGAAAGAGGAAACCACAACTACTATGGTAGCTGGGCTTAGGAGGAAAGAACCAAGGCCACTTTCCTCCTCACTCCATTTGCTGTCCCAAACCCCGTTTTTTGTTCGTCATCCACACAAACTCCCGGCGTCTCACTCATCACATTTGGGTTTGGCGTACTCCTCTCCCTCTTGTAGCGGGGGGAACCATAGCGTGATCATTCAATGCGCAAAATGCCTTTTAGTACTTGCCGACGAGCTACCAGATGAACTGCCCTCGCGAGTACCCTCAAAAGATGCCAGCCGCGTAACACCATCCCAATGGAACCCTGAAATCCAGCCAAACTATGACCTTTATTCCTTGACCTTCTGGGTACCACGAAGCAGACCCGTCCGTCTCGCAGCAATAAGACCGGCCTTTTGTCCCTGGACGGCGTAGCGGGAGATGGTCGAGGCCTTACCGATATGCTGGTGGTTACCACCACCGTGGGGATGGTCGACGGGGTTCATGGCAACACCACGAGTTCTGGGCCAGTTGGCACCACGCTTGACAGCGAATTTGTGCTTGGCGCGAGAAGCCTCTGTAGAAATGCGTCAGTAAACCTTTTTTCCCCGATCTGTCATGTCACTGCTCTCATCCTTCCGCAATTGGGGGCCAAAACGTACTCAGGAGGGGCTTGTCGGTACGGCCGCCGCCGGCAACAATACCGATCATGCCACGGGACTCGGAGTGGACGACCTTCTTGGCGCCGGAGGGAAGCTTGATGCGGGTCTTGCCCTCATCGGGGTTGTGGCCGACAATGGTGATGTAGTTGCCGGAGGTGCGGCCGAGAGTGCCACGGTCACCGATCTTGGTCTCGACGTTGGAGACGACGGTACCCTCAGGCATGGAGCCGAGGGGAAGGACGTTGCCGACGGTCAGGGCGGCCTTCTTGCCGGCGTAGATGAACTGGCCGGTGTACATGCCCTCGTTGGCGATGAAGGTCTCGGTGTGCTGCTTGAACTTGTAGGGGTCGCGGAAAACGACCTGGGCGAGAGGAGCGCCACGGCCGGGGTCGTGGATGATGTCCTTCACGATACCACGGAGGTATCCGTGTCTCTCGGCATAGTCGAGGTTGCGGAACTTCGCGGGGGCCTGCACAGAAAGTCATCGTTAGGAAAATTTGTCGTCGTATCGCGAATTTCGAGGGTGTCGAATCTCACCTTGTTCAGGCGGGTGTTGGCCGTGAAGATAGAGCCACGACCTCTTCTCTGGTTACGGATCTGAGGGAGATTGTGTCAGCGCCTTTTGTCCTAGTCCTTGTCCATCTCGAAAAAAAAGTTCGCGGGTTTAGAATTGGTGGAATATCGAATGCGACGACCAGCAAGTCGAGATTGCGCCGGCATGGCTCTGCTAATAGAGCATCGAGTGTTGAATAGAGCAATCACTTACAACGCGACCCATCTTGGCAGTCCTCTGGCGTTCGGAGGGCTAGGTGTTGTCGTCGTGGTGAGGTTGAATCGTCGAATTCCGTCAACAAGCAGGATGGCTCAAATTTCGGAAACTGCAGTGGTGCGTGGGACTTCCTTTCCAGCCCTCCTCGCTTGAGCACGTGTATGGTCACGTGTAGAAGAAAGTATGGGAGACTGCCAAAAAAAATTGACAGAGCACGGACGGGAAAATGAAGCGGCGGCTACAGGTGCAGACCCACAGGTCCCCTGCTTTGTTGGCCAGTCTCGACCCCGGGACGCCTGCACCGCGTCACGATCTCCGCACTTTACCCTCACGTCCGGAACGTCTTATTACGGATTCAGCAGGCCATATTCACGATATCCTCAGCGCCGTCATGCCATGCAGTGCCTCTCGCTCATTACATTTCAATCTAGTGATGCACGAAAGACGTGAAGTCTTTCGATTACACGAGCGCTCACTTCTGCTCGACGAGGTTTCCTCATTCTCTTTGCTATCTAATGCTTTTCCCCTCGTGGCTGCATTTTCTGATGCTCTGTCAGGTCTGCCGTGCCCGACTGGTGTTGGTGCGTTTTGTGGGCTGGTCATGTTTTGAGCCCTCTGAAAGAAATTCGGTGAGGTTACAAGGACCCCGGAGTCTTTGGCGCCTCGGTGTGGTCCAGCGATCAACGTCATCGGAATACTCGCCGGAGTCGGCGAGGGCATTTTCCCACAGAGTGCACCGTTGAGTCCAAATCACGTTGGTTCTTGAACGGTCTTTGCGCAACAGATCGACCCTATAGGATCCAACTTGCGGGAGCACGCATCGCCGTCAGGGATCGCCGTGGTCCTGTCGCCTCTAGTGAGGTGTCAATGTTAAAAACCACAAGCTCACCGAAATCAATGAACGGGCATTGCCTTGAATCGACTGGGAAAGACATTCTGTGGGTTTGTGGCCTGTTTATTTAAACCATATACAGCCCTTTTCACGGAGTCACTAAGGACAAGAACATGTGAGAGATCGAATTGATCCTAGAACGCCATCGATGGTCTCATTTCAAGCGTCAAGAATGTCCTGCGGACGCAAAGTTGCGTAGGCGGGCGATCGCCAGGGGTTGATTTAGTCTCTGCTGATTTGGCTGAGCTGCATTGTCATGCGACGAGTGGGAAGGACAGTTCGGCGGATGGGGACGAGGGTCTCGTGGGAATGCAGTGCGAGTGTCAGGCAAACCCCCACGACACAACGACCAGGAGACAAAACTCTCCATCGACACATTGAGCACCGGCTCCAAGGTGCATCAAGTGCTGTATGGACTGCTGTGCTTGCGGTAAGCTATGGGTCAGCTGCCGCAGTGACCAGCAGGGCGGCGCAGGTGGGTGGATTGAACGCATGCCGGGGTTTGGCGACAAAGCACCCTGTCCTACCAACCCAGTGGTTGGGAATAGCATCATCGTTAGGCCGCGTCGACTTCAAGATTGGGCAAGCGCGGATTCAACCCGCCTTTCGGCCGACGGATGTCTTAGTCTGAACGATCACTTCTGTGCTCGCCGGTATGCTGGGATCCACCTGTCAGCAGACAAGCTTCCTACATCTACGACGATTCAATTACAACGGCGACTTGATGAAAGGCATCGAGCGTGATGGCTTTTGGGGGTCCTTTTGAGATGCTCAGCAAGAGAAGTCAAGTCGGATTTTGGTGTCAACCAGAAGGTTTAGTAAGGTAGGCCAGGATATCCCACGGTAGCTCCTTGGGTGGGGTACAGCCGACGTGGGTTCTCCAATAACTTCGAGGGCGAGACTCATGAAGCAGAATCAGCAAGATGGTGGCTGGGCACATATCAAGCAGCAAGCGGCAGGTAGCATGAAGAGGCAAAGGGCTACGTGAAGAAGGAATCTCATCGGGTGCAAGGCTTTGTGGCGCGGCTTTGATACACCTGATGGGATGATGGGAAGAGGAACGCCGTAGGTATTTTAGAATTTAATGACTTGGGCCTATCAGAGAACCAGACCCAAACGAGATGCGGCTCAAACGTGACTTAATTAGTCCCGCGGGTGGGCGCTCGAAACTTGCTCTTTCACCACAACGGCGCGCATACCACCTCCTCCACCTGCCACGATACCCACCCCCATCCAACTTCAACAACAACAACACACGCACACGCACACACCGCAGCCATTCACGCGAAGAGGAAAAAAATTCCCCAAGATGGCTGACGAAGATTCTTCGGATTTGTCTTCGCTGTCCTCGTTGTCGCCAGTTCCGTCCGACATCGAATCCGAAGCTGAGCCCGAAGCTACGACGAAGGGTGACATCCGGAAGTTCTTCCCCAAGCTTGCCAAAGGCAAGAAAGCTACCGTCGCGACCAAGGAGCCCTCGCCACCGCCTCGCAAGCGATCGCCATCACCACCACACGAGAATGCCTTCATAGATAACCCAGACATCGCTGTATGTGTATTGTTGCGTCGTTTCGCGCAAAAAACGCGTAGAACCACGCGCCCCACGTCATAGGACAGGCTAACGCACCTCCAGTTTCTGGTAATGTTCCGCAGCCGATTCAACGAGGCATTTCCGAAATCCTTGGCCAACTTTGGTCCCCAAGAGCTCGAACAAGACATCATTGGCAACCCTCCTGGAGAACGAGTCGAAGCTTTTCTGTGCGCATTATTGTTTCTGCTCTTGAACCGAAAGCAGGACGTCAAGTACGTCGACGCGACAGCAGATATAAGGTCTTTCAGGGTTGCTAATTGGCGCGATAGGACTGGCCAATACTCCAAGGCTGTGGACGATGCTCTTTCAGCCCACAAGTCCCAGTGGCCACGATCGTGGGAAGGGGCCAACCCACTCTCGGGTAGCAACACGTTTCACAGCATCACACCCACTCAGAGAGTTAGTACCGGACTGCTCCAGACTTGCTTTGGCTCCAATTCACTAATTAATTGACACAGCTGTCTCTGCTTCGCGCATTGGCCCTGTGGTCTCTTTCAGCATCCGAGATTGTCAAGGCTATCATCAACAAATCCTACAAAGGAAATCGCCACGATGACGACTTGAACCAGCCGCTCTCGGTTCAGCCCTGGGGCTCAGACAGTGACAAGAGACGGTACTTTCTGATTGAGGGCTTGGACGACACCGCTTTCCGTGTCTATCGAGAGAGTAACCCTGCGGGTTTCAATCGCACTTGGTGGTCAGTAGCTGGATCGATCGACGAGCTTAAGGTCCTTTCCGAGAAATTAGAAAGCAAAGATGGCGGTCCCAAGGCCAGGAAGCTTGCAGAGAAGATGACGGCGGCTATTCCTCGATTTGAGGGTACTGAAGAGGTATGCATTCACCATCGAGCTCCGGCACAATGTGACGAGGTGTCGCGTTGAGCCACGACTGACGATCACAGAAACGACGACGCAGAGAATACCGGCAGGCTCAGAAAGCCCGATTTAAACGTCCCGAGCCGGGCTTCTCTGTCTATGAGGGCCGCACGAGAGGCAAGCGAATCAAGTATACCTACTCCGACGATGAGGACTTCCTCACAGATTCGTCCAACAGGCGCTCAGCGCGCAACACTGGCACGAGTACTCCAGCGGAACCAGCAGGGCCGGTGACCACCGCCAGCGGGCGTCAGATCAGAGCTCCGCCGCGAATGAACGGGAGCAGTGCAGCAAATAGCGTCAACGGAGACTCAGAAGATTCTCGCCAGCAGTCAGAGCCTACTGCTGGCCCTGGAGGCCGGCCACGGAGAGCCGCAGCAGTCAACCATGGAACTAATGGCTGGTCATCCAAAGGAACTCGGACTCGGGGACGCGACTCTATGGATGACGATGACGATGACGTCAGCGAGCCTGACTTGGGCGACGACGAAGAGGACCATGTTCCAGATGAGAGTGAGGAAGACGATGACGAATTGGACGAAGACGTGGAAATGGCAGATGACGACTTGCTTGATGAACCTCGAAAGAGCTTGATCGTGAAGCTGTCGGTCAAGAAGTCCCCAACCACAACGAAGACGGCCATGATAACTCCCGCCCCAGAGGATGAGAAACCCTCATTAAGAGACGACGAAATGGTTGATGAGATTGTCGCCAAACCTAGAGAAAACACACTGGAGCCCGTCATCAACGTTGCGACTACGAAACAGCCCCTGAGCCCGGCTGCTGTGCAGACCTCCTTAGCTTTTAGAGGAAGCCCGGACAAGTTGCAATCTATGCTGCAACAAGTGGATGTTGGTGCGCGTGAGTAGGGCTCATTGGGAACCGGTTACCACGGATATTTTGGCGTTTGGCAGTAAAACTTTCCAGGTGGAGTACGGATAGATGACGGGAGCCATCGAGACGATCGATCAAACAATCATTTAGTAGGAGCAATTGCTTATTCATAGACGGTACTATGGCCATTGCTTTCAGAGGATATGCGCATCACCAGATGCGGCGGTACTGAGAAGTACCTGGCGTGCAGAGATACTCTGCTTCGGTTTTAGTTGTACAGATACCATACCAATTATGTTTCCTGATCCTTCCATCTCGTGTTTCCTAGTCCCTCACAACTCCTTCTTTGAGAAGGCTGTTCTCCAATTTGAACTCTTCTGCGGAGGCAGCTGCCAGTTGTTCACGCCATACCACCATCTCCGAACCCTCGCACCTATTGAGCTGCCATGGACCTGCGCGTTCTTGTTCCAGTGATGCCAGCCAATGAGGAACAAGTTATAGACGACACCCTGGACAAGCGGCATCATCACCTGCATCTAGTCAACACCTATCCTAAAGGCGGGCAGATGCGCTTGAGCAACCTACCTGGTCCCTGGCAGTGATCCACGCCACCCGCCCCCATGTGTCGGCCTTGGAGATGCTGTTGAGGTAGCTCTGCTCGAAGCGCAGGTCGGGCATGGGCGGAAGCCTTGCTGTGCGCTGCTTCGGGCTTACCACGCTGCGGGGGATATAGTCGTCGAGTTCGTCATCGTCAAGGTCGTCATGGGTCGGAACGGGCTCTAATGTTACTGGCTCCTTCTCGGAGGCGGCTGTGGAGGGATTGAGGTCGTGGCTAGGGGATGGTGCCCGGTTGATGTGGGCGGTCTGTATCGTCTCCGCGATTTGGATAGGTACGGAGGAAGCCATGTTGTGTGTCTGGCGCAGTGAGTCTGTGGCGGGCAGAAGCTACGGCAACGAATGCTTGCGCTGCGACGTCGGGGGAGCTCTAGAGGGAGACGGGCGTGTTGGGAGGTTGTGATAGAGTTAGCTCGTTAGTTGCATGGCCAATGTTCATTCAGCAATCTAATGGACGAGCTGATCCTAAACTCCTTTACTTGCATGGGGTATCCACCGCTGAGGTCATCAGCCGTTTCTCTGCGCAGAGCGAGAGGTACACTGAAATTCAGTGGCCCAACTTTTAGAGGCACGAGATCGAGTGGGGTTGAATGGGCAACTAACACCAGCACATGGCTTTGTCTCAAAACCCGCCTTGCATTTTGCCTATTCCACCGGACTGCAGCCTGCTTACCTTGGCAAATCTTTGCAAGGCATTATTGCTATTTCATTGTGTTGGTTGTTAAATTGTCTAAGCCTTGGCTTGCCAGTGACTCACTTCAGAGTCATTGCGATGGTTAGAGAATACATTGAGTGTCAGAAGAATGCCCCAACCGTAAAGAGTTGCGGCGTTGAAGATGAACCATAGGGCAGCTCCAGGCTCCAGTAACCACGGTGGTACGTGCGAGCGTCGGGAGATGAATCGCTAAAGTGGCCAGGTAAGGTAGCAGGCACCCTGTGACTCGCTTGCGGTTTAGCGCCCTACCCTGTTTGGGCGTGCACCCAGCCAGAGCCGGATCCTAGTGCGGTCCACGGTGACGGCACAAAAAATCGACCTACATACGTGGAGCACCAACTTTTCTTTCCTTGCAACCACCCGACCGCATCGCAACGCATCGTTCCCACTTGGAGAACCGCGCGACGTCGACGACAAATCCCTCACCGTCACGCGAACGCGTTCCTTCATTTTGTTGTTCCTTGAGTTCCTAAATCACCCTCATTCAAGATGTCGGATCCCCAGGCAAACGAGGCCGAGAAGAACGTGAGTTTTTTTCCCGTACTCCTCCATCGTGGCCTTGGAGCCCCTCCTTTTCTGCCCCGCGCTCCGAGCATGCAGGCTGACAAGTCCCTTGACGGGGTGCAACACAGATCGAGATATGGAAGGTCAAGAAGCTGATCAAGCGCCTCGAGGCCGCTCGTGGTAACGGCACTTCCATGATTTCGCTCATTATTCGTACGTCTTTTCCATCACCATGCCGTCGTCGCCGATGCCAGTTCGACTAACACCCCACCGCAGCCCCCAAGGATCAGATTTCCCGAGCCGCAAAGATGTTGGCTGAAGAATACGTACGTTCCGACAATCGCACATTTTTCGAGCCGAACCGTTGTTAACGAGACTATACACAGGGAACTGCGTCAAACATCAAGTCTAGAGTCAACAGACAGTCCGTGCTTTCCGCCATTACCTCGACCCAGCAGCGTCTGAAGCTGTACAACAAGGTCCCTCCCAACGGCTTGGTCGTCTACTGTGGTGAAATCTTGACCCAGGAAGGCAAGGAGAGAAAGGTCAACATCGACTTCGAGCCTTTCAAGCCCATCAACACCTCCCTATACCTCTGTGACAACAAGTTCCACACCGAGGCTCTGGCCGAGTTGCTCGAGTCGGATCAGAAGTTTGGTTTCATCATCATGGACGGTAACGGAGCGCTTTTCGGAACCCTTTCCGGAAACACCAGAGAAGTTGTTCACAAGTTCTCTGTCGATCTTCCCAAGAAGCACGGTCGTGGTGGTCAATCCGCTCTTCGTTTCGCTCGTCTTCGTGAGGAGAAGCGCCACAACTACGTCCGCAAGGTGGCCGAGTTGGCCGTCCAGAACTTTATTACCAACGACAAGCCCAACGTTGCTGGTTTGATTTTGGCCGGTTCTGCCGATTTCAAGACTGATCTCAACGCCTCCGACTTGTTCGATAACCGTCTCGCCACCAAGGTCATCAAGGTTGTTGACGTCTCCTATGGTGGTGAGAACGGTTTTAACCAGGCTATCGAGCTTTCCTCTGAGACCCTGGGCAATGTCAAGTTCATTCAGGAGAAGAAGCTCATTGGAAAGTACTTCGAGGAGATCAGCCAGGACACCGGACGGGTCTGCTACGGTATCGAAGATACCCTCAAGGCCCTGGAGCTAGGTGCTGTGGAGGTTCTGATTGTTTTCGAGAACTTGGAGATCACTCGCTGGAAGCTCAAGGACAGTCAGGGCACCGAGCACACGCTGCACACCACCAAGCAGCAGGAGGGCGGTGACCGCGCCATTTTCATGGACAAGGAGACTGGCCAGGAGATGGAAGTCGTCACCCAGGAATCATTCCTTGAGTGGATTGCAGAGCACTACAAGGACTTCGGTACCAACCTAGAGTTCGTCTCAGACCGTTCCACTGAAGGCAACCAGTTCGTCAAGGGTTTCGGTGGTATCGGTGGTATTCTCCGCTACAAGGTGAACTTTGAGCAGTTGGCTGAGGTTGATGACGATGATGACTACTACGATGGTATGTAACCTACCAGTATTTGCAAACTGCAGGAGGCTGACCGTTCTAGATTGACCAACCGAGGCCCTCGAGAACGAGGGATCGACTCAAGTACCGTCTCTGAAGCATGACAGCGAAGAGGAATCCGCGCGCACAGCGTCGCAGCCCGCGCCCGCGCCCAAGCCGAATACAGCCCATCAGCTCCTTGCAGACAGGAGCCCAATGAGCCCGGCTCACCTCACCCACCAAGTGGCGCGCCCGAGCCCGCTTCGGTCTGTTATGAAGGCCTCTTGAGTTGAGACCTAGTCTACATGTGAGACCATCTTCTTAGCCACCGTGAAAGTTGTTCAACTAACGAATGTGCCAGATGTTCCTCTCACAGACAGAGGACACTCAAGAGCGGTCGGGAGGCGACCGCTTGTTGATCGCGACTAGATAGAATGAAAATGATATTAAATGCTTAATTACTGCTTTCAAGTTTGCTCAAGCTTGTTCACTAGGCGTGAACCATGTCCTGCTCTACGCGGGATGTTGTAGTCATGCGTGACCTGCCACCTCCGCTGTTGCACCTGGATACATCATCCTTGGTAGCAGCCCTTGTTCCGACGTGGCATTGTCCCCCTTGGAGTGCGCTCATAAGTTTGCTGCACTCATCAGAGATCATCCATCACAATCGAGACAGCACTTTATTTCTGCACAGACTTGTTGCATGCGGTGGTCTTATCCGATATGCGACTATAGCCTATCAATTGGCTATATGCATATCCATGGCATTCTCTCATCACAATCTCATCGCCTAGTTGTGTAAGTCAGCAGTACCAACTTCAACATGAGACCCCTTATGCCCAGATTTCACACCTTGCGTCGGGGATACGCAACTCAGATTGCATCCTCGTCAATAGAGGCGGGAATCGCCAAGATCTTGCACACCAACAAGGAAATCCCAGACCACCTCTCACCAACCCACTCACATCTCCTCAACCTCCTGTTCTCGGACATCTTCAACTCGGCCGCCAAACATCCGCCAAAATACCCATCACTCTCAGAACCCGCCGTCCCATTGCCGCAAGGCCACCACCTGGTCTATTTCCCCCTCCAATCACCGCCCTCATGGCTAATGCCGGACGGCACGGATCCGGATCACTGTCCCGGTGCGCCCTTTACGCGTCGCCTCTGGGCAGGCGGCGAGGTCCGGTTCCGCGAGGGTTGGGAGGACGAGCTTCGCCTTGACGGGCGGAAAGTTGGCTGTGTCGAGAGCGTGGAGGATGTGAGGGCCGAGAAGGGGAGGGTGTGGGTCGAGCTTTGGCGGCGGTATGGGGTATCTGCTGCCGGTCGTGGCGAAAGCGGTCCAGCGGTCGAGGAGAGAAGAACGCTGGCCTTTCTTCCTGACGTTGATGCTCCTGCTCCGGCGCGGCGAAGTTTGAAAGGTAAATTGGTTACCGGCAACTCTATCTCGTTTCGCCCGCGGGCGACGTTGAAGAGACGGAAAGCACTAACATTAAAGACTGGCAGCACCGCATAAGCCGACGGCGTCTCTCACGCTCACGCCGACGCAGAATCTCCTCACCAACTTTAGCGCGCTGACGTACAATGCGCATGCAATCCATCTAGACCCGGCGTGGGCTGCGCAGGAAGGCCACCCGGCGACGCTGGTCCACGGACCTCTGTCCCTGGCTCTGATGCTCGCGCTCCTGAATAGGCAGGGTAGGGGGCAGAGTGTGCGCTGGTACGGGTACCGGAACCTGGCGCCGCTGTACTGCGGCCGGGAGATGACGCTGTGCCTCCGAGAAAAGGAGGCGAGTGGCAGCGAGAGGAAGTGGGATGTTTGGATTGAGGGCGCCGATGGAGGGATGGCGGTGAAGGGGACTGCTATTACTGTCGATGGCTTATGATTGAGCGTCGATGTACCGTCATCACGAAACAGGTCAGGCGATGGCAAGCGAACGAGGGTTTACGCGTGAATCGGACGAAGTCCGAAGTCTCCCAATGTGACTTTCGACCATGTAAAGGTCAACAATAAACGCAGGAAATCTTGATGGGTTTACTTGAAGTGTTAGAATAACTCAAATTACATTCCTAAAAGGTAAGAAAAAGAAAATGTGGGACTTGCAGCCCTCAGCCCCTTGTGTTCTTCCGAATTTATACCATCAATCAGTATCAGCAAGACCTCTACATGTCCACGTCATCATGACATTTGAGACGCCTTCGCTACCCACTCAACCCATCTCAACTACGCCGTTACCGCTGCTGGCTGTGTTTCTCGGCGACGGAGAAGGCGCCAGGTATGCCTCGCTTTGAAGCGATGGCGAGGTTGCGGACACAGACTGGTATTTGTATCGTTCTGCAAAGCCAGCATACTGAGGCTGGTGGCCTAGAGAGAGTGCGATCTCCGGCTGGGATGGCATTTGAGCGCCCTGGGTCGGATTATGTGACGCTGACGTTACGTCCTGAGCCCTCGATGCTCGCTTCTTTCGTACGATAAGCCAGACGACGACGCAGACTCCAATCATTACTACGGCTACGCCTCCGATGACGCCACCTACGATTGCAGGTATATCGGATGAAGCACTCGCTGGCGATGATGTAGGTGACGGGTCTGCGTTATGCGAAACTGATGAGGACGCAGAGGCCGATGTCGATGAGGTAAGGGTGATGTCTATACTAGAGGCTGTGGAATCAGTAGAGGCCAGCGTTGTCTGGCTGCCGTCAAGGAAATTGTCCTCGACGGTCTCCGGGACGAGGACTATGCTCGTGAGACCGCTATGTAATTCGAGTTGGCATCCGAGGTACCATATCCAGTTGTTCCTGTCAATATCTTTATAATACGTCACGCATTTTGGGAGCCAAGTACCATCCATAATCGTGCTGTGGACGCGAATGTTAGCCATGGAGTTCGTCTTATGAAGCAAATCGTGAACGTGCCAGCAGCGGGTATTGGGCCCGATACTGCTGCTCTTGCATACGGCAGCGGTGCCATCGTAACACCTATCGCTGACCACGGTGCCGCACAGCATGTAGTTACTGGCAGTCTGGCATGGCTGCGTCGAGGCGCATGCTAGAGGATATGTGTCTGATGTACCAACGTCAGCATGCAAAGCTACATGCTGTCTTCGTCCGACAGTCCGGAAAGGGCTTTTGAGGACTTACACCAGGGAAGTGTTACAATCCCGCATGTGTTCATGCCTAGTGTTCGAGCCGCCAAATCCGCTGCCCTTAATTCGAGCTTTCCTTCGGGCGCCGAGGTTGGTGTTGGGGCCGCTTCGCGACTGTCATGTTTCGGTGCAAGTGTCTGACGTGGTATGGGATTTCTGTTCAAGTTCCGTGGCTCCGCTGCTGCCATGCGCAGCCAAATCGCCGCAGCGATCACCACACGAAATAGAGAATTCATCACAATTTCTCGCTGTAGGAGAGGTGGTCGAGCAAGATTTTCAGGCAAGTGTTTGAGAAAGCAACACGCTCGGTTCAAGGGAATGTGGTGGTCTTTGAAGGGCCCAAGTCCTCGAGGAGTAGAGAAGGCAGGCTACCTTGGCCACTTTGATTACGAAACTTCTCATTCTTGATGTACACCTATTGGAAGGAACAAGCAAAGATAAGGAAGCAGGCTGCTGTGTTGTGTAACCTTCAGCCGCAAAATGCATTTACACCATCGTGGGCTTACCGGATGTCCCAATGAAGGCTCGGCCATCAACGCCTCTTACTGCCTTGCCAAGGTATGGGAGGCAGGCTCTCAGATGCTATACTGTCGATGGTCCGCTGATAAACACCGACGGCTTATGTTCAATATGTGTGTATGTGGCCAACGTGGTCCTAAATACGAGCTGCACTGCCGATGTTGGCATGGGTGACCGAGAGAGAGGAACTGTGCGACTTTTACATAGGTTTGCTCCATCCCATACACATTTACTAAGTTGATAGCAAATGGGGGAAAGGACAGCAAGCATAAACTTGTCAAGGCGTGTGTATGAATCAGGGTCATTCCCTCATCCTAGTCCCTATCAATCAGCCACAAGGGGTCCAGGCAAGTCCATACAAGAAGACATGGACAAACTTCAAGGCTTCTACAACTTCAAATTGGGGGGTTACATCCACATACTTATCTCAATATTCAATTGGTGAATGGAACAGCTTAAGGGAAATAAACCACTGACCAAAATGGAACACTTTCCTCACTCCTTCGCTACAGGTAGTAGAACAATCCAACGGCACTCAAAATACAGACACCCAATTTACCCTCTGAACGGCTCAAGTCCCAAGCTCTGCCGGGTTTTGATTGTCAACCACGTTGTTTCCCTGTACTTCAACAAGAGGTGTAGGCGAGTGTATCGGCCCGCGGTACGACTTTTCAGGTTCCTCGTGCTCTCCACTCCCGGCTTAAGAGTAGTTGGCTGGGGATGTTAGGATTGAGAGCCCGGTGTCCAAGGTACCTGCTATTCGTCGTACCTGAACTGTTTCCTCCGCAATGTCAGCCAGACGACGACGCAGACCGCTACAGTTATCACTGCGATTCCACCAACCATGCCTCCGACAATGGCACCTGTAGAGTTAGAAGATGAGCCGGACGGAGGTGGCGTGGGTGTTGCAGTATCCGAAGGATCTGCAGTCCTGATGGCGTCTAGGTCGTCGGACTCAGTATCTATCACCATGACTCTTTGCCCGCTGTCGTCAGGATATTCGTATTTGAGCCACGTTTTCTGTTCCGATTCATGGGGGTCTCAGGAGTATCATATAGTACGCTGGCATGTTTGGACATGATTGACTGCTTGAAAAGAATAAGCACTTGAACTCATCAAAGCTTGAACCTGCAAATAGAACGATTGGCGGCGTCTAATAAGTGCCAGAGAGTATCGTATGAGGGAGATCGCGGAAATGTGTACCAACAAAGCGCTTTAGGGCCTAGAAAGGGAGTTGTTTGCAGGCAAATAGGCGCGGTTCCATCCAAGAATGGCGTCTTGAGCACGTTACGGCATTCAAACCATGGCCTCTAGCTATAGCAATCGTTGCTTGCGCATGCGAACTTCCCGAAACCTGGCAGTTGGTATAACATCGTCAGGCTGCTAGGTCAAACATTAACTACAAGGGTGAAGACTTACTTCCGTTGTCAAGACGACTGGCTCCGCACGCATTAGAAGGGAGACTTCTGGCCTTGAGCATCAATTGCCTCGGCTCCGAGCTAGGAGCTGTCGTTGGCGCCGGGGAAAGTCCAGCGTCATGCTCTAGCACCTCCACCGCGAGAATTTCCTGGTGTGGGGGGGGGGGGGCTTCGACACCCATGGCGAGATCCAGAGACAGAAAGACCGCCGCCGTAATTAACGGCTGGAAGCAGAACATCGTGAAGTGCACCGATGCGGTCTTTCTAGATTTGCGATCAGACCTGGAATCAGTGGCAGATGAGTTTTGCTTCTAACTCCCGAAGAACGACGACAAAAGAGAGGCGGACCTGATTGAGAAGTTGGTTTTTAGCCGCTCCCTGATTGCACAGATTGCGAAGTAAGTCGTCCAATAGACAGTAGGCCGTGTCGATCTCACGACATCAATCGCCAGAGGATATAGGGCAGATTCTCATCTTAATGCATCTAGAACGTTGTATCTAACGCGTATCTAACACAAGTCTGATATGGTATCTGCAAGCTATTTGATCGGCCCTCCGCAGGCACTTGGTCATCTGAGCCCTTCCAGCCACACCATTTCGGCCACAATGATGACGGCCAATGATGATTTTGACCAGGCCGCTGAGATAACTTTTGCCGATGGGACGGGATCTCGAATGAACTGCTTTGGAGGGATGTTAGTCGTGAGATGGTCGTCTTGAGCAAAAGTATGCTTGGATACATGAGGGCTCTACAACATCGCTCACTAACAACGATCGAATGGTGCGTGAAAGCTTAGTGCCAGTAGAAGATTGAAGGAATTCACAATGCTGACTGTTCTTCGAGTTGCCCAGACATGCCTCGCCCAACAGATAATTGTTGATTTCACAAACCGTTTATTATTGCTCGGGTCAAATCTATTTGACCATGTTCTCAACCTCTCAAGATATTACCTAACCTTGAATCGTGTGCTGTGAACTCCTCTTCTACTACCAACGTAGAAGTCTGTAAAGAGGGGATCCAGATGCAGGGCCCCTCCCATCTATCGCCGCATCCAAGCTCAAAACCATCGCCAAAAACGTCGCGTTGAAGTGTCACCTTCGAGTTCCAGAAAGGACAGAGACGTCTCCCCTCAGATGCAACTAAAGAACTGTCATCAGCTGGCCGGTGCAACAACTGTTCGCCTTCAACTCACTGTACTGCTGCTATTGCAGACTGTCCTCAAGAGCCTCCGCAATCTCATTAGCAATATTGCTAACAGCACAATGTAGACATGCAACTGAAGCCCTGTCTTCACAAGACGAACTTCCAATAATGTCCGTATCCTGAGCAGATGAGACTACCGTCCCGTGTTTGCAATGTCCCGTTTATAGGTTCTCAACGTAGCTCTCCATGTCGTTGTCTTTGAAATCGGGAGCAGATCGACCCATGCCGACAAGATCAAGCAGAGCATCAGCCGTGCCATGTTTATCAATCTCAGAGTTGTAGGTGTCGTTCTCATAGAGGCTCTCCTCCTCTTTGGCCTCCATCTCAAGGGATGCACAGACTTCATCGGTGATGCTGTTCAAGATGTCCTTGCACTCATCTTCAACCTTGGTATCCATCTCGAGAGATGCGCAGACTCTATCGATGATTCCGTTCAAGATGTTCTTGCACTCGTCTCCAATCTGGATGTCAAGCGGCAATTCGTCCCCAAACAGGTCTGTCCAGCGCCGGAGCCAGGCCCTGTTGCTTGAGACACACTTGTCATAAAGTGCGCCGGTCATTTTGCCTCCCACGGGCTTTCCGTCAGTCTGCGTTTCGTTGTCAGCAAGTGTTGGCCATATAGATATTTCGACGCCCAGCCACAGCCAGGATTGTCTTACTGGAGGGGAGTAACTAAAGAGGATCTTCTCTCTCGTCCCAGCTTTGATGACCCTGTCTTCCCAGCGGATACCGGTCTTGAGTTCGAAGAACTTCCTGAACCTGGCGTACTCAGTCTTGAAGAGTGAGGAACTGATATTGGGGCGCTCGATGCCGCGCTCATGCCATTTGCCGTCGTCCTTCTTGTGGAAAAGCTTGGCTCCGAACCAGTACATGTGCGGCTTGGAGGCATGAGACTCGAACAGCTTTATTATTTAATCGAACATGTTAGCTGGGACTCAAACCAAATTCGTGATAGCCCTCCGCAATTTGTTCGTGCTCGAGACTTACGTAAAGTTCGTATTTCTCGTGCAGAGCTCCGTCCTCATCCTCTGACGTTCTGAAGAGATCGACCTTGTACTCAAAGGAGCTCTTGTCCTTCCAAATGCGGAACAGATCTGGATTGAATTGTCAACACTGATGCCCAGGGAGTGGAATCCACTTCGGACTGGTGAAAATTAACTCACCAGGATGAATCCACTTGTAAGCAAGTGCGGCAGCTCGGAACTTTCTCATCCTCTCATTCTCTTTGGTTCTCATGGCAGAGAAGTCATAGTCCCTGATTCGGAGTCTCCTGTTGCGAGTGCAAGAGAATCTGAACCAATCCCAGCTCAAAATACGAATCTTTTTCGAGCCCTTCCTTCTGTTTCTTCGCTCTGCTTCTTTGACTGAATGTTGGGATGAATGATTAGCTTTTGGTCAGGGAACAAACAGAAAGGCAAATGTGATGAAGGAGAAAGCAAAGATTCAACATTGTGTATAGGAAAGGGAAGGTGAGTTTACTTCTGATCTGCTTGTACTTGATCTTGAAGTCTTCGTCTGTGCAGATGAGATGGGTCACAGAATCATCCAAATCAGACGAGAATCGGCCACCGCGTTGCTCAGTCCACTCCTTGGCCGCGTGCTCACTAGGACAATCACTAGGGAAAGCTCCAGCGGCGGCGATGATCATGTTCTTGAAGACTGCTCTGACCATTGTGAAGACGGAAGGGTGATTGATGATCGTGAGGTATGTGATGCAGGTAGTGTCTGGCCGATAAAAGGTGAAGTGCAAATGGGTGAAAGGAAGTCTTTAATGATGATCGAGGTGAGAGGAGGACGACTTGAAATCGTAGGTGAGAGAAAAGCGACTTGAAATGATGGGTGAGAAGGGTGAAGAATTCAAGAAGAGACTGGGTGGGAAAAAGGAGGGAAAAGGGTGGTTGCCTTGTACGGACAGCTCTGAGGAAGGAGCAAAAGTCTGGGCAATAAGGAAGGAAGGCAAAACTTCCAAGGGTCAGAAATGTGATTGAAGAAGGAATGAGGGATTTGCATCTTTCCCAAGTCCGCCTAGTTATAGAAATGTACTGTACCTAGGTTGTATTAAAAAATAAGAGCTGGAAACCCGGGACACGACAGTCTCATGAGAAGCTCTAGCGCCCCAAATGTTCATCACAGCTCTGCTGTCTACCTCAGGGGGCGCTTCTTCATGCAGACCCAGGTAGCTTGATCTCACAATCTCCTGACTACTCACCAATCCATCTCATAGCAGTCATGGCCCAAGCGAGAACATGGACGCAAGTGACGGGCTGGGAACACCAAAGAAGAGGAAGGTTGCCTGGCCAGAGATGAAGTGTGAGTATCCAAATATCATGGGAACAGTGTTTGATGGAGATCAGCTGGTAGACTTTCGAGCACTAATTTACTCAATGCCCCCTATCTGAAGCTCTTCGCATTCTTGACAAACGTCCTGATCTTCTCTAAACTCTGCTTGCCGCCCTCCTCCACTCCGCTGCTCACATCGACACCTACGATACGGCCGCCAAACTCCCCCGTAGCCTTGACTGCCTCGAGCACGTTGTCGGGGTTGAGGCCGCCAGCAAGAATGATCTGCAGTTCCTGATCCTTTGCCAATATATCCTTGACACTGGAGACGTCAAGAAGCTTGCCCGAGCCAGCTCCTGGGTCGAGCAGAGGAATGGTATGGTAGCCCCGTTTTCCGATACCAACGTTGCTAGGCTTGAAAGCCCGGATAACAGGTACGGGGATCAGGCTTGCCCACTCAATTGGCTCATTACCGTGGAGCTGGACAATGTCCAGGTTGAAGCGCCTTTGCTTCTCGAGAACCTCGTCTAGTGGCTGATTCTGGAAGATGCCCGCGAGGAGCGGACGTGAGCTCGATAACCTGGCGACAGACGCAGTGTAGTAGTCTGTAGCAGATCTTATAGGGATGCTTGTTGCTGCGCGTGCGGTGGTGGGCACGAAAGTATGCACCGCTTCTGAGATAGCTGTGGCGGTCTCGTCGGAGATGCAACGCTTCGCGCCAGGAACCAAGCAAATTCCAACAAAATCTGCGCCTGCCTTAATAGCCTCAAGGGCTGCCTCGGGAGTCCGTGTTCCGCAAATCTTGACGAACAGGGGTTGAGTCTTGACCGGTTCCGGCTCAGCGTCTGAACCGGAACACAGCTCTCTGATGAATTTGGTTGTATCCGGTGCCCTAACAATGGCCTCTCCTACTAGAACAGCGTTGACTCCATCATCCTTGCAAAGGATAACATCCTTGTGGCTATTTATACCACTCAGGGCGCAGATGACGGTATTTTCCGGAACCATGCTTCTCAATCTACTCGTCGTTTTCATATCGACCTCGAAACTCTCCAGGTTGCGGTTGTTGACGCCGATAGCCTTGGCCCCAAGTTTCAAGGCTGTTGTCATCTCTTCGGCTGTCTGAACCTCAACCAACGGCTCCATTCCCAAGGAAAGAGAATACTTGTACAGCCTCTCTAGAAGTTCCGTCTCTAGCATCTTGACAATAAGCAAGACGGTGTCGGCACCAGCGAGTCTGGCCTCGAGAATTTGATACTCCTCAAAGATGAACTCTTTGCGGAGAATCGCTGGTCTATTGGGCATACCGTCCAGAACTTGTCTAACGGCCCTCAGATCCTCAATGCTGCCCTTGAACCACTCAGGCTCGGTCAATACGGATATGACGCTGGCACCTGCGAGAGCGTATTTCTTAGCCTGAGTTGGAGCGTTGATGTTGATATCAAAAATGCCCTTGGATGGCGAGGCTCGCTTGATCTCCGCCATGAGGGACACATCGAACGGCGTCTGGCGAAGGCGTTCAATGAATGAGACTTGAGGCGGAGCGGCATTGAGATCATAAGCAGCTTGCAGATCTGCAGGCCTTTGCGAGGGGACAAGCTTCTGAGCGGCAACAGAAGCCTTCCTGTGGGCGTAGATTTGCTGCAAGATATTGTTCTTCTTGCTTGCAGCCGGCGCAGATGTTGTCGTCTTGGCAGCGGCGCCGTTGGTCGTGGAGCCCTTCTGGAGCCGAGTGTTTTCCTCCCAAGTGCCACCTTGAAGTTGCAAAAAGTTTCGCAGCATGGTCCGGCCCTCTGCGGTAAGGATGCTCTCGGGATGGAATTGCACACCCTCGATGGTGTACTCCTTGTGTCGCACACCTTGGATGATGCCGGGGGATCCGTCCTCTTTGGCAACCCAAGAAGTGACCTCCAAACAGCCCGGAAGGGTTACACGTGTACCGGCTAAAGAGTGATATCGGGTAACTGGAAGACCTTGGCGCAGACCAGCATAGACACCCTTGGCATCGTGCGTCAAAGGAGATGTCTTTCCGTGAAGCCATTCTCCTGCGGATCCGACCTCGCCACCGTAGACGTCAAAGATGCACTGTTGTCCCATACAGACGCCAAAGATGGGAATCTTGCCAGAAAAGTGCTTAATGGCATCTCGACTGACTCCGGAATCCGTAGTGGGGTGCCCAGGTCCAGGACTGATGATCAACTGGGTCGGCTTCTTGTCAATCAGCTCTGCCAGCGTGATCTTGTCATTTCTGAAGACGGTCACGTTCGCGCCTTCGAGAATGAGATATTGGTAGACATTCCAGGTGAAAGAATCGTAGTTGTCGATCAAGATCAGGTTGGATGCGGTGGGGATTGGTGGCGAAGGGTCCGGATGCTGGGGTGAGTGATCGATGATATCCAAGGACGGCATCTTGGAAAAATTTGCTGAACCCGCCGAAAATTGAGTCAAGTCAGCAGTGAATTGATAGTTTCCAGCGCCTCTTGTCACGAGAAGTATCGCTTCAATGGTAATTGCATTCGAGGTTGAATGAGGTGAGTCAATGGGACGAAGGGTCGAAGTGAAGATAAAAAGGCGGCGACTCACTCAAGTTGACTGTTGCACAGTGAATCGGGGACTAGGTTTAACTGTATGAACTGGTGTAAGCTTGTGGTGAGCATACAGTACGGAGAAGCTATGACAGGCAAGCTGCATTACACCCTGACAGGCCGCCCCGCCGCTATATCGCGATCCCGGCGCCCGGGACTGCCTATTGTGGCATTGATCTTGGAACGGGCGCTAAGACGGATTAGCGCTAGCGTCTTTCCGCGGAAAAACCAAGGAACATGAACTGAAGCTCCCAAAAAAGTGAGCTCCAATCAACCACCTGCAGAAAGGCTGCAAAAGCATTCGCGGGTCCAAGTGTGCACAAGCGCGTCGACTTGCTTTCTTTGCATCTCAGGCAACATAGCTCATCGCAGCCTCGCCTGATGCAGTCTGGACCTTGACTGCTCTGCCCAATCGACCTCTGCGGCAATGGCGCAAGTGGCAGACCGTCAATATTTTCCTCCTTTGGAGGAATGCTTAAATGGAGACACCATCATCATGTGGGCAGCCCTGCGTTTGTTGACTTGCTGATTGCCCAGAAAACTAATTCTCAACCTAGCTCCTGGAAGCTCATCGCAGCTGCACTGGCAGACAAAGATGACGCCAGACGAAAAAGCAAAGCTGTTGTACAGTTTTTGCAAGACGACTTCGTACGAGCACTCATAAAAGACCCGTCGACCGCCTTTGCGCCGCCGAGCGATTCCACCAAGTCGAACTTCGAAACAAGGACCGCCGCCATACACGTCACCCCCCAGCCGAATGACAAATTCGATATCAAAGTTATCAAGGAGGATGCGCAGTGGTTGAGCAAGAATGCCAAGGTGAACCTCGTTGCTGCGCTTCGCGCGACAGTCATTGAGTTCCAGTCGCGACCAGCAAGCCACCTCACTGGAACCCTCTCCTCCCAGGATATAATCAACCTGCAGGAAGCCTCTGGCGTCGCAAACGTACAATCGTCATCTTTTGTGCCTATAACTGGAGCTGCTCAGGATGCAGAGACGATCTGGGCCGAATTTGAGAAAAACGAGTCAAGGCGACAACGGATCTTCCAGACATATCTTGCGGAAAGGCGTCACTTTTTGATGACTGCTGCATTGGTACAAGAGAACGTACTCTACACACAGCTTCCAGCACCGAATTCTGCAACCGATGCGCCGATGACGACAAATCAACTGGTCGCAGCGAACGAGCGTCCCAAATACCTCGAAAATCTCCTCACGGCGTACTTGCTATATGTCACCGAGGCCATCGGTCGACTGGCTGAGGGGCTTGAAGCAGTCGTAGAGGACAAGGGCCTCCTGGGAGAAGAGCTCGAGCTAGAATGGATGCGGACGGCACTTACTGAAGTTGTCCACGCCTTATCGGTTGTCTTTCAGTCAGTTGACGGCAATGGCGACTCTTTCGTGCCCTCCGCGGTGGTTGGTCAGTGGTTTTCCCTGATGGATAACTACGGATTCCTCAACGGGATTACGGCGGTGAGCTCACCAACAACTAATTTTGAAGCCTCGACTAACAGTAGCTAGCCGACTGATGCCATTGCCTCTCTAATTAGGCCCCTCAGATCGCTCATTTCGGCGGTATCCATCAAGCTCCTGAATCCTACACGATCCATCGAGTGTCTAGCTGAAGAAGCCCCCGAGTACCGTGGTGACGAGGATCCCTACATCACTGCCCCATCAGTCCTTGAGCAAGTCCACAATGCAATCCTCGCCGCAGCCAATGCCGATTGTGAGAGCCAAAGCCCCATCATATTCGCATGGACCGTCGTCGTCCACCGCATGTTCTATTCGCACCACGACCGAATCGAAAAGCGAGATGCGCTACAAAACCAGCGATCTCAGGAGACTTTTGAGGCCGGCGTTTTGATTCGGCCTACCACCGCTCGCCGTCTTTCTGCGGGGAGTATTGTTTCTCTTGACGGCAAATCCTTTGACATTTTCCTGACTAATGCGGGCCTGGATAAGGACTTGCAGGTCGTGGAGCAGCTGGCAGTAGCCGTCACTTCACATGGACGGGCCTACGAAGTATTATCTGAGATGGCGCTGGCTATCGGCGCCTCCAGTGACGGAGCCTTTTCGGCGCTTTTGAGCTCCAGAGTACGGCTGGCGTATGTCGACTTCCTCAAAGCCACATACCCTCTCGTAGGGTACCAATCAGACTCTGTCACCTCTCTGCTTTCGGTTTTAGGGGCTGGCCAGCAGTACTGGGATCTATCAAAGCCCTCGCTGCACCCTTCAAGCGACATCTTGGCCGAGATGCTTCAGGACGATGTTGCACTCGAATACTACTTCCACCAAGCCCTCAACCGATACCCATTTGAGCTGTTGCCCTTCCTCAACCTTTGCCGGACTTTGGCGAGCTGCACAGTTGCTGACGACCGGATGGATACGGTAGTCAACCTGTTGCGCAAAACCCCATCGCTTACCTTCATTCTCCCCGATGACTACCAGCAATATGAGCTGGCCCAGGAGGAAGATAATACCAACACATTTTACTTGCTCGAAGAAATACCGCTTTTCACGCCTGCCACAGCATGGAATCGAAGAACCCGAGTCGATGATGCTTTCAGGATACCCGCGGAAACAGTCGGACGCTTTGTCACAGATACAGGCCGCGTGGTTCTTATGGACTACGAGCATTCTGCTCTGGCCCTGCTTGGCAAGAGGCTTGAAACCCAATTAGCGCCCGAGACTTACCGCAGCGAACTGGATGCTTTCCAGCCAGAGGAAACGGCAGAAACAATTGCCCTCCTAGCAACATTACTGCGTGCCGAGGTCCTCAAGTCCGAGAAGCAAGGCTTGATTGGCGAAACATCGCTCAAGTCAGGACAAGAGCTTTTGGAAGAGATTGGCAAACACATCTCTGGAAACAAGGATCTCGTTGCGGTCGTATGCGAAACCATGGATGCCTATATGCAGGATGAGAAGGCGACGGAAGGACAGGGCATTGCGGTGCTCAACTCATGCGTTCAATTCTTACATGCGATCCTGCCACTTTGCCCGACGAGAGTCTGGTCCTACTTGGCGCGTTGCGAACTTCTCAACTCGGAAGCTCAAGCAGGAAAACTGGCGAAGATCACGGGCAATCTTGACCTGGCCGGGGATCGATATGAGCTCTTGCTGTCGGCTGTGCGACTTTTCGCTAGCCTCATTGACAGTGTCAAAAGTAGCGCTGTCCAACGTAAATCTGGCAACAAATTGGTTGGACGGCAGAAAATATCAAACAACGTTTGGCTCGGCGTGGCAGACAAGGTCTTGGGCAAAGTCAGTCTCGCAATTGCCCAAGCTGTAGTCGATGTCTTTGAGACTTCCTCGACCTGGCGCTTCGGGTCAGAGCTTCACAAAGCCCTGCTCATCCGGCACGTTGTCCCTGTCATGGATCAAATTATCGAACACACATATGGGATGGGTGATCAAGAGAGCTCGGACACGCTGGCGGCATGCTTGGAGCCCGCAGCGTCCTACATTATCGATGCGTTCCTGTCGCCCTCGACAGGGTCCCTGAGGTTCCAGCCGCTCCTTACAACTTTGGTGAACGGTCTCCAAATACCCGACTCAACTCTCTACCAAGACAGACTAGCGTCAGCCCAGGAGCAGCTCACGTGTGCTTTGCGATTTACAACAACATTGCTGCGCGTTGCTAGCTACCTAGACCGACCATCAGCGACCTTCGAGGAACACCTCTTCAAGACATCGTCGATTTTGGCAAGGTTATGCGCGATCTGCGAGCAATTCCGACGGCCAGCGCTGCTGCTCCTGGAGGCTCTGGTGCTAAGTGCCGCCAAAGCTCACGACGATCCTCCTTCTCTTCTGGGCTACCTCGGCCCCCTTTTGTCCCGATCTTTTATTGAGGTCCTGTCTCGACTCGATAAACCCTTCCTTGTTACCAAGGATGTACAAACAACGTGGAAATTCTTCTCGACGATCGTGCAAAACCGCCAGCAGTGGCTATCGAATTGCCTTTTGACAGGCAAGACACCTAGAGATGCTCTCAAGGGCGTCAGGAAGGACGCTTCATCGACACCTAACTCGGTGCTCGCGACAGCCTTCACAAAGTTGAAGAAAATTAAAGAATTAGAAACTAGGGAGGCACTCCGAATCCTCGATTTCGTCGCATCATCTCAAAACCACTGGCCTTGGACAATCTTCACCATGCAAAAAGACTCATCTTTCTTGGACTCTTTGCGCCTTTACGTCAAGGACCTCAGCAGCTTCACAGTCACCAGCAAGACAGATGCCGTCAAGGCTGCCATAGATGCCAAGATGGCTGCTTACATTGCTGAGATCTTTGCCATGCAGCTCTATCACTTGCGGCAGATGGGTGGCGCTGACACATTCGCCAAGAGTCTGGTATCGGACTTGGATTACTACCTCCGGGACGGTGTGGAAGTTTCGAGCTACAATAATTCTCTCCACAGCAACTTTGCCAAGAACTTCACAAGCAAATACCCTGGAGTTTCTTTGGAAGCTTTCAAGAGGACGACATTGCGACCCGGCGAGCTAGGCAGAAGCTATTTCTACGACTTGGAGAGCGCAACTGAGATGTTGAGCTTCGATCCAGGCTGGCACGGTCGCCGCAACAATGGGTTCCGCAATGAGATGGGGATCGCCAATGCCAACCTCTCCCTCGTTGATGCTCAGATTGTTAGTTTTCCCTTCATTATCTACCCCTCTGACCCCTGCTAACTTTTAGCAGTCTCTGTTCCACGCGTGGGAATTCCTGCTACTTGAACTTAGTAGTTCTCTCGCAGACAACGAGACTATTGCCAGACAGATGTTGCAAGTTGCGCAGCAATGCCTTGAGGCCAACCAGTCCAACCAAGGGCCAGAGAACATTTTCATGCGCATTGTCGAAGAGCGAGCTGACCTGAGCTTGCTTCTCGTCCAACGTTTAGTTGGCCGCCCTATCTCGTCGCATGACGTCAACCAGCTTCTGGGAACATTATTTACCATCATCAGCGCCGTCGAGGAACCATTTAACCCGGACTCAATCTCGTACTACCGCACAATGCTCAAGACCATTTACGTCACATTGCGCGCGTATAGCGCTGCGGAAAAGAAGTCTTTGGGAGCTTCAAAGAACGGAGGCGAGGGCTTCTCTGTTACACTAACTCAAACTGTTCTGAACCTTCTCGACCGAGTAGTCGCAAAGGGGTTCAGAACTCTTGTTGCGCTTGTACACGATCCCGAGGCCGCCGTTGCACCCGAGGACCTGGCTCTCCTGACGGCTATTCTGCAAGCTTGCCTCAACATGCCAACCATTGACCAATGCCAGACGCAGATCCTCAACATCATGGCATCATACGACGCGGTGCATGCGGCGACATCACTATTCTCCTGGGCGGACAGACGTTCCGTCAACGGTGACCCGATCTATGGCGAGCTGAGCTTGCTCTTTTTGCTGGAGCTCTCTACCCTGCCGGCGGTAGCGGAACAGATGGCCTGCGATGGCTTGCTGAGCCACCTGACTTCGGCAGGCATCACCAACTGGTTGCGCCGTGGAAACATCTCTCCCTTCTCAGAGGCTGTTGGCTCCCAGCGATGCTACAGCATTTGGGTCAAGGGTGTCTTACCTCTGTTGCTGAACCTGCTCACTGCCCTTGGCGGGACGGTTGCGCCCGAAATCGGTTATGTACTGAACCAGTTCCCTCTGCTCCTCAAGTCTAGCGTTGACCGATTCGAGGCACCCGGCGCCAGTCGGACGGCATCGAGAGAAACGCCGCACTACGTGACGCTACTTTCAGTATCCGAGGTCCACTCTCTGGCTTTGTTGACAAGAGTCATTGCCGCTCTGCGGACGGCCAACAATCGGGACATACCGGAGGTCCATTGGGATGCTGCCTCTCTTTTGGAAAACATTGACTTTTGGCTGTCGAGCCGGAAGTTGTTGCGCGACAGACTTCTGCCCCTGGGTCAGCGTGAGGTGGAATGGAAGAGCATTAAGACTGGCGCGTCCGACGAGAGTGGCCAGCCAGGAAACGTTCTGGAGAGCAAGGTCTTCTCGCAGTTGGAGGCCGTGAGGGATGTGTTGAGCGAAGACCTCGAGGAGTCCTGAGTACCCCAGGGCGAGGGTTCTCAGATAGGAATAATGAGCCGAGGGAGTCAATCTCGGCCAAGGGAATGAATGAATCGGAGGGGAACAACGACAAAAAAAGGTTTAGGCGTTCAAGTGTGTGGGATAAACGTGGGGTGCATATCTATTCCAGCCATCCTGGGATCCCATAGTCTACGTAGGATCGAATTAGCGGATACCCCTGGCAGATTGCTGGGTACGACCAACATGACGCCTAGCTTCATCGTGACTTTTGGCTCGCAAGTTATTCACAGACAACGCATTGTCACGGGGGTTCTTGGAGTAGATATTTGGTCCATTCGTCCTCTCTGCACTTGGCGGTGTTCATTCCACACTCGCAAAAGTGCCATACCATGTCTATCCACCGGCCAGGGAAAAAACGTAACACAATGTAATATACAGGAAACCTCCCTCGTCGTGGTTGACATTCCAACTCACCCGCCTGGCTTCGTTATGGTGGAGATCGTGTGGTAAATGTTGCAAATCCCAGGGCTTCCCCGACTGGTTGTCTGCCTTGCTGGGAATAGTGTTACATCAGCGCGCGCTCGTGCGAGATCTCCTTATCGAACCCGCCTGCGTGCCATTCTCTTTTCTCTTGGTTTTTTTTTTACAATCATTTGGTATGCTCTCCTTTTCAGCGACTTCCCCCCCTCTTTGATTACCAAGTGGCAAAGGGGTGGGGAATTGTGTTGTTTTGGTGTCGGATTTACTGTCCCTGCATCTGGGCCGTCATTTGGGCGTTGTGCTCCTGGAAGCGCTCGCTGAGGCGCTGCTGGGAGAACATCTGCTTCTGGATGCAGCGGGTGATGCAGCCGGTTTCGCGAGAGGAGAGGGACTTTGAGGTGAAGTCGTCGATGCACGAGGTGAAGCAGTGGTCGACGAGATTGCCAAAGAGCTGTAGATGGAGAGAGTTTGACGAGTTAGCCAAGCTTCGACATCTTGAGTGTGTTTGGGCAAAATAATGTACAAGGAACACGTGGACAGAGATAAGAGGGTATGATTTCAGAGGGGAAGCGGAGGATTGGCGAGACGTACGTTCATAAACTCCTTGACCTGGCGCTTCTGAAGTCGCTGCTGGAGCTGAGCCTCCTCGGTCTTGGTAAGGCTTGTAAGAAGGAATTGCGCGTTAGTTCGCTGCGTCTAGTGACTTTGCCTGGGGTTTTCCTGGAATCCTCCCGAGGGAAATGAACTTACGCGTCCATTCTTACTTGGTGGTTGATTTGATACTCGTCAAGGTGACGGGGTGTATGTGAGGTGAGTGGCCGTGGGGTTTTCGTGATGGAAGGGTGGTTGATTCGGGGCGATGACGATGTAAAATTTCTTTGGTTAAAGATGGGCTTTCGGGAGTGCGCTTCTCAGCAGCACTGCTGCGCTGGATGGCAGGCATGGAAGCTTGCTTCCCCGGTCGATTCTGGCCAATCAGACGTGGAAAAACCGGGCGGTGTTGGAGCTCCGAATACGATAAGGCTGTATCGGAATTGCCTTTGAAGCTTCACCTCGGATAGATGCATCAACTTCAATGGTAGTTCAGTTGCGTGAGGGTCACCAAGGCTACTTGCGCTGCTCAAAGTCGAACTCGTTCTATCACGATGCCGGGGTTTTTTCTCCTATTGTGTTTCAATATATATAACCTAGGCAGTCGCCCATAGAAGACCAGTCTCATCTTGAGTTTCCTCAACTGCCACGTTTCGCTCTTATACAATGTAAACATCACGCCTACGTTAAGCAAAGAATTGTTTCCTTTCATATGAAGAAATCTTATATACTGTGTACAAACCATCCTGACATGACCTTTACCCATGTCGTCCTATATCCAAACCTCAAGCGACAGAGTCCAGTGACATCTCGCCGGGGTATCTATCCATCCTACATAAACTAGGGTGAGAGAAGAAAAGACATTACTATTTCACATCGAATCCGCCGGGTATCCAAGAAAGAAAAGGCCCCGCCGCACAGAATGATGCGACCGGGCAGCCGAGAGCCAAAATGGGGCGCGGAGAGGCCAGTCCGTAAGCCATCCCCTTACATGACAATACAGCAAGCCTTCTCCAGCTTCTTGAGGATCTTGACGACCAATTCGCCAGTCTCGTCCTGATCTTGCTGCTGGCTCTGGCCGCCGTGGTGCTGTTGCTGTCCACCATGCGACTGACCGCCGTGGTGCTGCTGCTGGCCACCATGATGAGGCTTCTGTCCTCCATGATACTGCTGTCCACCACCACCACCACCACCAGTATGAGGCGGCGGCGGCATGGTCGCATCGCCGCCCTGGAGGTTGATGTAGATCCTACCCGCATTCTCCTCGGTCGAGTACTTGAGGCCCATCTCGCGGCAGATGGCCTCGATCCTCGGCTTCAGCTTCTGCACGTGGCCCGTCGAGTGGTTCCCCTTGCCGACGATGGCGTGCAGGTGTTCCTGGCCCCTCGCTCGGTCGGCGCGGATGCGCTCCTCGAGGATACGCTCCGCCTCCTCGACGTACTGCCCGTGAAGGTCGACGCAGCTGCCCGTCACGCGCCCGGCGGCGTTGTTCTCCCGGAAGATGAACTCGGATGCCTGACGATTGTAGTCTTCCATCTTCTGCGCGTGACGCTTGCCCTCGTTGGAGAGCTCCTTGGCGGCCGCGCCATCACCGGACTGGTACGCTTGTTGGGACTGTAGAGCATCAAGGGTTCGCGCGTTAGTTTCATGGGGACTGAATGCAAGAACCACGTGGTTTTGCAAAGGTTTGGGAGGTCGGCACTTACGCGCTCAAAGGCCTGGTTGCGCCTGTTGGCTTCCTGGTGGGCTAGGTCTCGGAGGCGATCGTACTCACGCTCCGTGTCGTCGTCGTCGTTGTCCGCGTGGCTAAAGGCTGCAACGGTTATTCTCATGTCAGCGCGCGTCCGGTTCCAGATGCCACGCCATGTCGAGCAGCGTTGTCTTTATTCGGGCTGGATGTGGCGGTCTCGGATCCAAGCCATCGCCCGAGGAGGATTCGAAAACGAAACAGGCGAGGGTGCTCACCGCGGCCGCCTAAGCGGTTCATAGGGATGGACATATTTGCCGGTTGCGCGCGCAATTCGCTTCGAGACGCTGTCCGTGATGGAATTGGCAGAGGAATGAAGCGAGTCGATGCAGCCGCAAGCAAGACAAGCTCCAAGTTGCGTCGAGATGCGGGCAAAGAGGTTGGGAGAACGGCGCTAAACAAGCTTGTTTTTCGGTGCCGGCAGCGTAATTGCGGGGCCCTGCTCCGGGCGATGACGCTTGTGCTGTCCGGCCCGGCTTCCGTCTCTGACTGCTCGGCACAGCGCAATTCAGCACAAAGACCGGTACCATGACGGGCCAGTCTGTACGCCGTATTCCAATCTGTCAATAGAGGTGAAATTCGTGTCGCGTGTAACTGGAGACGCACGACTTCGCCTCTTGTAGCTTGTGTGATCTACAGGGGCAGAAGCCGTGCGTGAACATTGTTCGAATTCGTTAGGCGGCTGAAAACGCCACAGGCATCACATGAACCCGTACTCTGGTGGGTGGCGCTTTGCAGAGTATCCCGCGGTCTCTGTGTGTCTCTCCAAGCTACGACGATTGCTTGCGTGTTCTAGCTGTCTGAGATCAAATCAACCGCACTGCAGACCGCCTCGAGCACACGGCGAGGTGGCTTAGTTTCCAGCTTCTCGGGTCCACGAGGATTTAGTCCCGGCCGAAACAAAACTCGAACAGCTGGAGCGGAAGACAATACCCACAATGGCGAACGAAGGAGGAATGGAGTCATGGATTCGACACCAGCTCGTCTGTATGATGTGCCAGACAGTGGTTACACAAGATACAGGCTCAGGGGCGGAAAGCTTCTGTGGGCCCTTCTAGAACATCGCGTCCTTTTTTTTCGATTTTTTTCCCTTCTGGATACTTTATTAGCATCCACGCATCTTTCAGGGAGACAACCAATCGTCAGTAGCAAAGGTCAAAGCACCCGCCGTCCGAACTAGCCGACCAAAGTGCAGATGGGATAATGACGATTTTCCGAGAAAGGCAATATTACCAGGGGAGGCTTCAGGGGAACAGCAGATGATCGTAAGAGCATGCCACTGATGCTAGTGTAGTTGAACAGCGACCTTGCAGAGCAGCATCTCTCACTTCGTACCTGCATGACATGCAAGAGAAGCACGCGCAGGGAGTGCTTCATCTGCCAACTTTCAAGTGCGCACTCGTCGGCTGTGGCCACTGCCATTCGTCAGCTCATGCAGTTGCACTGGGTCGGCGGCAGGGCGACCTTGACGACCAAGACGGTGTGAGTGGATGGAGTCGGCCTCGGAAACGAACAAAAGCCCCACAATTCTGGGCCTTCTTCACAATTCAAAGAGCCCTCTCGTGATCCCGCGTGGAACGACTTTTTGCAACTCCACAGATTTGCCTCTTCAGGCATGCGATGACTACATTGTATGAGTCTTCCAGCGGTTGTCAATGGCCTGGATGGATCCCGCTTTGCTTTGAGGAAAAGGAGCTCGTCTGCCATGTGGCCTCCCTGTGCCTGGCGGGAATAGTTTCTGTCATAGTTTCCGACCAGCTGCTTGCAAAGCATTTAGTGCATGTGCGATATTAGCTTATTTCGGATGTGAAATGCGTAGGTACGCCAGCTTGTTAATTTCTTTTATTGGTTCTCCTTGGACAGCTGCTTCAACGGCGTTCTTGTCAACTATCTGGCACAACGGCTGTTGAAGCTTTGGCCTTGAAAAGCCGACAAGCCTCGTCTGGCTTGCAGGTTTTGGGCTGATTGTCCCAGCACCTTGCAGAGAATCTCAGCTTCGAGACATGCACTCGGTCGGGGGGATAGCGAGAGGCAAGAAGTCCGGGTTACAATGGATGAGGGACCTGAGCAAGGGCTATCCATTGCATGAATACTGAGAATCCACTTCCGACCGCATTTTCGACAGTAAGGATAGCGTTACCCGGTACGGATACCGCAAGGTAAGGTAGGGGCGTATTCTCGATAGCCCCGTTGCGCCACCCCAGGAAACCGTCCAAAATCTGGTAATGATCGACGATTCCAACCAGGTTCGGGAAGCGCACGCCTGCAGGTCAGTGGAATGGAACCCCGAGATCACTGTCCGATCTTTCTGAGCCTCGGGGGCTTCTTCCCCCCGTATTTACGGATAGCTGGCCATCGTACGGATGATGCAGATGAGATTCGCAACGGCCAGACAACCTATGTTAATGTGTAAAGCTGCCGGCAAGGGTGGGTGATATTTGCCCTTGCATGGTCGGCTAAGATGGCTTGGTGTTTCAAGGCAGCTAAAATGGTGGGGTCTAACCGTCCACTGGGCGGCTGATGGAGACATACTCTGCCCATTGTGCCAGCGCCTGTCGACTCTGGCGTGAAAGACGTGACAATCTGTGCGTTCTATATCCGTAAGGGTTTAGACGTAAAGACGAAGCGCCGAAAGCCCCGGCCGGCGATCGCGAGACGGCTCTGGCCGGTGATTCCGCGAAGTGAATGCTGGCCTGTTTGCTCTGTTGTTTGCTTGCAAGAGAAGTAAATTCCACACTCTTACACAGTATGCGGCTGGCCGAGAGAGTGGCTCCGGCAGCGTAGCAAGTCGGAGCGTCCATTTCGATACCGTGACTTGGGGTTGAGGCGTTGTTTAGCTCCGAATACATGGTCATAGGCCTGTGGCGCAATTATTGGCTGGCTGCGATGATTGTCCTACAAGTACCAATTCCAAGAGCCAAGCCATGGAGGCGCTCTGACAGCCAATCAATACAGCGGAACCGAGTCAGTATGAACGATGTCTCTCTTTGAGCATCACAGCTTCGTTTATTGCTGAGCAGCTTGACTTGGTGGCTTTCGTAGTGCGAAGCCCATTTTGCCGCATGCTCAGACACGGCGAGCAGTTCTTTGTACATACGTCGAGTACGATTTTCCGGGTTCAAGAGAGCCGTGCGTAATGCGGGGCCTGCGTCCAGATCAGATCATCGTCTTCCAAGGTAGATCTTGTTCACTGGCAAGATCCTATCAGTGCTAGTCTTTGGTCCGCCGATAATACCATGTGCGGACAAAATCGTATGTAGCATGCGCCGTAGCCTGAAGTGATATACAGAGCGACTCACCTCGGCGGCAGCTTGCAGCATAAGCACCAAGCGGCTGAGGGCAGACGCGCGAACGAACGAGCGGCCTGGTAAAAAGCAAACATCTCGGACTGACCCGGAAGCCCGAAGACATCCTCGGAAAGAGTACGGATGGAATCGTGCGATATGACGATCAGCCGCAAACAATGCTGTTATTGTCGACGATTTCTTTGATGATGCCTCTTGGGGAAAAGTCAAGTCGACATAGTCTCATGTCTTCCCAAGATGTCAGCTCCCAATGTGAGCCGGCCAAGACATTGTCCAGACAGTCGAGATAGGAAGTATTAGTACAGACAAGGCAGTCGAAACGTTGGACGCCACTTCCTCGGATTGGATCTGTTGGCGTCAGAGTGCACACTGCCGACAACTTGTTCTTTCCAACTCGTGTTTGCTTCTTGCTTCTGGAGATTTTGCGCCACGCACAAACAAAGCCATTGCTGAGTGAGGCGGCCTTTGAAGCAAACAGAGATGCCATGGCAAGGAACCTGTTATCTCGACGCAATTCATCATAAACGTCTCGTACTTTATCCCAACCGACGGCAACGTAAAAGGAAAAGGACACGCCGGTCCTATAGACAGTGCTGTCTAGGAGAGGTTGAGCGGCCAAACATCGTAAGTGGATGCAGGGGGTGGAAAGGGAGATAAAGCAAGCGCGGAGATTCCTCACGATGAGCTGACACTAGTGGATTCCGATGTCTTTCTCAATAAGCGCAAGACAATTTCGAAGAAGAGGCTGCGCAGTTGGATCCCCGAGTCTAAAGGGAAATCGTTGATGCCGTGTGTGGTGGCAGAGACACTTGGGCGGACCCGTAATGGCGATGCTGAAAGGAGCCGCCGTGACCGTGGGACCGTAGCTCCGATGCGGCCCCGGTTCTTTTTGATGGATGAAAGAGAACTACCTAGAGCATTGGGCTGGTCCATGTAAAAGGAACGCTACTTGCACCCATGCAGCTTAGATCTACTGTGCTGGAAAGCTACCTTTGCTGAGGATGAGGGTCCTTTGTCCCAACTCGAAATTTGTGGTCTGCTTCTGAAGCAAGGTCGAGGCTGTGCACATGAGAGAAGCGTTTTCGGACGTATCAAAAGGCCACGGCTGAGTGTCAGAAAAGTTTGGGTCTTTAGCTGTTTGTTTGGCTGATGTGCAATGCAGTTTGGTGTCCAACCAATATCCAGATACCAGATATGTAAATGCCAATAACTATGTAGGGCAAAGCGCTGATAGGTAGGTAGTCAAAGAGGTCTCGAGCGTAGAATAACGCGCACGGCAGTCACTCTGACCATCTCCTTACCTCAATGAGGCGGCTGACGAGGGCGTTCGTGTTTCAAGAATTGCGATGGAAGATTTGATGGAAGGAAGTTGCTCGAGTTCCAACGTTCCATTGCCCATCAAGCTGGGCAGGTGGTGGATGGGTGGATCTCTTTGCTGGTCTGGCGTTGGCTGCACAGGTGAAGGCTCTGCCGCTCTGGTGCAGATAGGTAGTCGCCAAAAAGGAAGCATGCAGATTTTCTTCTTCTTGATTGGGACTGGCCTTAGCATCCGCGAATGCTAATGCCGGTCGGCAGAGGGAGGGTCGTCGAACGCCCATAGTGTTTGTACCCCTAGGAATCGTGGTGTTTCTAGCTTTGGCGAATCTACGAAATGGACGTCAGCTCAGGACACGATGTTAAAGTTCCCGTTCGTATTGGCATTGGCTCGTGCTTCTCACCTAATTATTATTCCTAGACCAAAGTGGCTTGATCCATATTAGGTACTACCCAGCAACAGATTGTATCCATACCGGCAGAGACATGGAGTCCCATTGCAGTTAGCGAATTCGTACCTGGCCGAAGATAGAGCTCACACAGGGTCTAGAAGGGCGCGAGAGGCCATCTCCGTGCCTGGTCTGCGGTCAGCCGTAGCGCGAGGAAATTTTACATTAGTCAGGGCGGCGAACAAGGACTTTTCAGACCAGCCAGGCCAGACAAACCAGTGCGAGACCCCTTTCCCCTGTTCTTTTCCCGCCCAGGACGCCAGGGAATATAGATGCCAGGGGACTTCGGCTTCGTTGCGGGCAACCTCTGGGCCTCTGGCTGGATAAGGCCTCGCCAAGCGACTCTCCACTAGCCATTGGTCCGGCCGCGGTGATTTCGACGTCGCAAAGGCTCGAGGGCGGATCCACGCCGGCTGGCAGACACTCCTGGTCCTCGTCTCCATCTGGACCTTATTAGCAGGTGGTTGTCGATTGGTCAGCGAAGTCCCCGTTCGCCTGGTCATGTGTTTCCGACAATTGGAAAACAGCATAGCCCAAGGTAATTGCGTAGTGTGGTGGTGGACGATACGAATCGTCTCATCAGCTTCCCGATCTGCGGTCCCTCTAACCGCTTCTCAGTGTCAGCTTGGGTCGAGAAGACGGCACAGAATATCGAGGGTTAGCTCAGGAAAAGGACGAGACAGGCGATGACAGGACAACCTAGACATTAGCGACAGGGGAGGCCAGACCAGAAACCGGGGCTAAATAAACCCAGAAGTACGTATTCCTCCTTATGTAAGGTGATTGGAAGACGACTTAAAGCAGGTACCGGTGGATACGTACCGGGCCGCACCAGAGACAGATTAGCACCAAAATCAAGGCCAGGTCCTGTATCCGTACCTTGTCCGTGCTTCTGGAACTCCCAGCCCCGGTTGGTCCCTGCCCTGCACTAAAGCCAGAGGTTCGCGCCGTAGGGAGTTGCATATCCGCGTCCAGAACGTTGCCAACACCGTCCATATATACGCTGCTGGTCTTTACTTTTGCCCGCGAGCTGTTTGTACACACTACGTACTAACTAAAGCAACGGGCCCAATGGTATGGCTGAGGTGAAATGCAAAATTGTGGTGATGTGAAGTGAGGTGAGGTGAGCTCGAGTTCGAGGTGTGAAGTGCGTCGCCGCGCACTGGCCACGGGGAGGAGCCTCCAGCGTCGCCCACCGAGCTGCTTCAGCGTCGAGAACGCCCGGCGATGGCCCCCAAAAAGCCCCTAGTCTCGCTGCCAGCTCCTCCATCACGCCGGGTACAGCCAGTCGGGGCTGTCAATCTGAGGTCCAAAGGACGGGACGCCTCCCTTCGGCAGACACTCGTCTGGCACCACTGGTTCCTCCCCTCCCTCCTTCCTCCCCCCTCATTGTCCTCCAGACTGGGAAGACAGCTAACGCCATTTCATCGCCTCCACCGTGTCTCTTCTCTCTGTTTTGCACAGTATACTTCTATCCCCGTACCTCGCCCCGAAGCGCATTGTCCGCCCCGGCGACGACTGCCGCCCACTCTTTTCTCCCACTACACTAGGTATCCTCTGGTTCCTCGCAGCACCGTCGCCGCCATCCTTGCTCATACTCCTCCACCCTTGCCCTTTCCCATCTCTCCTCTCCACATTAGAGGCACCTCCCAACCCATTCCTCTCTTTTCTCTCTCCCTCTCCTGCTCCTGGTCTCCTAATCCTGTCGCGACCATCCCATCCTCCCACCGTCCGCCCAACGGCTCGTGTTTTCTTTTCCTGTTTGCTGCGTTTTCCGACTTGTCGTCGATTGATTGACTCCATCATCAAATCCAAGACCACGAGGTAAGTCTAAATACTGCTTTTCCTACCGCATGCAGGCGAGAGAAAGACGCACCACGAAACCCCCAACTTGCCGGCGCCGACATCGAGCCACTGGGAATTGAGAAAGCGAGACGAACGAGACACTCAAGAGACAGCCTGGAAAGGGGAAACACCTCCACCCACCCGCCTGCTCGATGCCAGCATCCTCCCTCGACCTCTCGACTCTTCGCCCTCTTATCCGCCATCGCCTGGATCAATTTCGCATTCCAGCCCCGTCGCCCCCAAACAATTCGACTTGTCTCTCTCGCTCGCCCGCCGGCATCACTTACAGCCTGCGACATGGTTGGCTAACAAGCTCTGCTTCCTAACAGGCCCCCTCCAACGCGCAACGCACGATTCTTTCGGGAATCTTGAAATCACTTTAATCCCATCAATTATATTCTTCCCGTCGTCGTTTCAAACGACAACAAGTCGCCAAAATGGGTTGCGGAATGAGCACGGAGGACAAGGAGGGCAAGGCCCGCAACGAGGAGATCGAGAACCAGCTGAAGAGGGACAAGATGATGCAGCGCAATGAGATCAAGATGCTTCTTCTGGGTAAGCCGTCCCCTACCCGCCCCTGGATGTGCTATGCACTGCGTGCCCACCGCAAACAAACCAACTTCATTCAACGCTTCGCTGCGCAATGGTTCCTAACAGTTATACAGGTGCTGGTGAATCCGGAAAGTCGACAATTCTGAAACAGATGAAGCTGATCCACGAAGGCGGCTACTCGCGCGATGAACGGGAATCCTTCAAGGAAATCATCTTCAGCAACACGGTGCAATCGATGCGTGTCATTCTCGAGGCGATGGAGTCCCTGGAACTTCCTCTTGAGGACCAGCGCATGGAGTACCACGTCCAGACCATCTTCATGCAGCCCGCTCAGATCGAGGGCGATGTTCTGCCTCCCGAAGTTGGAAGCGCGATTGAGGCGCTGTGGAAGGACCGAGGTGTGCAAGCGTGCTTCAAGCGCTCTCGTGAATACCAGCTCAACGATTCGGCAAGATAGTGAGTGAAAACGCGTCAGGTGGAAAATGCCATTTACGCTAACAAACCCAGCTATTTCGACAATATCGCGCGTATCGCCGCCCCCGACTACATGCCCAACGACCAGGATGTTCTCCGCTCGCGTGTCAAGACAACGGGTATCACGGAAACCACATTCATCATCGGCGACCTCACTTACAGAATGTTTGACGTTGGTGGTCAACGATCCGAGCGAAAGAAGTGGATTCACTGCTTCGAAAACGTCACCACTATTCTCTTCCTCGTCGCCATTTCCGAGTACGACCAGCTGCTATTCGAGGACGAGACTGTCAACCGTATGCAGGAGGCCCTGACCCTCTTCGACTCCATCTGCAACTCAAGATGGTTCATCAAGACATCTATCATCCTCTTTCTGAACAAGATCGATCGATTCAAGGAGAAGCTCCCCGTGAGCCCGATGAAGAACTACTTCCCCGATTATGAGGGTGGAGACGACTACGCTGCGGCATGCGACTATATCCTGAACCGATTCGTCAGCTTGAACCAGCATGAGACTAAGCAAATCTACACGCATTTCACCTGCGCGACAGACACAACCCAGATCCGCTTCGTCATGGCGGCAGTGAATGGTGAATCTAACCCCCGTCCCGCACTTCGTGGGACAAAGCACACAAAGACGCAAAAGCTAACCCTTGATAACAGACATCATCATTCAAGAGAACCTGCGGTTGTGCGGTCTGATTTGAACAACAAAAATGTTTGCTTTTTCTACAATACCCTTTACTTCTAATTGCATGACCCAAGCCAGAAAGCGTTGCGGGGAGGCTGGTTCATGAAATTTACTTTCTTCCCGACGATGAGACGGCGACCCGACGGTTTTCCAAGATTCCCTTGATTACGCGACTGTATTTTTCTTCCTACCTCTCGGCTGTCCCCCGTATATTGCCTGGCGAATCAGGCAGTATACGTTTTTGGTTGTGCTCGTGTTGGCCTGTGTTCAGGAATAAGAGGGGAAAGGTGGGAGGTAGTTCTGTACCAAACATGATGTCTCGACCAGTAGACGGGATCGCCGCGGAAGATGGAATCCTACTGTGAGCGGGCAGCGGCAAGGGCAGTGGGAGCGTGAGATTGGGGGGAGAAGACAGTGATGGAATGATCCCCGCCAGTGGATGGATAGCAAGAGGAAAAGAAGCAATGAACTTGAATGCATTTGAGAGAGCCTGATGGATGCAAGGTGGCTTAATATTCTGTTTAATTAGGAAAATTTCCTCACTCCTCAAGCTATGGTGACTTGATGCGTAGCTGGCCTAAACTATTTTCTGAAGGCTTGCTTCGCATCTGATGATGTGTAGTCACGATGGGAAGGCTTGCCACCTTCTAGCTACGAAAGGCATCTGTGTGAGCGTTTAGATCTGACGATACTTGGTGTGCCGTGGCTGCAGCTGGTCTGCTGGACATGAATCACTTCCAACAGCCGTCCAGAATCTCATATTGAAGATGTACATCTGCGTCGCGCACTGGGTCAAGGCAGCTTGGGACGGACGACTGGTCGAGACCCGGCGCCACATCCAGGACCGGCGTCGTCGTCCGCCTCCGCTCTGCGCCGTTTGCGGCCTCGACAGAGGCGCCGCATCCGTCCTTGTGAGGGTTTCTGTAATGTACGTCAGGGAACATATCCTAGAACCGGACGAGAAGGAAGTGGCAGCATGGTACAGCTTGATGAGGGTCATCGTCTTCGTCATCAACCGCGAATGCCCGGCACCTAGCACCCAGCACCACACCATCTTTTTTTGAATTCAAGTAAAGGTTATAAGGGTCCTTTTTCTGCATATCCGTGCGGTCGCGTGCGGTCGCGGCCTCCTCCTCCTCCTCCTCCTCCTCCTCCTCCTCCCCCCGTCCGACCGCCTTTCCTTTGGTCTGGAGTACTTTGAATTCTAGAGCTGAATGGAAAGGACGCGGCGAGGGAGGTAAAGTGGCGGACGGGGCGTTGGAAAGGACCGAGATACGGAGATGTTAAAGACGCACACACACACACATCAGTGCTATAAGAATATATAGTTCAGACTTGAAGACACAATGGGATGGACGGGAAGGGAGGGGGGGGTCGATTGGTGCGGAAGCACGGTGGCGGAAGGGGACGGAAAGACTGTTGGGTGAGGGCGGGTGGCGTTACATGTGCCTACTAACCTTGTCGTCCCATTGGAGACGCTAGGAAGGGGAACATGCAAATGGATGCTTGGCCTACAGTGTCTTGAAGCTTGAGGGGATGAATCGACGGTGAAGAAGATGTTGGACTGATCGTCGACAAGGATGGCAGGTCCTTGGGCAGAAAGGCTTGGAACGGGCAGGCGGAGGCGTGCCAAGCTCATGGGTGCGACGCCCCGACTTGAACATTTACACAGACGCAAGTCACCTACTACACAGTGATGTTTGACGGTGGAGGTGGTGATGATGATGATGCTGCTGCTGCTGGAGGTAGGATCGATGTCAGCGGGGGCTTGATTTTTTTTTTTCTTTATGATATGGGTCGGGATCTAGTCCTTCATCCCGTCTGAATCTACTCCTTCCCATTCTCAAAACACGTCGCAGGATGATATGCCCTGCCCCCTCCTCTTTAGACCAACGAATTATATGAGTTGTGATGCGTTGAATACTCGGTCGTTGTATTAGCCAGCTTGCTACGAGACCTTGCCGGATGCAGAATACTCCAACATGGACGGGTTCGAGTACTCCGTCAAAGGCCCCTTTCATTTCCAACGACAAAGGGCGGAGCAAACTGAATGGCGGGGATGGTATGCTTTGCTCTGCCTCACAACGCCGGCGCATTCGGGACGATGCAATCTCGGCCCCTGATTTTGCTTTTTGGGATACATGTGTACTGTACTTGCTACGAGTCTCGGGGTAGATGAGTAAGAGTCTTCTTGGGACCAGAAAGACAATGAGATAGAGTTGGGGTTGTGTGGAGTGGCGACGTGATGTTTCATCCAGATGACGATGTTCTTCTCGTTTTCTTATTTTGCTTAAATTTATATGCACACTCATTATCCCTTTCGCAATCGCCTCTGTTTACCAACTTCGGAGGGGACGCGCTGTGCACGTTTCCCTGCGCGCTCACGTCCTCCCGGGAATAAATGTCTATTTTGCTCCAGAGGATCATGATGGGTGGGTGGAGTGGGCAGATCAGAGTTCACCTCGACCGTTGAGAAGGCGCTAATTTGGCAGCTGGTGTGCGTCTGTGTGTAAAGTAGCTTTGTCGGGGGATCGATTTCTGGCTCCAAAGTTTGTGTGTGGGATGACTTGAGATCTTTTTATGAGCTACGGATACATACGGGGGGTTTTCCCCTTGGGATGACTATTGATTAGGTGTGCGCCAGTGCGTAGGACAGGCAACACAGTTGGAACCTCGCATGTCTCTTCTTGCAGCTCCACGAATGCAAGCCGAAACCGAGAAGTTGATTGGGCAGAAAGTTCGGACTGATGAGACACGCAAAAGCTGAGAGATGGTCTGCTGCTTGAGAGGCGTTATCACACCAGAGACTCAGCAGCGGGATGGCGCATGCTACGCTGTCAGGATCTGTAGGGTGTCGTCCTCTTGCCCTACCTAAATCAATGATACCCAGACTTTCGAGAGCAAGCAAGGCGGATGTTGCAACCGATGATGGATGGAGGTGGCCTCACACTGGTCGTTGGACGATCTGTCAGGCTGGGCAAGGCGGGTTAGGTGAAATGGTTCAGCAGAGGCAAATCTGTTGGCTTTTCCCAAGTTGGAGGATATATGACAAGACGATTATAGGGTGCTAGGAAGGGGTGTTTTCGCTTCCCACTACGGGACCATGGTGCGGCGGGATCGTCCCAGTTTGGGGCTACTATACAGCCCCAGCTGTGTGACAGTTGAAAAAACATCCCAGTCAATGAAGAGGCAGACCTGTGATCATTGAGATGGGTTTGGGAATGGAGAGGAGAGCCGGTCTGAGATGCTGTACTGTGTAAGCCAAGAGGCCAGGCGTAGTGAGATTGAATGAGACAATGCACCCAGCTACCTCCTTGCACATCCGAGATCTGCAGGTTCACAGCGGATGAACTCAGAGTTCGTATTGTACCCTGTACAAGTTTCATGCATATGGACGTTGTGTTTTGAGAAGCTTCCTGGTATCAATCTATCTGTGTATGCGTGCAACCATTAACAACCACTTCAAAGTAGCTGTAACCAGTCCCTTCTTAGGACACATTTGTGTGTCTTGGGTCCGGCCAGCCTAATGTTGTCTTCTGATGTCTGCATTTCCCCTGTGTCGTCTGTGTTGTCCATCTTGTATTTCTGGCCGCATAGCTACTCCGGTTTCTGTGAGCAGGGTATATTCCCAATCCTTCTTGCGTCGTGTTTCGTCATGCCGTTCTCGTATGCTGTCCATATGTTCGCCTGCAGGGCGGGGCCTGACGATGCAAGCGCCAAGGCAAGATCAAGATGGTTGTTGGCGAGCGAGGAAGTCGAACACCTGACTCCAGCCTGCTCCCAAATGTTAACTGGTACGATGACGGTGAAGAAGCTGCGGCTTCACGTCGTGACAGCTGCGGCCTGACTGTGCGGGCGCAATAGCGGTTAGTCGGGCGCCATATCTTGGTAAGTCTGAAGAAACTTTATAGGCCTTGACGCATCATAGTCTCAAGGATTGATTCGTCTCGTTGTCTACGCTTTGGGACTCGGGGATGTAGGCAGAAAGCATAAAGGGGAAGAAGGTGAAAAGGGCCTCTCTCACGCCCCGTTGTCCCCGTCCCCCATCGCCGCCTCCGGAACGGAACCCTCAGCATCGGGATGCTGACTCGGATCATGACCCCCCTGCTGGCCGAGAAACTCGGCGTACTCGGCACTAGCCAATGCTAGCTGCCGCGCCGCCGTTTCGATCCGGAGCTGGAATCGCACGTGGGGGTTATCGCTCCGTGCCTCCGCCATGGCTCTATCCAGCACATCTTTCACAAAATGGGCCACGGTCGGGTCGGCACCTGGCTGCCCGAAGCTGGGGCCTGCGGGGGCCATGCCGGGAGCCATCGGCGCTGTGCCGGCAAAGCTTGTATTCGCTGACACCTGTGGCACAGGCTGCAGCTGGATGGCTGGCATGTGCTGTGGAAGATTATTCTCTGCGTGGCCAAGGTCGTTAGTCACCCAGCACTTTAACACCGCTTGGCCGAGCTTGTGCAATTTTTGCTTACCGTGGAAAGAGCAGCGGGAGCCGCTTGCGTTGAACCAGCAGTTGGCGCAGCTACCACACATCTGGCCACTAACGACCACACATCCGTTCCAGGGTCCGTATCCCTTGTGGCAGCTCTTGCAGGGACTATGAGCTTCCTGTCCCGACACGTGAGCCAGTAGTGCTTCGACGTTGCTCCTTCTCTTGAGATTCAGAGTTTGATCCTGGCGGCGCTGTACTGCGAGACGCTCTCCTTCGTTGTTGGCCAGTCGCTTGGCGAGGGCACTGTCGATGAGTAGCTGACCGTACCCACTCTCGGAGGCGAGGTCTTCCGCCGTTCTCGACATGGCACCGGGGCCATGAGCGCCCATCTGGGCTTCCATGGCGAACTGGGCCGGCAGGCTGTGTAGGTCGGGGTGGATATCGGGGTCAGCACCGGGTACTGTGCCGGGAGGACCGTTGGCTAGGATGCCTGCGGCGGCGAGGTCGAAGGGATTCGGGTGGTGTTGCTGCTGGTGATGATGTTGGTGATGCTGGGGAGGGGCAGTTATCTCGTCGTCATCTTCGTGTTCGGCCTCGGCCTCCGCATCGTGGGCGAGCTGCTCGAGCTGGTCGGCAGCAACGGAGGAGTGTCGGCTGGCACGGCCGTGGGCGTCGCGCTTGAGGCCGGCTGCGGGCTTCGTCACCTTATTTGGGCGGCCTCGAAGAGGCGGTCGGCTTCCGCCTCGAGCACTCATGGGGTAATCGTGGAGGACGCTGCCTCTTTTGCGATGGTAGACCGTGAGGGAGCTCTAGCTAGTCGGCGATGATAAGTGGCGTTGAGAGTGGACAGCTGGTGTCAGCTGGAAGAGTGTGTGATGAGGAGTTTGGGGGCTCGAAAGAGCTGGTGTTGATTGAGCGGGAAGAAGCTGCTGGTTGCTGTTGGGTCCCACTCACAACGTCGGTGGTGCGGATTCGAGTGGGAGCTCGGGCCAGAAGTTCTCCGCCCAACCTTTGCCGAGTATTATGTAATCTACATCATAATGTACCATGAAAGTGAAAAGGTGAAAGGTGCCATGTCGCCGCCCCTCGCGTCACTCACTATCTTACAGTGATAATGTTGACTTCCATGTGACTGTAAAGCTCCTTGTTCCCAGGCTGGAGAAGCTGGGCAAAGGGTGTTCCGTTGTTACTCCTTTGGCAACACTGTTTCCTTGTACCATCTCCATCTCCTACACTGAGCCAAGACATCAACTGGAACGCAAGGGAAGAATGCTCTCAGGTAGGCAAGGCCTAGCAACAAGCAGTATTAATGGCAAGGAGGCATGCGCAATGGAAAGAGTCGACCTTGGCCATTTATACATATCCAAATTGACACGGATTTTTTGAATCCAGACCTGAGCGCAGGTCCGGTCATTCTGAGTGTGACCTCTCAGTCATTCATTGTGGTTTTGTGATTCCCAGCCTCACGACTCAGCTGTAGGGGGGTTCTCCCAGACATCACCTCCACCCTCAGCCTCTGTCATCTCCTTCCACCTCTGAGCGAACTCCCTCAAGCCACCATCGCCTGACATACTCGCCTCAACAACCTCCTTGGGAAGCTTATGCGCCGAGTACTGCGGTGTGCTGAAATTGAAGGCGGCCGGGTTATCCTTCTCCACCAACCTCAACTCAGGCACCAGTTCGTCAGCATCCTCATCGTCTGTCGTTTCTTCAACACCACTGCCTTCGATGACTTCCTCCTCGTTGACAACCGAGCCTAGGATAGGCCTCGGGACCTTGAACTCCAGCAGCTCCACCCAGCTGTAGAGCAGACTGTCTGTCCGGGGCGCCCAGGGGTTGATATCGATAAGGCGCACCTTGCCAAGCTCGTCGCGTGAGTCGCTGTCTCCGGGAACATAGACGTCAAAGGTGAAGGAACCGTCTGGGAAGGTGAAGCGCAGGCGGTCTTCGAAGAAATCGGTAATCTTGGACACCAACGCGGGTCGCAGGCCATCGAGGAAAGGGTAGTAATTCCAGTCACGCTGGCAAAGACCAATCAGGGTGCGGTGTTTGACGAAACATCGGAACTCAAGGGCCGGGTTTGGCGAAAAGAAGGGTCTCAAGACCAGCACTGGTTGGAATGGTCTGTTGGCGGACGAGGCAACGGTATCCTCGAAGGCGTGCTCCAGGTCATGGCTCACGAAGCTGGAGCTCTTGAGAAGAAGGTAGATGTCGTTGGGCGTCGTGCATTTCAGCGTGTTCTGATGCGGTGAAATCCAAGCCGCATCTTTCGGTGCGGACCAGTTCAGCTTCGGCGCAACAGCACCACCCAACTCCTTGATCCGCTCCTTGATCTCCTGGTGGATTTCAGGGAAGCGCTCGTTGGGCGGCCGGCAGTCAGCTTCGGGCTCGTCGCCGGAGTCATCTTCTTCGAGATGTTGGTTTCGTCGCGGCGCGCCGGCTGTGTTCGAGGAAGCGGACCATTCCTCCTCTGCCTCGTCCTCTTGCGGCTCGTCGTCGTCGGCGAGAATAATGCCGTCATCGCGGATGTATTGGACAAAGTCGGGCGATAATTTGATGATCCTAGATCTGATTGAAACAGTCCGGTACTTTGGGAACCAGCTATCGTATGAGCAGTTCAAAATATGCTCCTTCGTGACTGGCGGAAAAGTGAGTTCTTCGGTCTCTTGGGCAGTTGCATTATTGATGGCGTCCAGCGTTGGCTGCCCCTCAGTGAGACCTTCAAGAGACGGCATCGTCGCAAATGAAATCCAAGCTTGACCAAGCTATCTCGACAAAGTTTGCGAATTTTTGGGTGAGAATTTCTTGGAGTTTTGGGGGTCTCGAGGTTCCGGCGAAAATGTGTGATGAAACGAAATTCGCTCTGGTCTTCACTTACATCGATGAGTCTTCTCACGCTGAGTGAGTCTTCCCGTCGCCCAAAGCAGAAAGTACCCCACCACCCCACTTGTCATAACTTTTCTGCCGGCCTCCGTCTCTCTATCCATTTTCACCGCCTTTCAAGGCCCAACTGAACTTCGTCCATAGTACCATTGCCAAGGGTTTAGTATCGGTGACGTCTCTTATAGATCCAAGGTGCCGAGATACATCTCGATTTTCCGCCAAAACCAACTCAAAGGATCGATATCAACAGCGTATTGACTATCTCCCTTGATTAGAGACAATACGCTCTACACAAATCCGAGAACCATGTCTGACAACGTCGGTCTCTCAACGCCCCGTGGCAGCGGTACCTCGGGCTATGTTCAGCGCAACCTTGCGCATATGCGCCCACGCGACTACGGCGCGCCCTACCCTCCCAAAGACGCCGACTCACTCCGCCATAGGCAGCGACAACCCGACAAAGAGATTTTGGAGCATGATCGCAAGCGCGAGGTCGAGGTTAAGGTCCTCGATCTACGCGATACCCTTGAAGACGAAGGGTAGGCTTATCCCCTCCCCCTTGCCTGGTCTTACAAGGTTTCTGATGGTGCTCTAGCCTCGATGACGACGAAGTTGAGAAGCGATGCGATGAGATGCGCAAGAAGCTTCTGGCCGAACTCGAGAGACAAAAGAATAGCCGTGGCGGCGGCGGCGGCGGTCCTGTACGGAAACACTTCAAGAGCCATCAAGTGCACGAGATGGCAGATGCCAAGATCAAAGAAAGCGAGAGATTACGGAGCGCCTTGAGGATAAGCAAGGATTACGAGGAGGGAAGCCATTGGAGGAGACAAGAGGAGAGACTCCGAGGCTCTCTGGAGAAGGAGACCAAGAGGGATGACATCGACTAAAGCATGAACGACCCAGTAGAGCCTTTGTCATGAGGCATGACGACAGGTTTTTGGTACGGAATAGCAGGGAAATAGGCGTCCAGGCGTTTGACTTAAGAGGGCGAGTAAATACGGATACGCTGCTGGGGCTTTGTTTTCAAGCCAATGGTGTCGAGGACGACCTCGTGGACTCGATAGCCGGGTCCGATTTCAAATTAATTTTGGTACATGTTCGGAGATTTCTTCCGTCGTCTAGTAGTACACAGTTGGCATTCCGTCTTTCAAGTCGTCATTTCTTCCCTGCTGGCGGTACCCAAGCTTCTGGCTGCCAGCCCTCACTTGGTCCACTGGCTTTCGCCCAAGGGTCCTTGCCATATTTCTTCTTCGCCTCGGTCGCGGGCTGGGCCTGCTCCATCGGCGATTCTGTAGTCTTCGCGTTCGCGTTTGTTGCTTCCAGCTCAGGCGCTATGGGCTGTGTCTGCGCAGTGTTCAACGACGGCAGAGGTTGACCGGTCTGCTGACCGGGGAAATCGGTCAGCCTTGGCTTTGCCTCCCATCTCGCGTCTGCCTGCGCCGACAGCACTTTCATCCGCTCCTGTCGGAATGCCTCTCGTGTTTGTTCTTCGAGTGTCGGGGGGTCCTCTCGGGTGTAGCGCAGCCATTGGTGCCACAGCGGCGACACCTTCACGTCGGAGAGGTAGGTCGATCGGGGATAGTTGACGATGCGGCGAAAGCGGCCAGGGCCATTTCCACGGGTCTCTCGAAACTCCCAAAAAGTGTAGCCCTGCAGGTCACGGCCTAGAACCGAGCGTGTTAGTCTCCATGATCGTTCGCAGAAGGAATCGGCCGGGGAGGGGGACATGCCGACAAGGAAGCGTTTGCGCCATGGCAGTCTGAGCGACTTCCACTTGTACCACGCCTCCAAAATGGGTGATATCCGTGTCAAAGACATTTGCGCTGTTGGAATGGGGGGTTGGGAAAGAAATATCTTCGTTCAGGAACCCATGGCTTCAAGTTCTAGAAAAGTAATGAAGTCAACCTCGGATTGCACAGCCACGGGAAATTTGGCCTAGGAATGGGGTATCTTATCGTCAGCCACATATTTCTTCTCCAACCCGCGACTGAGTGCTCGCAGAATCAGAGTTGCATTGGCCCCACCAGCCACCATCGCACACGTCACTCCGCAAGACCGCGGCGGTCCAGCCGGACCCCGGGTCCTGTCACCTTATCCAGGTTCCCGCCAGCGGCGCCTGGCTCTAGATGCATAAACAATTAAACCTTCCCCACCACGACCGTTCTTCGCCAGGTCTTCCCATCACTTCAACCTGCCACCGGGCTGCCTTGTTTTCCCCGCAAAACATTGACTTACCACCTGTTTTCACTCCCAAGGACTGAAGACACGCGACCGAGGAAACATCTACACCATTTGAAGCAAGTCCCGCGCACGCGCGCCGAACAACAAGAAGTTGCACGCATCCGTTCCTTGGACTCCAACATCGCCGGACCTTGCCGACGTCAGCGCCTAACCGCTGCCTCACTGAAACACCCTCACGAACCCAACCTCGAAGCGCCTAAACCCATAAGAATCAAGTCGCCCTGACGATACGAGAGCCTCCTGTAATCAATCGCTCCGTCAAAGAAGCCATTATGGCCTCAGTGTCATCCTTGGACAAGGATCTGCGCAAATTGCGCCTCGACAAGTACACCCCTGCTGCTGCAAAAGAAGTCAGCAGTTGGATCGAGGGAATCTTGGGTGAGAGACTATCGGCAGGCGACCTGCTAGAGGGACTGAAGGATGGCGTTGCGCTCTGCAAGTACGTCAATCATCATCTCCCACTACTACCAATACTGACCCAGATATTTTCAGATTGGTTAACCTCGCGATACCACCCCCCGGCGTCAAGTTCAAGAAGTCGTCCATGCCGTTTGTTCAGATGGAAAACATCTCTCACTTTCTGCGCGCCTGCAAAGAGCCCCCTCTCAACCTACAAGACCACGATGTCTTCCTTACCGTCGACTTATGGGAGCAAAAAGACCCCGCTCAAGTGCTGCAATGCCTTGGCGCTTTCAGTCGAGCCGCCAACGCAGCAAACCCAGCCAAGTTTCCGGCGGCGATTGGGAGCAGGAGCCGTGGAGGAGTGATGAGTCCTCAGGGAACTGGCCGCGGAACTCCATCGCCCACGAGGTCGCGCGGAGTTTCCAATGCATCAGGCTTCGGCTCGCCTCGGCCTACCCTGACCAGCGCCAAGACCGGAGACTCCGGCTCGGGTCGATGGAGCCCGACCAAGCCTACCTCCCCGGTTACCAGCTGGAGCAGGAAGGAACACGAAGGCGCCACATCCCCTGCTTGGAACATTGCTCAGTACGGCTACATGGGCGGCGCCAGCCAAGGAAATCTAGGAATCTCATTCGGAAGTCGGAGGCAGATCACTAGTGCGGGTCCTGACGTGCCTAGTTTGGCCGAGAAGGAGCGCATCCGAAAGGAGAAAGAAATCGAGGAGGAGAATCAGCGACAAGAGGATGCGGCCAAACGTAAGAAACAAGAGGACGAACGCGAGGCTGAGAAAAAACAAGAAGAAGAAAAACAACGATTGCTGAAAGTGAAGCGAGCGGAAGCGGACGCGAAAGCGGAGCAGCTCAAATGGGCCATGCAGTACGAGGAGTGGCAAACGAAAGACGAGGATCGCCGCAAGAAAGATACCGAAGCTCAAGCTCGCTTAGATGAGGAATCAAGTCGTCTGAGGAGCAAGAGCGACGCACGACTACGAGGTCAATTTCTCAGCCAATACCAGTCTGAGCAAGGCATCAAAGCACAGAGGACTGGAGTAGATCGGATCGCCGAGTTGGAGAGGGAGCTCGAAGAGGCGAGGGAACGCGAAAGGCAATATGAACTTGAACGCCAGGGACGGACAGGCAGGACATTGGCCGTTACCAATGACCCTAAGGAACGCGTCCGATCTAGGAGTCGGCCTTCCGACGGAACACCTAGCCGTCAAGATTCATGGTCCAGGAATGAGCGGGAGGTTCTCCAGACTGCGTGGTCGCAGCAACAAGACTCACACCAGGACGACGACCCCCCTGCGCCGCCTCCTAGATCTCCGAGACCTCTACCCAATCCGATGGCGGTTGCTTCGCCTCCTCAAAAGGCTGTAGCGCACACGACGGGTGGTCGGCCCCTTCCGGATCCTGCTGCTTATAAAGCGGCTGCCCGGCCCCCACCAAGCCGGACCGACAGACATCTTATCGACCACGCCGCTCCGGCGCCACTAGTCGCCAAGCAGACATACTCACGCGAGCTGGGCGCCACTGCTGAACAAGATGCTGAGGACCGCCGGCGCGCCCAAAGCCAGAACAAGACCAAGGCTGGTGGTTGGGCATCAAAGTCGTTGCTCGAGCGGGAAATGGAAATGGAACGCGAACGTCAGCGTGAGTGGGAGGAATCTCAGAAGGAGACGGCCAAGGCGGTCCCCAGTGGCAACGGAGTTGACGGCATCGGTGGTGGCATTGGAGGTCGCTGGGACGTGAGCCAGTGGGCGGGATATACTGGCGGAGACAACCAGAATCGGGGTGCCCAAGGCATCGGGGCTGGTCGCAGACAGATTGTCGGGCCCAGGCCGCTACCTAATCCTCCACGGTGAGAGCTTTTTTCGGATCGAGGGGGTTTCGCTTGTTTCGTGAGCGGACATATAGGCGTCTTATCCGTGTGAGCCAGGCCTTAGGCTACAGGTTGTGCTCAATAAGAATACAGATCTTGTAATGAATAGAACATTGACAAAAATCGAACTGACACTCATGTACTGTGTGTGAACCCTTGTTAGGCTTATATGAACCGCATACTATCAATTGCGAGCACAACTTCACTCAACATCTTGTTTTAGTTATGAAAACCAAGACCTGGTAGGGCCCTCAGTTCCTTGAACCTTCTGAGATAACCGGATTGATTTAGCTTCTTCTTTTGCCGTCGGTCAAACCGGGTTTGCAGCAGTTCCCGTGCATACTTACTGCAATGAAACATCGAGCCTTATGTTCTATATCACCTGTCCCAAATTGCGTTCCATCGCCAGTAATAGTCAGTAAGATCGTCGGCCAACGCCGAGTGCCCAAATGATCAAGTCTCCCGAGCGACCGATTCTAAGCTTGGGTGAGCCTTCCACATCGGGTGCCAATCGCATTTCTCTATTTCTATGAGATCTAGCTTTAACGATGGTGATGGTTCAGTGACATAGGGTTTGCGTCGTCCGAAGTTGCGGAACTCCGACCTGACTTTGTAGGCGGCGCTGGAGGAAGCCACTCTGCGAGACCATGTCGGAAAACCATATCCCGACATGTACTTGACCCCGGATCTCTAGATCATTTGATTAATTCCTTCTCATCCGCCGCCACATGAAGTCGGTTAAGGACCATTCCTGTTCCAAATAAGTCTTGATGTCTACAACAAAAGCCCACAAGATCTTTCTCCATTGATACAAGACATGCTCTCAATTGTAATGAGAATCGACTCTGTTCACCAACTCCCACGAAGCAGCCCTGAAGCTTGAGACACACGTAATGAATCTGCTCTTCCACTGTTTTCCCGAATAGGGGGAACCGGTCTCTGTACAGATCTCCTCGAAGGTTCCACCATTTTTCTTCGTGACTATCGTTCATCAACAGCAGAACAGCTTCTTCACAAGCCACGTTTATGAAGTCAAACCATTACTCGGGGAATACTTGGGTCCTGAATTCCCTGAAACACATCAACATGTCTCTTGGGCTGGACTTACTCGACATGATGAGGCGGTATTCCACTACCGTAGGCACTTCTGTTGCAAGACACATCTCCATTAGTCCAACATATGAATTCGAGACTTCATCCAGCGATCCAAAGACTTCGGCTTTGACATCGTTGCGGCCTGGGTGAGCCTCGAATCCAAGTATACTAGAGATTTCTCTCGTGAGCCGATTTCGCGTAGGCCACTTTGGCTCGTGGAACTTGAACTTACCACTCATGAGTTGTGAGTTTTGAGTTTTGTTGTGATATGAATCTACACACATCAGGGCGCGGAAAATATAGTTCCGCCCACTGAATCGCCTGGTAAACTGATTACCCATCTGATACTGCTAGGACGTAGCTTACCTCGAATAACATAGACCCGTGAAGAATAGATGTTGGGGCTATATCGCGGGATAAAAGCATTCCCTAGAATTCACTAATGTTACCACCAACGTTCCGACTGCGGCAAAGGTGAATTAGTTCCGACCTGATTTCCTTGTTTCCATCGATGATGTGCGGACGATTATGCGGTCACTCGAGTTTTGAAGTATCTTGAGAGCGACTCCAGTAGACTGAAAAGACTGTCTCTTGAAGCTTCAAACTTGAGAACAGTGAGTCTCCATCTAACACAGCAAGAAGGGCACACGTCAGCCTCCATCAAGTTCAGGACCGCAGAGTAGCACCTTTTCATGAGCTTTCCACACCTTTTAGTCGTAGTTATAGACTATGGTGTCGGTTGCTTCAGTGGGGATCATATCCCCCGCACAATGGTTCTTTGAACGCCGATGAGCGAGAGCGGAGGTGAGATGGAGTCCATCCAGACGCAGAACCTCGATGAGTTCTAGCTTTTGGAACTTCAAATAAGCCGCTCCGAAAAAGACAATAGGCTTAAAGAGAGGAACTCAAGTAATCTTAGCCACGGAACCCATTACCAGAGCTGGTAGTGAAGTAAATGTCACCTCTCGCATACAAGACCGTCATGATGACTATTTCATATAGATACTCCTTGCCAATCCCAAGCAGGTTCAACATAGGAGCAATCACCCAAATTTTGGAATCAATTCGGGATGATAAATCATCCAGGAAAGCGAAGACCAACGACAAAATGCCTTTAAAGAACTTGGAAACTAGGATCGCCTCCTCGGATATCAAATCCTAGAGGTGGCACACCTTAAAGGTTTGGACGACTCCTCAGAGACTCGTCTAGTAAGGGGATATGAGGTAAAGGGTCCATTGATGTTCCTCGAGTAACCTTCACTCTTGCTGGATAATTGTAGCTGATGGAAGAAATTTCTCTCCACGCTTTCACGCCGAAAACCTATGAGTTATTCTTTCCATTGGCTTCCAACTCAGAATGAACATGCCTGAAGAATGAGCAGCCGCTTCGGAACATTCCTGTAACTTCGCGTCGAAAATACTAAGAGTTCATTTGTACGCTAACTTCTACGGCTTCACAGCACTCACAACCGCAGTAGTTTTGCCATTATATTGCGGTCGGTGTTCATCCTGTCGAGGCTCTTGAGGACGCAAAGAGCAAGGCAAGACCAAATTTCAGACGTAACCGCGGGCTCCATGGGATTCCCGCTGCTTTCGTCTTGGTTTGAACGAATTGCCGGACAGAATGTTTGAAGTTCACTATACGATAACCCTATTCAATGCTCGTCATTCCAAACTACCATCCCAAATCTGGCCAAGCTCCCGGTATGTTAAGCGGCCGTTTTTCTCTTTTGAGATAACCAGACCGATAGGATTTTCTTGCCTGCCTCCTGCTGAACCTCTCTTGAGCAAGTTCCTTGGCGTATTTGAAACTTGAACAAAGACCGCCTGCGGCTCCTTTCCCTTCGCGACGAAGGACGTTCCGCTCGGCTCTTTCACAGTGATCCCGGACAAAGTCATAGATAAATGGCCAGTCTTCTTCTGCACTGCTGTATAACTCGCAATTTTTTAGCAATACGTGCTGCTGCCATTCTTCCTCTGCTTCCAATGCTGATAAGTAATGAAGATCAGGCCAGATCTCGACTTCAAAGAGGCAGCCCAAGTTTTTGAATTCATTTCTGGCTTCGTATGCTTTGCTGTCTGGGTCGACGTATCGGCGCCACATAGGGACGTTGAAACCTGCGATTTTTTTTGTGCAAATCATTCGTTTCCAAGCCGCCCAATTGTGATTATACGGTGAAACGTTTTCCGGAAGGTGAGCCTTTTCACGTTGCAGATACCTGTCAACGTCAATTCCGCCCGCCAACAAGATTTTCAACCAGCACGAAAGAGCGGCCTCAACCTCTCGATGACATTCGGAGCTGCTAAGAATCCAGGAAAGCGCGGTGTTGTACAAGGGCTTATACCAAGAGGGAAAGTCGTTCCAGAGAATCCATGTACTGAGTCTGTGAACATCTACACCTTCATTGATCAATGTGACAAAGAGACGAGTCCAAACTACAATTGATGGATCATCTCGAAGCCAGAAGGGATCTCTTCTGGTCTGTCTTCCGAATATTTTTACTGCTGCATCCCAGACAGCGTCGAAAAATTCCGCTTCCTCCATCGCATCCAGAGTAGGTGCTTTGCACCGATCGTAGAAGGCAGTCAAGGACTCTACATCTTTAAGATGGCCGGCCAAGAGACGGAATCTCGCGGGCAGGGAGATTGGGGTCAGCTGAACAATTTCGTTAATTGCGAAGACGCGGCGCGAAATCTCAGGAGGTTGTAAAACCATGACATGCACTCCGGCCGAGTGATGAGGTCTGCAGGTGCTGGCCGATTCATTAGTCCTCAGACCGAGCAAGAGATGTGCAAAATTACTTCTCATCTATACATAGATCGAGATTCTGTTGAGCTAGAAAGCGGCAAATCGGTGGCTGGTGAGAATGGACTGCTGACTGTAGCCGGTAAATGATTAGACAGAACACAGTCTCTTATGATGAATGCCTATTAATGTTCCGACAAATCTCACCTCAAATAGCGTCTTATTCCCTAGCATGGTGCCAAGATTGATTATTTTGGCTGAAAGTAGGTCTTGCAGAGCTGACACGTCTCCGTCGCGCATGATGTCCAACATCTCCTCAATCAGCTCTTCGTCTTGATCTCTAGAGAGGACGTGACGGACAGAAAGAGCGTAGACCATTGGGCTTAAGGTGGTCATCTCCCAATGGAGTTCGATTCTGTAGGAAAGGCTGCTGTGCCCGAAAGCATAAGTCTTGACCTCACCAATATTCGACACCTCCTGTGTGCCGAGAGAGCGAGACTTCTTGAGAATCGTCGTGGTCTGGGATTGGTACTGGAAGCCGAGTGCTTTGACCATCTTTTGATGGCCTCTTCTCACAATCCTTGTAAGTCTTGGTTCAGAAGGCATTTCGGTATTGTGATCTCGTTCGAGATCAGGCGAGATACGGTCTTTTGCTGGAGACAGGGACGAATCGCCCGTGTGGTGAACTGTCAGTTGCTGGACGACATTGCACCTGGAGCTGCGTGAAAAGTTAGGATCGGAACTTCGAGACAGTTTCTTAAAGACTTACAATATTTCTGCGGTCATCATATGCTGCAAGTAGTTCAGGTCATCGTCCAGCCACTTGCTCAACCGCAGTACATCATCTTTGCATTCCAAAAATGTGAATCCCACGGTGTTGAATGGGCGCCTCTTCCCACCCTTTCTTTCCAGCTTCGTAATGATGACATGAATCTCGGCAAGTGTCGACTGGATGCTCTTGAGAACACAGACGCCCCAAGTCTTGATGAGATCAGAGCATTGCCGCGACGAAGCGTCTCCCTCGAGACTCTTCTTGATCGCACCGCATATGACCTCGACCCTTTCAATTTTGAGCGCCAGCCGGTTGATCTCCGCCGAGGCAGACCGGTAAGCCGCGATGAGTCTCTTGACTTTGATGGCGGAATCGACGAGCTGCAACGAGAGCCCAATCACTCCGATCGCCGCCTCCATCGAGAACGAGAGCGAAGCACCAGGTGCCTCGGACTGCAATGAACTTCAAGAGATGCGTGCAGATTGACACGTTCACATGGGAATGAGAAACGGAAGAGGGACCATTTCATTCACTCCTCAAGCGAAAGAAATCAGCAAGACGAGGCTGTTAGGCAGATTTACCCCTCTCAGAGCCTGCATGAGATTGCGCAGTCGTGGCCCAATAAAGTCGCACCGTAGATATCTTCGCCACAGTCACACTTACTGCGTAAGCGGTTGGCTTTCTTGTCGGTTCAGCCATTGCCTGTGGCAGTGAGCAGCTTCTTCGCTGGCCTTCGGCTGTCGACTAAGGACGTTGAAAAAGGCACGTTATCTCCAAGAATTGTGTTCAAGAAAGTAGGCAATCATTAGGAGTTGTATACAACCCATCTACGCTATTTCATGTACTGTATATCTAATTATGTAGGTCCTGGATGCTTGTATGTGCATCTTTCCCCTTTCAACCAATATAAATTATTTACTCAAACGTAAAAGTCGAGCGGCAACTTGAGCCACTCGCACTGCTCGACATCCTTGAATCCCTTCATCATGTTGTCTTTTACGGGCCAATCAATGGCCCTCATCTTCATGTCCCCTTTCACCGAGGGCTCCCAGGGCCCCGACTTTTCTAGCGCCCTCAACGTGCTCTCAAACCCCCTAGCCTTAAGAAAGGCCTTATTCGGATTAGGATCATATGTCCTCGCAAACGAGGTGAAGGTGTCGACAAGGTATTGCATCCAGGGCAAGTCATTCTCGTCGCGAAGCGGATTTCCCTGACGCACAACATTGCCAAACAGCGGAAGCAACTCGCCCGAGTGACATCGTAGGTTGTTAGCGGGTGACTCGGGGTTTCCGTTGGGATGCGTCTTTGACTTGGGCGCCTCGCAGATGTCGAGTCTCGGCCACTCTGGCGTCTGGTACGTCCGCTCAAACTCGTAGTAGTACACCTTGGATCCGAGGACGCCATGTTCCAAGCCCGCGTACGCTGTCGCTTGGTCTACACAGCGGAACATCGCATCCGTCGCTAGCCTAGCGCCCACCCCGAATGCCGCCCGCGTCTGGTTCCTGACGTCTGTCGAAGGGAAGAGATGCTGCGGGGGAGCCGGGAGACCCTGAGACGTGAGCCAGTGGGTGTCGTTGAGGACTGTACCGTTGCGCGGGAAAATTAGAAACGGCAAGCCGTCTTCGGAGGTGATGCCCATCATGACGTTCACATTCAAGGAGTCTCCTGTAAGCTGCAACTCGTCTGTCGTCAGGTAGATGCTGTCATTGACAAGGTACCGTGCTCCCGGCCCGAGACTTCCAAGTGGCGCGTCTCGGAGACAGTCTAGTTGCGACGTTGCGTTGGTGCAGTTGGTGGTGCCAAGGATAGCATTTCCCACGAGGTCTAGCTGCTCTTCGATGGAGAAGTACTTTGAATATGACGTTCCGTAGGTCAAGCCTCCGAGGTTGCTGAGTGGGATCGCACCTGCAAACTTGCCGGCCGCCTTTGGAGACGCCATCATCGCCCGGACGGAGGCGGCACCTGCGGACTGACCAAAGATGGTGATCTTGCTTGGATCCCCGCCAAAGTCTGGAATGTGTTGTTGGACCCAGTCCAGTGCCAGAATCTGGTCGGCGAGACCAAAGTTGCCGTTCGTCTCGCCATCATCAATTGCCAGATAACCCAGAGAGCCCAGCCGGTAGTTGATGGTCACGACAACTACATCGCCACGAGACGCCAAATTTCCCCCATCGAACAAGGGATCACTGCCGAAGCCGCTCGTAAGAGCCCCGCCGTGAATCCAGAACATTACCGGCCGAAGACCGCTGTCGATTCGTCTGTTGCGGGGAAGATGGGGCGTGTAAACGTTCAGATAGTGGCAGTCTTCTGCGCCGCCGAATCCCTGATAGCAAGGGGAGCCGAATTCGAGCGCGGTGGCATTGCCTCCGGAGCCTCGATACATCCTCGGGTACGCAAACCGGCTCGTATTTGTAGCGTACCGCATGCCGTGGAAGCGGAAGCTGTTCCTGTCGCGGAAGCCAAGGACTTCTTCTCTATTGGAGTGAACCACCACCTGCCACCTCGGACTGCTATCCTGGGCTACGCCGTTGGAATATGGCGCCGTGTGCATGCACAGAACGGTATTTGTATCGGATGCGCTGGCAGAGGAAACCTCGCCTTTGAGGTTAATCGTTTGGGGGACATCGTTGTTTTTGGGCAAAACCCAGATTGCCGTCAGGTCAACATCCGGTTCTTGGTAGTCGAGAATATCCAATACCCTCCGAGTGAAGTTCGACTCTGGTGCCCATAGCTGCTCGCCTAGATCGTTGCACATGGATTTGGCCTCCCCAAAGGCCACCCGAGCCCTGAGAAAGAGAGCGCTTGCATTGGCCGCTGGACTTTTGGAGTCTTGAAGGTTGTTATTGTCAGCAAGGGGCTTCTAGACATGTGATATCGATTGCGACTCACCCAGGAGATCATTGTCTCGAATAATGGTTATATCGGTCCTGAGGTTCTGGGTCGATGGTGCGCACGAAACAGCTGCGGCTAGTAAGGCGACCAGAGCGAGCGCTCCCACGGGCATGACGTCTTGCACCGAGACCGAGTTGACAGTTCGCCGAGAAGAATACCGGAACCCATATATACAAACATGGAGGAAATCAATAACCAGAACCAAAGGAATGGATGGTAGAACTATCTGTTTCTTCCTTCTGAGCAATGTTGACCTGAACAGCAACAGAACAAGTGGCGGCATTCACTTCAAGATGAAAAAGACCCAAGGACATCCGCTCAACTTAACCTAAACAAACTGTCCATTGCGCCGAGTGAGAACAGGGCAGAAGCAGGCCAAGGATGTCCCAAGCAACGAGGCGTGCGGGAAAGAAAGAGTCGGACGGTCCGACTGGATGCCCAAGTCTTTCACTCTCTCACACTCTCTAATCCGCTTGTCGCCAATCCAGAACGACGCCCTTAGATCCTCCCGTTTCCGCCGCGGGATCCTGGGAAGAGCTCAGGCACCAAAGTCGATCGAAGCTTTGGGATCAGCCTATCCGTGTTAGAGTGGTTTATCTACCAGGAAGACCGCAGGGCTGGAAATGCAAACAAGAGAGACCTCGAGCAGGGGAGCATGATGGACGCGGGCACTCGGCGAGTTTTAGGCTGGACGCATGAGATCGCGCAGAGGCCGATGCTTTGGTCCGAGCCAGGAGCAGGCTGGCGGAAAGGTTGCTCAGGTTTCAAAACTTTGGTCTCTCGCGCGCTCGCGCGCGCCGTGCTCGTTGGCCCGCTCCGCGACAATCATACCATGTACACACAACGCAAGTTGCTTAAACCCACCTCTGGCCCTGAGGGCTGTTACTCTGATTTCTAATTAGTCCGACGGCCCGGTAGATTCTTGTTTGACACTGCAACCCCCACTGCACCAAGATTTGATGGTGTGTGTGTGTCGTCGGACGATGGGACGGGGGCGGCATTCGATTGCCGACTGTCCAGAATTTTGACAAAACGTCGTACTCGGAGCCGTTGCTGTTACGCCCTTGAGTATCTACAAACTCGGATCGGTGCGGGGTGGTTTGATGTCACACCATCTCAACGTCTAAGAGCGAAGGCATGAAGACGAGAAGGTCTGGCCGATATGAGGAGGCAGCTGGTGAGATGAACGACAATGGCGTCGTGGATCAAATCTGAACTCTGCTGTTTCCATGCTGCACCGTTTGATCGTTCCATAATTATCTCTTTGACACTATTCTAGCTGCGGTAGTGACCAGGCGCCAAGAAGGACGGCGAAACAACGGAGACCGTCAGTCTAGTTCATCGTCTGATGATTGCTCCCAGTGCATTCGCTGAGTTGTCCTTGGTGAGGTAAAATCTGCGTCCTGAAGAGGATCCTGCCCCGACGAGGTAAGAGGGTTAGATCAGGCGTACCTTACGAAGGTTGTGGAGAGGATGAGGCTCAGCATGGAACAATGTCAACCCTTCCTGACATCTAACACATGTCACAGCGAGACAGACAGACAGGTAACGTGCCGGATGGACCGCGATTTCTGATTTCTCTGGGCGTCAATAGCCAAGGTACGTAGCAGGCTGCAACTATCCCAGGCACTCTCCCTCGTCTCCATATTCCCTAGGATGATGATGTGGTGAAGCAAAGCTAAACCCGATTTTCCCGAGCACTCCCTTTGAAGCTTCTCAGCCTTTCAGATATCAATGATGATTCTAGGCATTTAGTTATGCGGGTTCAGCACCGGGTCGGGCTTGCAACAGTCGAAGTTGTCCGTGGCGACGATCCAGAACGTGAGGTCAAAGTCGCTGCAGCTGATCGTGCCTCTGACTTCCATGCTACTCTTCTTCTTCTTCTCGCCGCAATGGTCGATGCTCTGAGCGAAGATGCCCACCATGTCGAGGTTGCCAATGGTGGAATACTTGCCGGTGATTGGGGAATCAAGAAGATTGGCGGCGGGAGAACCGATGGCGACAAGGCAGGTGCCGATGCGCATGAACTCAAGCCAATTTCTGCCAGTCAGATCGAGAGCAGAGAAGGTCCATTTGCCGTAGGTTTTCTCCCAGAAGCTGAATAATTTGACGCAGTCATCAACTTCGGCATTCTGTTCGCGGTCCAGGCAGGAAACACCTTGCTCCTTGCAAACTTTCTGGGGCTCCTCAGTTTTCTCAACCGTGAAGCGCTTGGAGAGGCGAGAGGTACCGATACGGTTAGCGGTGGGAGCATCGTCTGCGTTGATGTAACCATTGGCGATGGTGGCAACATTCTTTTTGGTTTGCTTGACCTCCGCACCAGGGTAGATGCCACCCTCGACCTTCGCGAAGTCGACCTTGCCGACCTCTGGGTTGATGAAGATGGCCTTGCACTTGCCGCTGTCGAGTAAAACCTCGTGGCAGACAGCCTTCGGGAAGGGAGGCTCGGTGAAGGCGCAGAGAGAGCCACAGGCAGGGTCGCGGATGATTCCGGGGCCTTGAGCAACGGGATTGGCGGCGACAACAGCAAGCGCCACCACAGTGATAGCGAGGAGACGGGTGATGAGAGCCATCATGAGGATTCTTGATGTGGCAGTATTGATGGGGAATAGAGAGGGAAGTTGTCTCTTGAAAAAATAAATGTAGAAGTTTGTCTAAGGTAGTTCTGATTGTAGTGATCGTCGTGTTCGGCAATCTCAGGGATGATGGAGGTGGAGGTAAAGAAGGATGATGCAAGGAGGCCTTGAGTGGTATGGCCTGACGGTACTAAAGCGAAGACTGGTGAAGAAGGTGCCTTTGATTCTGTGTGTTTGTTCGATTAATAGCAGAGGAAGGAGGGGAAAACAAAGGAGGAAGGTACGGCGTGGGTGGACAAGAATGCCGGTCAAGAGGGGGAAGGCACGTAGAAGCATGAGGTGAAAGGGAGTTAGGCATGGAATAGAGCCACTACCACTTATAACCATCACCTGAAGGGACTTGGCTGTTCAAGATTCACGTAGAGGGTTCAGGAGTAAAATATCCCTCTGACTCTGCGTTGCGAAATAGACTAGCTGGATCAAGATGGGATTTCTTGCTCACGTGGGCTCGGTCAAATTTCTGAACCTTCTACTTTTCAAGGAGCAAGATATGGCTATGGTGATGAGGAATTTTATTCAAAAAACGTCCGGTCATTTGGTGCGCATGAAGCCTGTGTATTAAGACTGGTGATGATGGCCAACTAGAGTACCCTCCTTCCAATGTGAACTCAAGAAATCCCAAGGAGCGGTTCCTAGCTACTCTTTCCTCCATCCCATCCTTTGTGAATCCATGTCGACCCTATAAGCATGTCTGTTCTCAAGAGCCAAGTCCATAGCATATGCTCATCCTTCAGTTGTCCCACTTGATCATGTCGGGGTTGGCAATGTACCAGTCGGCAGCGACCTTGCCACCCGTGGTGATGCAAGAAGAGCGACCAGCAACCTCGACCTGGTCCATCATTCTGTGCTTCTAGATAGCCTGCTGGATGATCTCGGTGACATCCTGGTTGCCAATGTTGATACCAGCGTTGGGGCGGTTCTCCTTGGTAGCGCCGATGACAAAGGCGCAGGTGTTGACAACAGAGAGGGCGGTCCAGCGGTGCTTGTCCAAGTCGGCCTTGGAGACGGCCCAGTGGCCAGCGTTGGAGGCAGCCCACTCCTTGATGACGAGGCAGTCAGAGACGAGGGGCATGTAGGGGTTGATATGACCCGACTGAAGGCCGTTGGCGTTGTCACAGAAGTCCTCGTGACCAGACTTGACCTTTTCGTTGGGGACCCAGATGGTGGCATCAGAGTTGATGTCCCTGACAGTCTTCATGACGTTGAAGTTGCCTTTCTTGGCCTTGGAGGGATCCAGGCGGAAGACGGCCACGACAGTGTCGTCGGAAGTAGTGAAGGGTTCACAGACAGCGTTGGGGAAGGGCGCCATAGTGACCTCACAGATCGTGGCCATTTCGGCCCTGGCAGCCTTCTCGGCAGGAGCGGCAGATGTGACGACCGTGCCCATAATAGCGGAGAAGGAGGTGATGATGGTGATTCTCTTCATCTTGGTGGTGATTGTGGGTGAGGAAAGAATTTGGAATGAGGAATTGTGGTGTGAGGTGTAGAAGGGATTTGTGGTGATTGATTGTTTGTGAGATTCTTGGGAGGTTTGATTTGTTTGTGGAAAGATGTTTTTCGAAGAGAGGGCCACTGAACAGGTACTTTTCTTTTTGATTTGGAACTCTCACTGAATACACATATAAGCGAGGGCGGTGTGTGAGTCTTGACGGTCAACAATATCACGAATGTAAGTGAGAAGGGAGCAGGAGCGGGTGGAGGAGGAAGGCGCCTCCAGCCCATTGAGCAGGAGCGAATAAAAGCTCCCTCAGGAGGACTTCGTCTGAAAAGGGTGTATTGTAACGTATTTAGTCACTGTGGTATGTCAGAAATCCGTAAATAATTATGTTTCCATCCTCAACATCGCTGGCTTTCGGAATGGCTTCAAAAAAGGGTAAGGTATGGTTTGTTGGACTGTCTGAAAAACTATGTCCTCACATGCCCAGGTCAACATTCTACATCAAGACCTTTCTAATCCAGCTGTTTGAAAGCTTCCATCACCATATTTATTCAAGACGTTCCTAGTCCCGTTCAGCAAGAATGATCTGCGGCTACGTATAGAATGTCCTCTTATTACCTACCTACCTAAAGCAGGCGACATTGAGGGTACGATGCGTAAGAGACTCGATTACGCTACAAAAGACGTGAACCTCCTAGCCTACATGTTTGGGGCGTCTAAACTCATTCATCAACTTTTCTTTTTGGACATGGCATGACTAAAATTCGTAATGTTAATGGAAAGTTTTCCTGCATGGAATCATCGATGCTGTGGATGGGCGCTATACTTGTGTTACAATCGTCAGGCAATCAAACTAGCCAGCGATCAAAGACCAAAAATGGCCTCTACTACCGTAGACACGAGTATTGTCTTTGCAAACTTTCTTCTGCTATTCTTCTGAAACGACTCCAGCCGAGTGGTGGCCCGCTTTGTATTCCCAGCGTAGCACGAAAAGGGGCCAGCATCTCGCACCGCAGGCTGAGCCAGACATCCAAGCCGTAAGCACACTCTCTGAAAGGCACTCCACTTCTCCATGCCGGAATTGCCCGGCCGGGGAAGGGGCGCAAGTTGAGACAAGTGTGGTGTCCTCGAGTAGAGCCGCTGTCTCAAAGAATCCAGTCGCCAAGATATCACCTTTTGTGTATATCGTCTGGCCCCATACCGAGTATGTATCTCGGATCGTCATCATCCCGTTGTTGCCATGCTGATTAACGCTTCGGCGAAGGCCTTGCCTGGACGTCGTGCTACAGATGAGCCAACCATCTCCCATGCTTGGCAGACAAGGGCTTGCGAATAGGGGGTCAGAAAATGAGGGCCCAAATCCGTAGATGACCAGCCAAAGTGCTGTGCAATGTGCAAAACCCAGTCAGTCGTGTCAGCAAAGAAAGACAAGGCAACTGCACTCTCGTTAGCCTCGTCAAGGAAAGGCAACTTTGAACGAACTCTGCACCATCTACGCTCCTGGCGTCGTAGCCAGACGCAGGCTGGTACATGTAAATGAGGGGCGGCGTCAACTTATGTGGGAGCCACGGCCGTTTCTCCCCGCAGGGATATCAGCATCCGACTGATTCCTCTTCGAGCCAGGTGCTTTGAAAGTGTTACACCAAACACTCAGCATTTGAGGATAGTTCCACTCGCCGAACTTCTGGATACAATGGCATGATGATCAGTTGAGAATCTAATGAGCCGGCGAAGTGACAGCTCTTGTCCTCCCTCGACAGTTGGGCATTTATACAGATGACGGCGGCATTGCAACCGGTGAGACCGAGGAGCCAGCCCTCTCCGTGGCACGGAGTACGGCTTTAGACTCGGTAGGACAAAGGAAAGGTCCGCAGTTTGACGGAAACCCGCCAGATCGCTCGATTGTCCGCGTTGTACACACAGGGAGAGCAAGGAAGTCCCTGTGAGATTGGGCATCTCTGCAATGGATACGGGAAGGCCAGTTGTCATCAGGGAGCGTGGGAAAATATTTTGTTACACCTCTGGTGTAAAAATCTGCGTGTTCAACGTCGCGCTCAAGCCCTGCACAAAGACGATGGCAGTTATTGTGTAACCTGAGCTCCTCGACATGCAGTGTCGATGAGCAAAGCGTCGGGAATGCGCCCATCAAAGGTGACGACCGCTCTAGACTTCTGCGTCGTAAACAATTTTCGGTCGACGAGGAAGTAAAAATTCGTGCCAGCGCTTTGGATGTTGTGTAGCAACACAGCTGGCAGCTGTGGCCAAGGCTCCTGCTGATCAACCGCGGCGTTTGCAGAGCATCGGTCTGGACTGACAGCCAGCGTAGACAGGCCTTCCCTGTCTTTGCGAAGACCGTAAGACCGAAAGTGGTCTCAAAAAGGAGTAGAAAACCTCAGGTGTTGCATGGATGGGGCTTGTAAAGGATCTAAGCGACTGGAACGGTTGTCCGTTAAGGTGCGGCTCTGCGATGACAACTGAGACCAGATGGCATTATTGTCTCATTCTGCCCCGCTGTACACCATTCAAGCACTTTGAAATGTGATGGGGCATGGGAGCAACGTAAACGGGAGAAAGAACAGGCGTGTGCTGAAAGTGGTGTTTGGATAGGACTCGTATCAGAGGCCCAGCCGCGTAAGATGCCCAGTTCAGAAAGGTCAAGTCGAGGTGTCAGATGGACCACCGACCAGACCAGCTCCAAGAAATGAGGCAGAGATTGTGTGGTCCAGACCACAGCCTGGAGGGAAGACACCCCTCTGGGACTATTTTCGATACGATGCCGAGCACTGACTGCACCACACTTGTTGACGAACAGCCTTAATGTCTCGGTTATTGCGGACTCAGGACTGTCTCTCTTATTGCCTGCGTGTCGACGGACGCATGTCTCGATCGCTGGCATCTCAAACTCGCATCCTATGACCGACGGGAAGCTTGAATTCTTGCCCATTCCTTCGTGTCGTGCCAGCTTGATTGGTCAAGTAAGGCTTCTGCCGTGTAACACCATTCTGCAGGTCGATGCTGGATGTCCCTTATCGAAGTCATTTGATGCACCTCCTACCAATTGGAGGCCGCTAGGCAGGATTCGTGGTCGTTGATTGGGGTCGCTGATGGCACCCAGAAGTGCAAGACTCCAAACCCCGGTTGAGCCGGTCCAGGGCAGTGTTAACCGCGAGCCTGCGTTGATTTGCCGATCAACCCACACAGCTGGACACCTCCACACACCTGAAGAAAAAGCGGCACGTCTTCGGTGAGGTAATCAGGGTAAACAATGATTCAGCCGGATGGTTGCCTTGTTTCGTGCGGCGCGGACCATCTTCCAGTATTCGCAATGTTCGCCTTCCGGGTCGACCCTCCCTCCCGCCCGTCAAGTCCGCCCGCGCAAGACAAAGCCTGTCTCTTGCGGGGTAAGCAGCATCGGCAGAGACGGTGAACCCACAGCTGTCAGAGGGTGATGTGAGCAACCAAGTCTGCCGAGACATAGTGACGGCTTCCGGATCCGTGTACAGCTTCAGAGTAGACGACTCAATCGCCTTCAAAATGCCATTCTCACAGTCGCCGGGGGCGTTGGGCTCTTGACGAAGGCCCAGTCTGTTTGTCCTTCTGTTAAGTTCATCCATCAACGAGGATCTTCGATTAGGAGAGGGAGTCGTCTCAAGTATCGCACTTGGTGTAGTTGTCGCTTAACAACCAGGCTGCCAATCCAAAGGTGAGTAACGCGGCCCTCGAATGGGCAATGCCCACCACTTCACTGAATCGACAGGGATGGCGCAAATGGATGCCTCGAGAGAAACGAATCATCATATGAGTAGGTGGCTTGCTGGGCTGAGTGATAGGTTGCGCAATGGCAGACAGTTGCATATTCCTGGCGGTGAAAGTCAGCTTCCTGGCCTGAAAGCTCACAGCGCCCGCCCCCTCTCGCCGTCTTCTCCCACACCTGTCCTGTCTTCTTCTTCTTCTTCGTCTTCTCCCTCTTTGAGCGCAAGTTGCCGGGTAACTGACCTCAATCCTCCAAGTATAAGGCTCGCACCATCGGCAAGAAATCAGTTGAGATACGTGTTACCGTGGCCAAAAGTGTTGGCCATTCCGTTCTTCTCGCTGAGCCGCCTGCATCCTGCAGTCAGGAACAAAGATAAAGACAGACCAACAGCATATCCACAGCATACCAACACACCCTCCTGTGGTTCACTTTGTCTCATATACCCTTCCACAAAGGACTGCGCCCGCCTCACTTTGTCTGGCAACGACTCCAAATCGAGGCAGTCACAACCCTCTCGACTTCTTCCTTCAAGATATTCCATTCTGGATCCCTGTCTCCCTCCTGTCTGGTTGCACGTTAGCTTCCTGGGACATCAGTTACAGAGCACCCATATAAGACGTACCTTACCTGGCCTCGAAAACCCCGAGAATAGACTCCGTCTCTGAGTATCATCACAGTTCTCGTCGCCAACATGAGTGGTCTTCCAGCCGGCGCCCTCAAACTCGCTCCCGGCCATCCGCCGAAACCACCCCAAGGCGCGACAGTCCCACGTGGACCACACCCGCCGCCTCCTCCCCCGGTGCCCAGGGCTCCTCTCCCGGTACCGCCAGCTCAACATGTCATGCAGCGACCAGTGGCCCCGATGGTGGCTCCGATGATGATGCCTCGACCCATGCCGGTTCAGCCCCCAAACAATGTGATCCCGCCAGAGCTGCGGCGCAAGCGTCTCGTTGAGCGTTCGGATCTTCGCAACGAGCGCATGACCGAGGCCGATGCACGCGAAGCCTTGTCCGAATATGTCGTATACCGATTCGAAAAGGTCAATGACCCAAACGAGATTGACGACGAAGGTAACCCCGTCAAATCGACCTGGGAGAATGTCATCCGCACAGAGGTCCAAGACCTCTCCAAGCCGGCCATAACCCGAACTATTCGCCAACTCGACATGGAGGGCAAGACGGCAGTGCAAAAGAAGATGGACCTCACAGGGACGCAGCAGCGTCAGATTGAAAAGGCTCAAAGCAATCTCGATGCACACAACCTTGACAGGCGGTTCTGTTACACCATGCAGCAGATCAGCACCAAGATCAGGAAGCTCAGCAGGGACTCCATCGAGTACCGCCAGTACATGGCCGGGAAAGAGGCAAAAAAGGTCGTGGTAACCAAGGTGAAAGAACGAAAATCAAAGAAGAACCTCTTGGAGACCATCGCAATGACAGTATATTTCAAGCGAGAGCCGCGCTCCGGTGAGGATGCAATGGCCATCCTCAAGGAGAGAGAAAGGGAACTCGAACAGCAACGGCGCTTGCATGAACAACAGCGACAGCACCGTCATGATCAGGAATTTTTGGCAAAAGAGCATCGTAATGCGTTGGCGTTGCGACAACAACAAGAGGATTTCCAGCGACAGTTTCCGATGCCACTGCCGGCTCCGCAGCCTCACCCTCCACCACAGTTTCTGCAAGGTGGCAAACAGAAAGCCGATGTCAAGGTCGTCGAGATGGACCATAAGAAGGGTAAAGCCAAGATTTATAACCTCGCTTCCAAAAGTTCGCGAAGCTCAGGAAGCTCGTACTCGGACGAGAGTTGGAGCGATACGGAATTGACGCCAGGGTCGTCCGCCACTGATTCCTCCGAATCCAGCAGACACGGCCGCCGCCCGCCTCGCAGTCGAAGCCGCGGTCGTAGTCGAAGTCGTAGCCGCAGCCGGAGGCGCCGTCGATACCACGACCGTCCTGAGCATTACGGCATCAAAGTGACACGCCATCACACGAAACATGACCATCGCCTCCTTGATGACGACGTGCCTCGAGGTCGTATGCCTACTTCACTTCCGCCCGCACCCTTGATAACGCCTGGCAGAGCCGACCACTTTGAAGATGAGATATTCCGGCCGCAAAGGATGACAGACAGGGCTCATGACAACGTGCTGCAAGATATCGAGCTACTCACTGGTGTCGGCCGCCGTCGTCAAGTTGCGCCGCCACCCCGTGTCATCCACAGGCAGCCTAGCTTCCGCATTGTTGATCCGGAAGAGGTTGTGCGTGCAAGACATGAAGACGACTTGGACAATGTGAGAAGACTGACGATCCGCAACGAAGTGAGATTCGAAGATCGCCAGGGGAGCGAGGAGGACCTGGCTGCCGATATCCGAAAGGCCGATGCGCGGAGGCGACACCTGGAAACACGTTTCCGTCGGCCTTCTCTAGAAAGAGGCGCTTTTTTTCCAGACAAGGAAACGTACGAAGAGAGAGCACGACAAGCAAAACAGTACATGAACCGGTACCTTGATAATCCGTTTGAGCCGCTGGGGCGGTCAGGCGGGAGGTACCACGACTAAGGCAGCGCGAGTTTGCCATTTTTTTTTTTTTTTGGGTTTCCTTCCACACTCGAGGATGTCGTCGGGAGCCACACGTCTCATTGATCGGCAAGAACGAAACTATTCTATGTTAATGCTTAAGTCGAACAAAGTTAGACAGGCAGTGTCTTTCCGGAAGGGCAGCATAGTGAGATTGACCAATGAAAGATCTGAACACTCAGTTTGACCAAGTAATGATCTTCTTCCTCGTCTCCGTGGAAACAAAATGTGGCAATGCAGGTTGCAGAGACGCCGAGGTAGCACAGTCCCGCAAACATGGAAGGCGAGAGCTTGAATAAGTAGTGACAGGCCGGCGGAGACCTGCCCAAGCTTCATGCCCAAAGGAAGCCAAGAGGGCCGGCTGCAGATAGGTAGCCCCCCGTGCCCAATGTGAGGCGAACAGCTTCTCCGTCGACGACATTGCATCGAGGCGCAGGACCATTCTGCAAAGGAGAGGAGCTACGTGGTGAACGTGGGCAGTCCGCAGCCAATGACGGATATTGAGTAACATGCCATTGGACAATCCAGAAAGTCTGGCATGGTAGGCCGATTTTTCTCACTAGGAAGTGGCATAAGTCTTTGGTGTGGATGTGAAGTTCCAATCACAGGAAAGGAAGACGAATGTCGAACTAGGACGGAGTATAAGTCGCACGAAGGGGCTTCATCCTCCCCAACCTTGACCTATTCACGGGTCGTTTGTTGAACATGTTGAAAACCAAAGCCAGGTAGTACCTACCTAGGTAAGGTAGTCGAGGGTTCAATTGGTGGTGGAGCTACCTCATCACTAGTGCGATGACTAAGCCGAATTGGACCAACTTTCGCGCCAAGATTCAGGAGGGGCTTTACGCGTGCAGGCGCGTTCGACCACAATCGGGACCGCCCTTCCAGGACGGTGACAGGTAGAACTCTTTGCTTCCCCGGTCAGCGTGCGACACACAGCAAAGCCTCTCACGTACGCAGTTCCACGTCAAATGTCAACAAGCCAACCCCTCGGATGACGGCTGGAATCACCAGCCTCTTCCCCTTTCGCTACTCGCCGATACTCCGCCAACTGACCCTCAGAGCAGCAATTCGCATTGCTCATGTCCACACCTCTGCCTCAAATCCGGATCTAGATCCGCACACAGATTCAATGTTGGCCAGAGCGAAGAAGGCCTACGAGGACAGCGCTCCGCCGCCGCAGAAGAACGACTTGGCCAAACAACTCTTCCCCTCGAGCAGCCCCAGCGCCACTCAGAATGGGAATATCATAGACCAATTCAAAAAGACAACCCCGACGACCGCGGTGCCCCACGCGACGACGAACTCAACAAGGCCTCCGCCGGGGAGGACTGCTAGTGTAACGCACTTCGTAGGCAGCAATCGATCTGCCCTGGACTCCATATCCGCCCCTAATGGCAAATCATTCGCCTCCCTCTATGCCAAGTCTGACTCTTTTCGAGACGAGCCGGATACTCTGTCTAGCCAAAGTGTGCAGGCCAACTCGAAACCCGCCGTCTTTTTCGCTGAAGATGACTTCAGCGACGATGACCAGCTAGACCTGGACTTCGAAGCCCCGTCCGCTTTGCCTTCACTCCCCAAGCCCCCTGTTGTGGCGAAGAAGATCAACCCGCAGCAGCCCGAGGAACCTTCGACACAAGTTTTACCATGGTCCTCCTCTCCCGCGTCACATTTTGTCCACCCTCAGCTATCCCGCACGACTTCTGCCCAGAGCTCGCTCAAGCGTGAGTCTCCAGAACACGTCGAGTCTCTAGTGGCCCCGCAGCCCAAGAAACGCAAGCTCCCACCAAGTTTCAAAAAACAGGACTGCACTCCAGTGCCACAAGACGAGCCGGAGGTTTCGAGTTGGGCGGCCGGTGGTGTCACACCTGCTCCTAAGAAAAAGAAAGAGACCTGGAACATGACTGCCAGTGCCCTAAAGGAGCAGAAGAAGCGGTTGAAGACCCAATCCAAGAAAGCCGCCGCCGGCGAGGACGGATGGAACATGGACGAGATCCGAGCCGAGGTGACGAAGAGCAACCTGCCCAAGCCCAAGGCGTCTGTGATTGCTCTCACTCAAGAGCAAAAGCACGTTCAGAGCCTCGTTGTCAACAATGGTCAGAGTGTCTTCTTCACAGGCCCGGCAGGAACTGGAAAGTCGGTCCTGATGAGGTCAATCATTGCAGAGCTCAAAAAGAAATGGGCGAGAGATCCGGAAAGGCTAGCCGTCACAGCGTCAACAGGCCTCGCAGCTTGCAATATCGGAGGCCAGACGTTACATAGCTTCTCTGGAATTGGCCTCGGGAAGGAAGACGTCCAGTCATTGGTCAAGAAGATACGGCGAAACCCCAAGGCCAAGAACCGCTGGCTTCGTACCAAGACGCTGGTCATTGATGAGGTCTCGATGGTGGACGGCGATCTTTTCGACAAGCTTTCACAAATCGGCAGAACCATCAGAAATAACGGCAAGCCCTGGGGCGGCATCCAACTCGTGATTACGGGTGATTTCTTCCAGCTGCCCCCGGTCCCTGATGGCGATAAAAGCAGAGAATCCAAATTCGCCTTTGAGGCGGCGACTTGGAACACTACGATTGACCACACGATTGGCTTAACGCAGGTGTTCCGTCAAAGGGACCCAGGTATGTCGAAACAAAACACGAGTACAAACAGAGTAGATGGATGCAGCAGCTAACCAATATTAGTCTTTGCCAACATGCTCAACGAAATGCGTCTTGGCAGGATTAGCGACGAGACTGTGCAAGCTTTCAAGAAGCTGACGAGGCCAATTCCCGCCGAGGATGGACTGGAAGTCACCGAGCTGTTCCCTACGCGATATGAGGTGGAGAATGCCAACCAAGGTCGACTGCGCAACCTGCCCGGGGCACCCAAACGGTACGACGCAGGCGATTCCGGAGATCCTCAAATACGCGACAAGTTGCTTCAGAATATGATGGCACCCAAAATGATTGAGCTCAAGGTTGGCGCCCAGGTCATGCTTATCAAAAACATGGACGACACACTTGTCAACGGTTCGCTCGGCAAAGTGACTCACTTCATGAGCGAGGGAAGCTTTGAAAACTGGGACCCGGCGAACATGAGGGCCGACACTGTTGAGGATGTAGACGAGGATGGAGAAGCAAAGGCCAGGCGCAAAATCAAAGCTTTTAGCAGAGAAGTGGAGGAAGCAACCAGGGGCACAACCCAGTATCCTGTCGTGGAGTTCTCGGCGGTGGATGGATCTACCCGGACCATCCTCTGCGTTCCAGAAGATTGGAAGGTTGAATTGCCTAATGGCGAGGTGCAGGCTAACCGAAGCCAGCTGCCTCTGATCCTTGCATGGGCACTGTCGATTCACAAAGCCCAAGGCCAGACATTGGAACGGGTCAAGGTTGATCTCGGCAAGGTGTTTGAAAAAGGCCAGGCCTATGTCGCGCTCAGTCGAGCGACCAGCCAAGAAGGCCTGCAGGTCCTCCGTTTCCAGAAGGACAAGGTGATGGCTCACCCTCGGGTCGTAGGGTTCTACAACAAGCTCTACAGTGCCGACATAGCCATTGCGAAAAAGCCGCCACCAAGCATGGCTGATTTTCTGCACAAGGAGAAAGACGCGAAGCCCGTCAAGAGTACGTCTGGAATGAGCGCGCGGTCTCAATCATTTGTGAGGAAAGGTATCGAGGTGATTGATTTGGACGATGAGGAGGAGGCAATGGCGAGCTACGGTGGTTTTTGAAGTCGGATCCGGAAAGGATTTTGGCCTTAACATAATATGGCGTTTCAGGGACACCTCGTGAGCAAAGGTCCTGCTCAAGTAGTCTAGGCATGGTTGGAAGGGGTTCATTTGGTCTTGATGGTTGTCTGGACATAGATAGCGTTGGACTCGGACGCTCTGGTTTCGTTTTGAAGCGCACGCCTTTGTAAGACGGAAAATACCTCTGCTCTTATAACGAACAAGTAAGACAGCACGATATTGGAAGACGTTTGTCGTTGGTCAAGTTGCGCCGTTGTCATGGTGACCAGTTTTTATCAACATCAACGACATGCAACCCCTCTCGATTCAGTTTGTGTCTGCGGGGCTTCAATGCTCTCGGTTCAGTGTTTCTACTACCAGAGCTGCTGTCGCTATCCTTGACGAGGCAAAAGGAAGATGTGAAAGCGGCGCATAGGTGCTATCTGTGCTGGACGATAACCCGAGACACCTATACCTTGTTGATCGTGAAGGTTGGCGCATTTGAAGGATATTGCAGGTGGTAGCACAGGAGATTCCTTCAGCCAAGTGCACCGAGCTTTTCAGTTCGTACCTACCTAACTGGGCCCGGAAGCTTGTGTCCATGACGTTCATCCCTTCTTCCTGGGCATGCTGTAGCTGCCCGCCACCAGCAAAAATCCCCGTGACCTTCTGGGACCTGCGTGCCCTGCGCTTGCCCTGCGCTTAGGTACCTTACGTCCCCTGCGCCCACCTTATCGATAAGAACTGGGAAAAAGTTAAGGGAACCTGAACCCAGCAGGTGCGTGTGCCCGAGGGGGAATTGGGGGAAGCAAGCTCTCCGGTTTGGTCATTCGTCGAGATCCAAGGTCAACGCACAAATTCACTGTCAACGCCAACTTCAGTACTGCGCTCTCACAGCATCTAGCCGCCAACGCGTCCACTTGGCGATCTTTTTGGGGCCACTTGCGATATCCCTAGAGCTACGCGTGCGGTCAATTCGCGCATTCTGTCCTTGCGACGACGCCCCAACCCAACGCTCCTTTCGTGTATCCTGACACGGTCGACGACTCAGCACGCAGACGCTGTGACGTATTCGTCACCATGGAGTTCATCGGCTTGCAGATGCTGGTGACACTGAGGCAGCCTCAGGGTACGATGCTGAAGGGCACTGTCAGCGCTATAGAGGCCGGTACCAGTCTCACACTGAGTAACGGTACGTCGTTTTCTCTTCAGCTTCACTCGATGCCCAGTCCCACTAACAGTCGCCCACATAGTCTTCACTCTCGGGACAAACCATTGGCTCCCAAGAGTCAATATCGACGCTGCCAACATCCTCGAGCTTTCCGAATTCAAAGAGGATGCTGCACCCAATACATTCACGGCGCCGGGCGTCAGTCCCGTCCCTGCGCCTGTTGTCAATCAGCCTGCGCAGCCGGCCTTTGCGGACCCCGCCATTCTCAGTATGGGAAAAAGGCCTGACTCTGGTATCATGAGTGGGAGCGAAAGCCAAACACTGCCGGAAGCTGTTCCTCAACCGGCTGCAGAGGCAACAAGGGACCTTCGGCCGGGGCAACCAGGGGTTCTGTCTGGTGTCCACCTGACAGGAGGGCTGAGAGACGACATTGTGAGCCTGAGCGAGACCTTGCAGGAGCTGGAGGTGGATGATTCGACGCCCAACGCGAAACGAAATCCTGTGGAAAACAGTGCAGTATCGCAGGATGCCAGTGAGGTACAGGGTCAATCACAAAAGAAAGGCAGTAGGCGGCGAGCGAAGCAAAGAGCTCGTAACGGCGCAACGGAAGAAACGATACCAGAAATCACGCCGATTCGCGGCAACGCAGCTAACCGGGGGAAAGGCTGGAGGCAAACTCCAATGCTGCAAAGCTCACCTTCCTTTCAGCCCTTCAACTCGCTGAAACGGGGCCTCAAAGGGAAGAAAGACCTCCCCGAAAATGGATGGGCCTCGGAGGATGTCACAGAGGACATGGTTGAGTTTGATTTCGAGAACAACCTTGCAAAGTTTGATAAGCGAACGATTTTCGACCAAATGCGCAAGGAGGACTTGGTTGATGAGGCAGATCGACTGGTTTCGCACAATCGCCTACCCAAGCCAGGAACGGCGGGAGGGAAGAACCTCCATTACTCTGAGAACGTCCTCGACCTGCCAGCTGCGTCGGCAAAGACGAGTCAAGATTTCTGGAATAGCGAGGCCGATGATGCCGCTAATGGAGTTGATCGACTAAGCGGCCGTGATGTCCGGAGTGCTCAGAGTAGCCGCAGGGCGGAAAGCAAACCAGGGGCTTCGAGGAGGTCGCAATCGCGGAAAGCGAGCGCGCAACTCACCAGTCAGCCCCTGAATCGCGTCAACTCCAACGTACGTCTGAACAGACAGCCTCAAGCGTTGCTTCGTTCTCAAGACAGCCCAAAGATTCTTCATGGCACTAACCACTTACAGCACGTCACACAGTCCGGATTCTATCTCGAACCGTCAAATCGACGCCTGGAGACCGTCTCGGCTCTTCAGATGCTGAACCTTGAAAACATTGCAGCCAACGAGATCGGACTCACGGAAGATATGATGGCAGAGAACGCAGGGCGAGGAATCGCCGAGGTTACACTGCAAGCTCTGGAGGACCCGGCGATCCAAGTCCGTTTCGGTACGGGTGGTGCAAACGCTCAGAACAGCAGTTTGTCGGCTTCTGCGACCGTCGTCATCCTGGCTGGCAACAACAAATCCGGAATACGAGCCATTGCGGCTGCTCGCCACCTGCGCAATAAGGGTCTCAATCTCCTGGTCTGTGTGGTTGGCATCGAGCGTGAGCGAGATTTGCTCGAAGACATGCGACAGCAAGTGAGAATCTACAGAAACTTTGGGGGTCGCGTACACAACAAGATCGAGTTGTTCGAACAGCTTCGCAAAACAGCCTCTACTCCAGCAACATCGGTCACACTCATCATCGACGCTCTTCTGGGCCTGGCGATCTCTTTCGAGGAGCTGCGGACTGGCGACCAAGCCACCGTGTACGAGTTGATAGAATGGGCCAACCGAAACGAGGCTTTCGTTCTCGCGGTCGATGTTCCAACCGGCATCGACCCATCCACCGGAAAGGTCAGCATCATTGATGGCGGGCGTTTGTACGTCAAGCCTCGGTACGTGGTGGCGATGGGCGCACCAAAGAAGGGATTGCTAGAGGCGATGGCGCCTATCTCGGACACCGACCCTTCGAATATTCACGGTGCTGGAGCGGCTGATGGCCATGCCGCTGTGGCTGAAGACGAAGACTGGAAGCTATTCATTGCCGACATGGGTCTCGGCGCGACCGTATGGAAGAAGGCGGGTACCAAGATTCGGAGAGGCATCGACTTTGACGATAAGTGGGTTCTCCAAATGCGATACCAGCCAGCACTTTCTCAGGAGCAATGATTTCCTATCCTGGGGAGGGAAAGAGGGCTTCACCACGGAGTTTTTTATGGGAAATGGATCATAAAAGCGAGTCAACCTTTTTATTGCATTGTTTGGGCATTTACTTTCTCGCACGACGGTGGAGGGACAGCATACGGGATGAGGAGTTTGCACGCAGCCTTCCTATTATTATATCCGCATCGGAGGACGGTGGACATGATCTTGTATGATATTCCAATCACAGCAGCTATTACCGGGCTTGGTCCGGTTTTTCTGTTACTCATTGCATGCCACCGTTTGCGATAATTGCCAGGTTGGAAGACGTGAAGCATAAAACACGCAACCTGAACCGTGTGTGAGGATGTAGACAAACCCATGTGGGTGCCCCCAAAAACCCCGCAATCGCCGGATGTGAGAAGAGGCAACCGGCCGGCGTCCCGTGTGGATACTCGGGGCAAGGCAAAAGATCGCGCGGGCAGGTGAACGTTGCGTTGGGGGCCGGGAAGTGCAGCACAGCGTCAATAGCTGTAGTATTAGTGCTGACGGACGAGGAGGCACACGCGAAGCTGGTTCCATTGTGGGGGGGAGACGAGTTGCGGCTTCATACATGATCCCTGGATAGCAGCAGGCTATGATTAGATGGTAAGCGCAAGTAGACGGTATCGAGCTGGCAAGTATTGCGGGATGGGATTCTCAGCAACGTTAACTCGAGGTTCCATGGTACGGGAGGGAGGAGAGGTCAACACTCTCAGCCCTTCCTACCATAATCGGCATTGTGATGATGGCGCTCGAATACGAGCTTCTCTCTGCAAGGCTGCCATCAAAAGCGCAGCGCGAGTTACACAACACTGTGAGCCTGGGAGCCGTAGATAATGCATCGACATATGCAGAAGCGCGGGTCAAGAGGCCGTTGCTACCTACCTAGGTGGACTTGGATTTCATGGGGGGTCCGGGCTTGAGAGGACGACGGGGTAGCCCGCCCATGATATGAGGAGACCTTGGTTTTTCAGAAGACGGACCAGAAGGGGCTGTGTAAGATGATGCTGGCAATAGGTAGTCCAACTGTCATCGCAGGAGCAATTGTGCCATGCGCCTTCACGATGGAATTTGGCAATTCTGTCTTGGAGGGGGAGTGGGGAAAGTCAGGCCATGGCTGAGGCTGAGATACGCCAGCCTCCTGGTTGGACACATTTATCTCGTCATGGTGCTGCTACCCTAGCCAAGGTAGCCGGATCAGGTCGCAATTATCGAGCTCGGAGGCCCATGGGTTTTATTGCATCAAGATCTTGTCACGCCTTCTTAGGAACTCATTTGAGAGGGATGTGAATACCTGCCACTTCGATCCGACATGTGCGAGTAACGGGCCTGCAGGAATGGCAAGAAACGATCGAACGATTGCCAGCATATGGACAAGGAAGCATGGAAAACAATCGTCCGGTTTCTGCAGCGTCAGGCTAGCGATGCCGTGCCCTGTGATGTGAGTGTGCCACAGGGTGCTAATGGCTTACACAGCCAATGGCCCCCAAACCTGCAGTACCTTAGCCTGGAAGGGCTGCATTTCATCTTGCAGCAGCAGCCTGCCAGCCCAATTGCCAGACGTCTGGTACCCCTGGCGATGAAGACATGGGAGGCCAACGGGACGATACCGGGCTGTGACCACCCAGGGCGGGTATCCGTCGCCTCTGATATAAGAAGGTTTTGTCGACGCCTTGCTGAAAAGGGTTTCAGCGTGGGCGTGGCACTAGTTTCCTCACCCTTGGGCGAACACAGACACAAGAGAGTCACGACCTTTAACAGATTGACATACTCCAAATCCAAAGGCAAATACAGACGAACAACGAAAGCCAAATTGCTTGGCTGTCGACAGCTCGGTCCGTCCCGTCACATCACGAGCCCGCCGAAACCCCACTTCAGATGAGCTTCAGGTCCGACATGGTGGAGACTGGCTCCGACGCCGGGGGCCCGCCCCATGGGTAAGTGAGCATGGCATACCCGCCGCAGTTTGTAAATTGCAAACGCAGTGCTGACCAAAATGCTTAGGCGGGCCGACCTGTCAAGCCATGACCATAGTATAGCGCGCCGCATGAACAATTACTCAGCCGTCTCTTGGTTGACCGAGGCGTTCCTGCAGGCGCAAAACCGGTCCGCAAGGATCGCCGCCGGCAGCCCCCGCTCCGGGGTCGGCATCCTCGGGCTCGGGCTGTTGGAGCACCACATCAACCTCCTCCCGACCATGCGACACGCCGAGGCAGTCCCCATGTTCGACCACTTGGCGGGCAGCGCCAAATACCTTGGTTGGCGGCAAAAGGTGGCGACGTGGCCGCTGTCCCAGCAGGAGGCGATGAACAATCGCAGCTTTGCCGTTTGATTGGGGGGTAGAGACGGATTTGGAGGGGAGAAGGCGTGGGAGGCCGTCGCCGGAAGACTCATCTTCGGGGCTGCCTACACAGAACGAGAAGTGGGAGGTGGAAGGGGAAGGGCCCGTTTGTTCGCAGTAGTCAGGCATCCTAGCCGTCATTCGTTTGCCGCCGGATGCATCGACCGTCCAGGCTTGGGTATGGGGGCTGCCAGGATGGCAAGTCTCGGAGGAGAGCAAACGTTTTGGATGCTCAGCTGGTGGACGGATTCGCCGCTCCTTTGAATGATTTGTCGCAGAAATAACAAAGAAGTCGCTCGCTCCTTCTGCCTGTCTCTGACCGCCGCGACGCTAGAGGCTTTCGTATACACCTGGTATCGAAGGTAAGTCGGTAAGTACCTTTTTGGACAGAGGATAACCCCGCCTCAGGCGACAAGGCAGTCGATGGCGAGACCCATATTGAAGTAAAATGTCTACTATGGTGATGTGATTTGCCTAGCTGTTAGGTGTGCAATTGCCATATCGATAAAAGCTCACTAATGCAGAAAAGCGATAAGGCAAAGTACCGGGTTCCAAAAGGCAAGGTGGATTAGGTGGAGGACGTGCGTGGGACACCGACTCGCTCAGAGAGTGCGTGGCCCAAAGGCTGCCTGTCGGGCCCTCAAGGTCAAAGGTCAGCAAGAGTGGAAGCTTCCAACACTTTCCACTGCCCTGACGACACCGTCACCACCTGAATCGTAGAGCTTGGGCCAGATTCGACCCCTGGAGCGGCGCCTTACTTAAGCTGCTGAGTGCACCGGAGGGCACTTAATCCGCCCCACTCTATGATTTCATTGGTTGTCCGGGGGCCGCTCCCAGGGATTGCCGCCGCCTCCCGTCACCACCTTCCCGCTCTTGCTGGCTGGCCTTTACTACCTCCATTGCTGCACCTGCCTGTCTCCGAAACAAAGCTTCCCATCTGCAAACCTCCCACCCTATCTCCGCCAACCACGAATTTTCCTTCCTCTCACCTCCAGGAAGGGATATAAACCAACACCAATCGTCTTTCCTTTCTGATTTCCTCCTCAATAGGGAATCCCACGATTGACAGCTACCCCACACAGCTGACGATCCCACCTTCATACTCGGACTTCGACTGCATACGAATACCCGAATCATCAGAAACAGTCGATCAAGATGGCGCCTCCGTCGGAACAGCCCGCCGAGCACAAGAAGAAGGTCAACTTGATGTGAGTACACATTCACTGCTGCGTTCTCGCGCAGTAGCTCGCGTACGGAAGGAACTTCGCTGACAGTACCTACCAGGGATGCCTCGGGTGCTGAGGTCAAGGATGTTTGTCTACCCGACTCTCGATGCAGACGCATGTTGTGACGATCGAATTTAATACTTACTGTTCTAACAGCAAGATGACACCGCGACCGCTATTTTGAAGAAGAAGAAGAAGCCCAACCAGCTGATGTACGTGGGCTCTGGGAAGCGTGAGACCAGCTTCGTGATGCTAACCGAAGCAGGGTTACCGATGCCGTCAACGATGACAACTCCATCATTGCCCTGTCCGAAAACACCATGGAGGCTCTTCAGCTCTTCCGTGGTGACACTGTACTCGTGCGCGGCAAGAAGAGAAAGGATACCGTCCTGATCGTCCTCGCCGACGATGAGCTGGACGATGGTAGCGCTCGCATCAACAGAGTCGTCCGCCACAACCTGCGGGTGAAGCATGGTGACATGATCACCATCCACCCGTGCCCGGATATCAAATACGTATGTCTAAGCAGGAGACGGCTTCTTCTTCAAGCTCTGATTGCTAACCCCCACCGCAGGCCAAGCGCATCGCTGTTCTCCCCATTGCCGACACTGTTGAGGGCATCACCGGCTCTCTCTTTGACGTTTTCCTCGCTCCCTACTTCCGCGAGGCCTACAGACCTGTCCGCCAGGGCGACCTCTTCATCGTGCGTGGTGGTATGAGACAAGTAGAGTTCAAGGTCGTCGAGGTTGACCCCCCCGAATACGGCATCGTCGCACAAGATACCGTCATTCATTGCGAGGGCGAGCCTATCCAGCGTGACGAGGAGGAAGGTAACCTGAATGAGGTCGGTTATGACGATATTGGTGGCTGCAGAAAGCAGATGGCCCAGATTCGCGAGATGGTTGAGCTTCCTCTTCGCCATCCTCAGCTCTTCAAGTCGATCGGTATCAAGCCTCCTCGTGGTGTCCTTCTTTACGGCCCCCCCGGTACCGGTAAGACGCTGATGGCGAGAGCTGTCGCCAACGAGACCGGTGCTTTCTTCTTCCTCATCAACGGTCCCGAAATCATGTCAAAGATGGCTGGTGAATCAGAGTCAAACCTACGCAAGGCTTTCGAGGAGGCCGAGAAGAACTCTCCCGCCATCATCTTCATTGATGAGATCGACTCTATCGCGCCCAAGCGTGACAAGACCAACGGTGAGGTCGAGCGTCGTGTCGTCTCTCAGCTCCTCACCCTCATGGACGGCATGAAGGCCCGCTCAAACGTCGTTGTCATGGCTGCCACTAACCGCCCCAACTCCATCGACCCCGCTCTGCGTCGTTTCGGTCGTTTCGACCGTGAGGTCGACATTGGTATTCCCGACCCTACTGGACGTCTCGAAGTTCTCCAGATTCACACCAAGAACATGAAGCTCGGTGACGACGTCGACCTGGAGCAGATTGCTTCCGAGACCCACGGTTACGTCGGTTCCGATATTGCTGCCCTCTGCTCTGAGGCCGCCATGCAGCAGATTCGTGAAAAGATGGACCTCATCGATCTTGATGAGGACACCATCGATGCTGAAGTTCTCGACTCTCTCGGTGTTACCATGGAGAATTTCCGCTTTGCTCTGGGTGTCTCCAACCCCTCCGCTCTGCGTGAGGTCGCCGTCGTCGAGGTGCCCAACGTTCGCTGGGAGGATATTGGTGGTCTCGAGACCGTCAAGGCCGAACTGCAGGAGAGCGTCCAGTACCCCGTCGACCACCCTGAGAAGTTCCTCAAGTTCGGTCTTTCCCCGTCCAGAGGTGTCCTGTTCTACGGACCCCCCGGTACCGGTAAGACGATGTTGGCCAAGGCCGTCGCCAACGAGTGCGCTGCCAACTTCATCTCCGTCAAGGGACCCGAACTTCTCAGCATGTGGTTCGGTGAGTCTGAGAGCAATATCCGTGACATCTTCGACAAGGCCCGCGCCGCCGCTCCTTGCATCGTGTTCCTCGATGAGCTGGACTCCATTGCAAAGGCTCGTGGCGGATCCATGGGCGATGCTGGCGGTGCTTCCGACCGTGTTGTCAACCAGCTTCTGACTGGTAAGTTTTACTCCTAACGCTAAATTGAGATGATCATAAGCTAATTCTGATGCAGAGATGGATGGTATGACCTCGAAGAAGAACGTCTTCGTCATTGGTGCGACCAACAGACCCGAGCAGCTCGATCCTGCCCTATGCCGTCCTGGACGTCTAGACTCTCTCATCTACGTGCCCTTGCCCGACCAACCCGCCCGTGCTGGTATTCTCAAGGCTCAGCTCCGCAAGACCCCTGTTGCCGGTGACGTCGACATCGACTTCATTGCATCCAAGACTCACGGCTTCTCCGGTGCCGATCTTGGCTTCATCACCCAGCGTGCGGTCAAGCTTGCCATCAAGGAGGCCATCACTGCCGACATCCAAAAGACCAAGGCTCGTGAGGCCGCAGGCGAAGAGGCTATGGACGAAGATGAGGAGGATCCTGTCCCCGAGCTTACCAAGCGTCACTTTGAGGAGGCTATGCAGATGGCTCGCCGTTCCGTCAGCGACGTTGAGATTCGCCGGTACGAAGCCTTTGCCCAGCAAATGAAGAACGCCGGCCCTGGCGCGTACTTCAAGTTCCCCGAGGGTGAGGGTGCAGCCAATGAGGCCGCCAACAGCTTCGGTGACGCTGGAAACGATGATGATCTTTACGACTAAGGGATGGGTGGGTTAGAGTGCCATTTAATGCAGGCATGCCCTCGTTGTATTCTAGTTTTTCCTTGCTCTCCGATGCATCTGCGTCGTCACGCGTACAGATGATGGGCCGGGTCACAGAAATTCGAGCCTATCGGCGGAAATCTGGGGGCGGACGGAGTTGGTAGACAGGTAGTTTCCATGATACGTTGACTATACCAAGCCTTTTGCTTATGAATCGTCGGGTGATATGTTTGTGAGACTAATATTCCTAGAACTACTTAACTGAGTAGCATCTCGTGAGTCTCATACCGACGTTGGACGGCAAGCCATACATGATGAGATGTCTCACGGGAAACAGCTGGTGCATGGATGCGATTGAAGACCACAAAGATCCGAGGGATTCTTCATTTGTGCTCTCTCTCTCTCTCTCTCTCTCTCTCCCTCTGTGTCTCCGTCTCTCTCAGAATCGGCTATGTAAAGAAAACGAATCTCATTTGTTCTCATTCCTTTCATGGATTCATGTCAAGAACCCTCTCAAAGATTCGATTTATGTGTACACGCAATGCCTAGCCTGGCATTGTCTTTGGCTGACATCAATGGCTTTTATCATCAACAATGGCAGTTTGCTCAAACCAACCAGCATAGGCGTGCTCTATGAGCATCTCACACCTGAGTGGATCGTTATGAGCATCGCACCGGCGCCGCCTCCCACTCTCCGGTGGCACTCATTATCGGTCACTGGTCGTGACCATCTCCTCCCAAGGCCTGCTGCCACACTCTCTCCCACTTTCTGTGGCATCACCATCATGTCCGCATCGTTCCATACATCACAGGTACACCTCAGCTTCAGCTAGCACTGTCAATCTCGCAGACAGCCTCCAGGCTTTCTTGTGTGACCTTGATAGCCTCGTCGATCACAGCCGAAGGGATGGCCAGGTTCGACTGAACACTCGGGTCTGCACCGGGTGCCGGCGTGGAGGAGGCGGTCCCGTTTGTCTTCTTATCCTTGTCCTTTTCTTTTTCTGAAGCTGCCCCGTTTGTCTTTGCTGTTGAGGGGGATGCAGTGGAGGGGGCTGAGGGATCGAGGGTGTCCTGGCGGACGTCGTCTAGGACGCGCCGGAGGAGGTCTGGGAAGGTCGAGACTTCGCCTGTACGTAGGAGATTGAGGGCGTGGTTCTGAATGAGGGTGGGCCAGTTTGCTTGATTCGCGTGGAGGGAGTGGAGGAGCTGTTCCTGGATTCTGGGCAGGGAGGGATGATGGTCAGCTCCAAGTTCGAGGTCTGGGGGTTTGGGAAGATGAGGCCTACTTTGTGACATGACCGTCCTTAAGCAGTAATGTGTTGATTTGCGATCTTAGCTCTGGGTCTAGAGTGGCTGCTGAGTGATTCGCGGCCGAAGGTGGCACCTTCACTGGAGTTGACGGTGTCTGGCTCATATTGTTGATCTGCGGGTTTGTGTGTGTATCGACTTTGAGGTGTGCCGGAAGAGACTTTTGCAAGAATATTCGCAGAAAAGTTGCGCCCTGATATGAGGCTATCGGTGTTGAGCGTGGCAGCGAGAGCTGTTGGGTCGACTGTGGAAGATCGATGGTAGAGCTGGTAGGAAGGTGCTTCGCATGCGGTTGAGCGGGAGCCTTGAATCCGTTATTAGCAGGGAGAAGTCAAAATATGACATCGATAGACATACCAGTCAGAGTACTCTCAAGAAAATTGCTGGGTATCGATATCTAAAGCGCAGTGTCCTTGGTCAATTGAGCATTCTCGGTCGCAGAAAGTGGTGATCTTGGTGGCAAGGCTGACTTTTTTTGGGGCCGCTCCCCGGGGAAGCTCAGGCTCTCAGCAGCTGACGGTGCTCACTAGTGCGCGAGGCTGAAATCATGCAGGGGTTTTCTGGTTCTGGCAGGCGGCGGGCACGTGGGGCCGGCTTCGATTTTGCGACGATGAGCCGCCTAAACCTGGAGGGCATTGCCACTGAAGCCACTCCATTTACCTACCTACCTTAGACTTTAGTATGCTAATGTACGGATACTGGCCCCCCTCCACACCACACCTGCCGACTCCACTCTCATTTTGTCAGAAAAGGAGGGACCGGCTTCCCCAA